TGGCCACTAGCATCACCGATATTATGGCGTATGGTGTAGTGTAATTAATGTTTTTGGCATACTGTTCATATTACAACATTACAAAAGTGCAGTAACATGTATGTGTGTTGTGTTCATCTTTCTAAATACAGCGGTGTAGACTATGGTGGATTATTTTTGTATCCGAGGTTTGCCGTAATCTTGAAAGGCAAAGCGATCTATTTTGAGTAGTGGCACCGTTCATAGCATACACACTTTACACATTATCAATATGAAACTAACCAGTACTCCTCTTAAATTTGAATTCATATACTTTAGGGGGTTTACGCACTTCCTGGTTTAGACCAGTTTGGATGTTCCACTTTTTGGCCCCTAGCATCACTGATTAGTTCCCTGATGGACGACACATTTCAATAGTGCAGTGCAATTCTTTTGACATACTGTATCGAATATTTAAGCACTGAACTGCTTTCATTTGGTATTCATATTGCCAATGAATGCCAACTGAAAGCAGTTTAATACATACATTTAGCATTTTTGGAATCTGTTCATCTCATAAAAAAATAATTACACATATTATTTTTCTGCATTTAGTTCAAACAGTGATTGTATCGTGTATGCTTTTTCAATGAATAGAACATCCATCTCCCGGATATGGTCAGTGGTATGCAACATGTCCATGTCATTTAAAGCCTTATGAATGCCAACTAAATTTGGTAGGGTTATACAGTTACAATGCCATACGATGGTAAATATGTAGCGGGTGGGAAAGTTGTCGTAATAAGACAAAGCCGCTGGGTTCGGTTCTATTGCATTTTAATGATCATAAATAGAAACATTCTGAAATACACAATAAAAATACGCATAAGCTCTACATACATTTATGTCATATTCAGGTAAAATACAATCTACAAATCTTAACAATTCAATGATCAGTACTAAGATAATAAAATTACAACATTTTCTGGTACTTATTTCTGATATTTTCCGAAAAGAAATTATTCAATGATATAAGAATAAAATCTATGACTTCAGCAAAATAGTTATTTTACTTTATACATTATCATACACGTTTACAATACTTCGAATCTTGAAATTCCAAGTACATGAATTTAATATCACATTTATACACTATCAGTACATTATAGATGCAGTATAAATTCACTTTATATACAGTATAAATACACTTACAACACGTATCGTGCATTAACGTCACAAGGCAGAAAACGCGTGTCCTAATGACTAAACCGTCATCATCTCACATAATGAATCTGAACGAACTACAATAAATACAATAGAATAATAGAGAAACGTATCACAACAAATGCATAACGCTTAACTTTTACAATACATATATTTAACTTATAACGGGATCACAAATACCCGAACCTTCATTCCAGAATAACATATTTAGTATCAAACCGGTCATCAAATCAACGATTCATTAAAACATATTATTAAACCATTCACACTTATCATACACACGGGAAGATACACACTTTGGAATAGAGTTAATATAGAATCAAACTAATTGAAATAGACATTTCATCTTACCGAAAATAGACCTGTTAATATCAAACTGAATCTCCCGACCTGTTCTCCTTTCAAATCAATTTAAAAAAGTGACCGGAAGCTAAAACAAACCTACACGAGTACTAACGACACAAACTTTCGACTAACGAAATAACTTCGTCGAAGTCCGCCAAGTCCGTCACTTGTCTTACCTGTCACTGATCACAACTCACATACATGTATATACGTACACACAAACCGCCGCGCCTGCCCGAATGTTTCCCGCGCGGAGCGTAAAGATAAGACGTTACGTCTTGCGTCGTGAATTATATAAACACGGACATTATATCAGTAATATATTTATACGAACAGTATTACAAAAATTTCATTCATGAATGAATATGTATGAATACATATGCTATATAGTATAAATACAACATATTAAAAAACAATACATTCAAACATATATTATATTATATGAATACTTTTAACTGAACAAATGATGCCTAAATAAATCGACCCTGTTACAAATACAACATTATAGAGGTACAATCACGTGTGTGTACGAAACATTAATAAGGGCACCACACAACAATGAAGGGGGATACCGGATCACAAAATACGTGCAGTCTATTGTGAGATAATTTCCTCTCTCCCACAACCACTATAGGTTTCCTCACTCCTAACTTATTGGATAAACCTACTAGGAGTTGTTTACATTCTAGACGTGGTTTATTGATCAGTCTTCTAATTATGACGTCAAGTAACAATGCTTTGCGACGTCATCGTCTATTGTGACGTCATGGTTTATGGCAATTGTTTCTCCACTCGGAAACAATTCAGTGATTATGTATTTCTAAGAGAAAAATATGGTTTTCAAGATACAATATCTGAACATTTTGAGGAAAAAGGTCGCAACACTTGTGATGGTTGATTATCATTTTCATCTAAATCTCGTTAGATAATTTCCGAAATTAAACCTGGTCTTTATACCATTTGAAAATTGAATACATTGAGTTAGGGGGAACCTCTATTTATCAATGCCCATTCGATGCACAGATCCTACACATTATACATGTTAACATCAGGACTTACAGAGGCGAATTAAATGGGTCAATTACTATCATATTGGAAAGTTGATTTTCAAATAATTGATGTTAATGTATTATGAAGGATGTTCTTATACGTATCAATTTCGTTTGACCTCTTTTTTATCTGATAATTTAACCTTTCCACTCGTAAAAATTGCAGTATATTTCAAATACCCCTGCTCAGTTTACCGTTTATAACACTCATCAGAATGATCAGTGGCGTCACACGACCAAATAGGGTTCATTGGTTCATGAGTGTCGCACAACCAAATGGTGTTCATTGCTTATAATAAATTATTGTATGATGTTCTAAGAAATATGTCATGCGAAATTAAAATATTTAACGTAACACCTACACGTTTCCAAGCTACTCTGCCGTGTAATTATTTGTTTTCAGAATACATAACCTAGAAATTAAGCTGGATAGATTGATGCCGAGGGGTTATATTAGAAGAGGGATTTAGCTGGATAGATTGGTGTTCATGGGTTATATTATAGGAGGGAGTTAGCTGGATAGATTGGTGTTCAGTGGTTACATCAGAAGAGGAATCCATATGGATAGATTCAATAAGATTGATCAGTTTGGAAATATGTGATATCAAAGTTTGACTTTCTACACAAACAATGAACGTATTAAACGTGTCGCAACGTTACAAGACCGACTGGTCCCTTTGTCAAGTTATGCACTCAGCCTTTGCTTGACAAAAGAACCAGTCGGTCTTACAACGTTGCGACACGTTTACATTGTTTGTGCAGAAACTAAAACTTTGATATCATCTGGTTGGGGTACTCAGCTTAAAATTATTACAGGAATAATGCACTGAGTTTTGGCCATGTTTTCATTTCAAATACTATATATATAAGAGGGATGTCTATCAAGTATTCCTCATTTTTAAACTTCACCAAAAATATTCATATTATTAAATAATTGGGACAATTTTATATTTTAGTTTCCAAAATAATATAAGGACTTGTTAGAAGTTCTGTAACATAGCTACCCTGCCGACATCTGGTCAAATAAACCCAATGTGCTAACCAGTCTGAGTCAAAGGGGTAGTGACAAAGTCAAAAAAATAAAAAAAAGTTACGGCGCCATTCTTTCTCTGGATAAGGTTTGCAATGTTATATAAACGGTCTATCTGTCGCGACAAAGTTCGCACAGTTACGTATTATATCCTTGCACTTGAATCTAAATCGGTCGCAGAAAACCTGCACAGTTACAATGCAATAAACGCAGTATTATGGTAATCTGTCGCCGCTTGTCCGCACAGCCACATTATAATCTGCACAAACAATTTGTAGTAATCTGTGAGACATTGTCTACACAGCTACAAAACACTACCTCAACCGAGAGGAAGACTGGTACTATTACAAGCATTAAGTTGAGTCTACCCCATATATGCCAAACTTTTATTCTGATGTATATATAGAGTATGTGTACTGTTGATATAATGTTGTGATGATTGATGCTATATATGTTTACACTATATGTACATGATGTCGCTAATTAAATGTTATACATATAACTTATCTTCCGTTATTTGTTCAATTTAAAATCTGGATATATTTGTGTTCTGGAGTTATACCAGAAAGAGTGATTTGGCTAACTTACTGGTGTTCAGGGTTATAAAGGAAAAGTGGTTTGCTGGATAGATTAAGAAACACGAGAAATATAGGGAGAAGGTTTAAGCTGAATAGATTTTGGTGTCGGATTGGTTAACTTCCATATAAAATATCCATGAACATGTTTAACATAGGATATAAAATAGACTCAATTCAGATTAAATCTATCTATTTTTTCAACAATAATAAGAACATGTGCACACGCGTGCATCTACGTATATTTTATATTTTACATTCAGTACTAAGAGTAACTGTTAGATATTACAAATTCTAGAATCATTGGTTACTTTAATTCGGTTTCACATCGCTGTGTTCCTGGTGAGTTATATATGCAATATGAGTTTGTAAGGAAGAACATGTGTTATATACTTGAATACCGTATTATTTGTTTTCTATAATACGTTAGCCCGAGTTTTCTCTGGCCCTGACACCAGATATAGATAGTTTGACAGATAAATAGTAACACTTTAACAAATGATCCAACCGGATGGTGTACCCTTGGCCTGTGCTGTATCTATGCGCACCTATAAAATTACATTGCCCGTAAAATGTATGCAACACATTTTGCTATATGGATTTAGTTGTTTATTATATTGAGACATTCCTATGAAAATTGTGGAATTCAATAGGACCCACACACTAACAACTTAAAAGTGTAAATGTGTATTGTATGATGAGGTAATACAGTCCTGAAACATGACATAAATGGAGGTATATTTGAAGGCAAATAGCGCTAACCCCTTGTCCACTTCCCGTCACGATATCCATGCAGCTTCCGGTGTCGGCGATACGACGTGTAAACCACACACTTGTACGCGCACGGACGACGATAAAGCGTCACAATGATTGTGAAGATAATTAACAGCGGTCAGAGTTAATATTGCCCTATGAAAACCTCACATGAAGTTAAATGAACGTGCTTTGGATTGATATATGTGAATGCTTCACATTCTGGAATTTTAACAAAAAAAGGCAACATTACTGATTCGAAAACTAGATGAGGTGTACTTGAAATAACTATCAAGCTTGCATTGCTGATATGAAGCAGCTGTGGGGGCGAACCAATATGTATTATAAAAGTGAGTCAACTTTGGCTGTGTTACGCTGATTTATATACAAAATGTGATACGGTACACGTTTCAGTTGTGCCGAAATTCCTCGTTATACCATAGACAGTAAACATCATCTATTTCAACTATTTGTTGTAGTAGCCAGCAGGCGTCTTCATTGTTCCATGTTGTAAACCTTCATCCGCGAATCCATTCCAGTTGTGTGTTTCATGTTTTACTTACTATGTCTGCCTGGAAGCGTCGTGTGATGGACTAGTAATCAAGTAACTCTGAAATTAATCATCATCGAGCAGTTATTAATGTTTAAAGGAAAACAAAATATTTGTGTTTTTACTGAAGTTTTTCCATATCTATTTGACATTGTGATAAGTGTATCTTGAAGTCTACAACAAAAGAATTAACGCTTACATGGATGTACTGTTGCTTTGCATGGTGACGGTAATCAAAACTTGTGGAAGAACGGTGCGTCATACACGGAATTTAAGGAGTCGCACAGGAAGTGATACGTTATTAACAGGTCTTAGATAACACGAAATTGATTCTACAATTAGATTGTGATTTTGTGAAATGGCTCAAACATTACAAAAAGGGATATTTAACTAGTTTATACATATATATATATCTATTTGTGATTTGTTAAGTGTCATCATCGGCATAAATGAACAACAGAACTTACAAAACTTAAACATTCTGTAATATTGCAACAAACTAAAGATAATATACCTCATTTGTTTCATGTACAACAATGGAATCTAACGTTACAATGTTAACAGTTGTAGCCTGTCACAAATGGCTTCTTGATTTCAGCTTCGACAATAACACGAATCTCGAAGATGTCAACGACGCTTTTATGACTAGGAACATCGGGGGAATCGTTCTTATTGGTATTCTGACCACGTTCGGAATACTTGGAAATTCCCTTGTTTTGTGGATCTATTTGATGAGATTTCGGCAATCTAATTACAGAACATATATTATCTGGTTATCTTCACTGGATATGGTCAACTGCATAGGGGTGATGCCTTTCTATTTCATATATCTATGCTTCCCTTTGATAATGGAATCAAAATACGCATGCAAGATAGGACGATCCGGAAGTTACGTCATAACACTGTCGTCTGCATTGTTGTTAATAGTGATTGCTGGGGACAGATACCGTAAGATTTGCACCCCGAACAAGAAGCAACTTTCTGGTAAGCAGGCAACGAAATGCTGTTTTATCGGGTTAATAATGTCCGTACTATTATCTTGGCCGACATTTGTGATGTTTGGTAAGAATGCTGTCGAGGTTGGACTAAACGACCTTCGAGGATACAGGTGTTTAGTTGCAGATGAATATGCTGATTCTACTTATATGAAAGTGTTTCAGGTCATCATGTCCACTATCGCTCTGACCGTTACAATAACCCTGACGCTGATGTACAGTTTAATCGTAAAAGGTTTGTACAGACATAGGAAATATTTCATTAATGCTCAGGGATCGATTAAATCTAGAGAAGCATGTCCTATTCCCGCGGAAATGTTGGATCGTTCTACTCGAAAATCTACTATGACACTTTTGGCAGTGACGTTATGCTTTATCCTCAGTTTTCTTCCACATCATGTGCTTGCCATTGCATTTTTCATGAACAAGACGTTCGAGTGCTCTCTTGGGTTTTCAGGTGGAGCCGCGTACTACACATTTGTATGGATGGTTTTCTTTAACACAGCTGCGGATCCGGTTATTTATGGGTTTTCTGATAAAAGATTCCGATATGAACTCAAGCGTATGTGCAAGGGTATACGACGGGGTCAGTGGTCATTCAAAGCGCGAAGGTCTGAACGGTCGATGAGGTCTCAGAGGTCTCCGAAATCTCCGCATTCTGCGAAATCAATTTTAGGCAAGCGTGTACATTTCTCATTTGAATGATGATATTTTAACATTGTACCACCTTTTAACGTAGTCTTTGCGTAGCATTTGGATAAAATAATTTCTTTAGGTTATTAAAATATTTGTAACATGATCATTTATATAGTTTGGTCTATACCTTTATATTTTGGATATCATTGAAAAAAAATATTACCGGGGGGGTGTATTAAAGAAAAGTAGCCATTGTGGAAAAACGCTTATCATACATAACCTTTGTATTTTGAACACAGCAAAATAAGTCCAGGAAAACCATTGATTCAACTACATTTTAATATCAAATATAGAATATTGTTCAATTTTATGTAATAACAACTGATATATTTTATTTCCAATCACGTTCAAGATGTATTTTTACCAAGTTTATAATACATAGAAGAACCGTTTTAGAGCATTTGAAACAATATATATGTAGCGGAAGCAAAAGTCAGAATAATCATTTAGTACAATTTACCAAATGAAAGGACGTTGTAAAAAGTATGTTGGAACATTCCCTTCCCGTAATGTTAATCCTTTTCACAAATTTGCTCGTATTATTGTTTTACAGTTCTTTGTATTCAGAAGATATCACATATTTTGGTGAGAGTATGTATTTTTAGAATTGTACACATTCATCGAGACCACATTTGACTAATATATTACCGCTAGCTGGAGTTCTAACAATACTGTAGCACATAACAATTAACATATTGGCATTGTGTTGTTGGTCGGTATAGTTGTTTGGCATCAATATTCTTATCCTGAATTGTATTGATACATGCTTCCATACTGTTGTGTAAATTATGTATATAACTATGACAACAGACTGTTTTCATTGTAATACCTCAAAATAAAACACAACATGTGTGATAGTATAAACATTCCAAGAAATGAAATGATAGGTTCTATATAACTAAGATAATTATTTGATAATCACAAAATATCCTCCATTATATGACGTTGTACGGAGTAGATATCTAGTGTTTGTTTTTTGCTTTATCTAGAACTTGATCTATAACTTTTAAAATAAACCTTCCTTGAAATGTATATGTATCTTTTTATATTTTGTTCATATTTACAAACATGCGCCCAAATCAAAATTTGACTGTCAATCACGTACATTATTTTACATCAATTATGAAAATAAGTTATCATCGACTGTGAATATAGATTAGATAAAAGATAACTAATCGACAATTTGGCATTTCTATGTTATCTTTACAGGAATATTGTGATAGTAAAAAGAGTTCCAGAGGAGTACAGCGAAGAAATAAATGTTGTAAATGATGATCTGGACTTAGTGAATGAAATGAGGAATGACTATCATATCACCAGCTTATTTCTATAATTCAAGGAAGAAGAATCCCACAAAATTTGGGAAAACAATCATTTACAGACAAATACAGTTGGTGTTTCAAAAATTGTGGATGAACAAAAAGAAGATAGCAACATCGTAGAATAAGCTTAATAGGTTTTTCTTTTTCTTTTCCTCTTATTGACTATGAATTCAGATTTTGTAATGACTTTATCAAAACTTGCAACATTTACCAAGAAGATAAAACTATCATCAAAACATATATGATGATAAGCTTGGAAATGTATAAAAGTAAGCAAATATTTCTTCATATTGATTGAAAATACAAAGTGTGTGTTTTGACAAAATTGTAAGGGAAATATGAAGGGGGAATCAGCAATGTTCGCCATATTAATAGATTAGGCCTAGTGCCATGCGACGGTTAGTCTGAGACGAAGTGAGGAGAGATTGGCTCAATCTGCTGACCCTTTTACGTGAAGCAGCTGTAACATCTAGTTATTAACATATTACATTGTGTAGATTACTTTATATAGTCTAGAGATGATCGAAAGGTTTCACTATCTTTCCATTCGGGCATTAAATGACTTCATATTATCCATGAAGGTGAGACCTTTTTGGGAAAAAAATAGCTCCATTTTTACCATAAGTACCAATACTTCACGTATTGACATACATGTACCATATTTAAAAATATGTGCTGTTTGATTCGATACGAGCTTATGTAAAAGTAAAACCACTGAAAGAACACTTTTGTATAATACTGTTTAAAAATACCTCTTAACGACTTTTTATTATGCGGTTGTTGCTAAGTTGTCCTTTTCGCAGGAAAATATACATTCATTATTTTCTACCAAAATGTGGGGTAGAAAATACATTTTTAAAATACATATCCTTTTTTTACCTTTCTCTATTCCTTTTAAATAAAGACATTGGGACATGAAAGCAGCTTACATAGTTTTTCAAACAGTTTATTTTTTTACCAATAGTAGTCTTTCATTTTATTTTTTTGCAAGTGTGTTGGACGGATGCCTATTTATTTTCTTCCCTTTATAACGATTTGATTTGTGTTCTGGAATAACATATGACACGTGCAAAAGCTCATAAAAGTTTATATTGTAAAAGAAAATTCCTAAAAGAATTGGGTCATATAATGAAATTTCAAAGATCAGCCATTCCAAATATTAAAGAAATCATATTAATCAAATTTTCAAAAAGGTTTGGACGACAAATCTAAATTACTATTTACAGAGGCAATACTAAAACTACCCTGATCTTTCTAAACGATGATTTTTTATGCTAAAAGTAACAAATAACATTTCCAAAACTGACAAACTATCGTCACCTATCTAACATATCGTCAAGTGTGTTAAAGATATTTTTCATATGTCCAATACAGATATACGTCGTTACACGACATATATAACAATACCATTTTATTTTTATTTTTCTATATAAAAAAAACCCAGCTGAAATAGGAAATAATGATAATTGATTCCTTCTCATTATGGTCACATTTACACGAGACTGAGGTGGAGTACATATATAAAACATATTTAACGTCCAAGAAACAAGATGCATGAAAACCGTTTGATTTGACTTCATACCTTCCAAATGCTCGAAAATAGTTGTTTTTCAAACATACATTGTTACTTAATTCTATAAAATAGTCAACTGAAAATGGAGACTTTCTTAATTTGGATTACAGCTGTTTTTATGAAAACAATAATGCTTAAAACTTTACGGCCATGTAAAAGCAAACAAAGACACACTACATCTTAGTGATGTTTCATTTCACAATATAAAACACTAACAAAAATATCACAATATAAAAATAAAGAAAAAAAAACATATCGCCATACAAAAAAAATAAAGATAAAGGCAATTTATATCTGTTATCATATACGAATCAAACGCTTTACTATCATTCATCAGAAACAAAGACAACTTTAAATGTCATTTTTAAATAGAATGATACCTGGTATAAATTATCAGTCTCCATAATTACCCGTCATGTACACAAATAAATAGCACAATTCTATAATGAATGAAATTAATTCACTTTTTTACAATACCTTCCCATCAGCTCGCACATGCTTATCTCACTCGCTTGCTTATTTGCAACGTATCATATTGCTTATGAGATCAGTTTGGTTAGAAATGAGTTCCGGGTAACTTCTAGTTGTTTTAAACATCGGATATAAAGGATTTCCTCCTGTGTAGAGCTACTAGAGCTCTGCTTGATCCGTTTTATCACTGTCACTCTCTGTCTGTGGGGGCGGGACTCCACCTGTACTCTCGTAAAGTTTACTCATGATCGGAAGCACGATATCCTCTAGCTCCTTCTTCTGTGATTTAAAATCCTCTGTATCTGCGTCCGAGTTATTTTCGAACCATTGAATTGTTTTCTTTATTGCCTCTTTAAGTGTGGACTTATCTTCTTCTCCGAGTTTACCGCCAAGCTTATCTTTATCTTCAAGTTGATTTTTTAATGAATAAGCATAGCTTTCAAGTTCATGTTTAGCATCTACCCTTTCTTTCACTTTTTTGTCCTCGTTGGCAAATCTTTCCGCCTCTGTTATCATCCGTTCTATATCATCAGGTGACAGTCTGTCATTATTATTCTGAATAACTATTTCTTTTTTGGTTCCAGTTCCTTTATCCTCGGCTGTCACCTTCAAAAGTCCATTAACATCGATTTCAAATGTGACTTCTATTTGAGGGATACCCCTTGGAGCTGGTGGGATCCCCGTCAGATCAAAATTTCCTAACAAATGATTATCCTTGGTCATGGCTCGCTCTCCTTCGTATATGGAAATGGTCACGGCTGGTTGATTATCAGCGGCGGTCGAAAATATCTGTGACTTCTTATTAGGAACAGGTCTGTTTCGAGGTATGAGTGTAGTCATGATCCCGCCGACCGTCTCGATGCCGAGGGTAAGGGGGTTTATGTCCACCACCACTAAGTTGGTACTGCACCCGTCTCCGCTCAGAATACAGCCCTGGATAGCTGCCCCTTTAGCAACGGCCTCGTCAGGGTTTACTCCATGGCTCGGCTCCTGTTAACGCACAAAAACCAATTAATTCGTACTGACTTTAAATACGACATACTCGTGATTAAATGTCTAGCAGTTATAGTGTCGTGATGAATACGGAATATAATTGATATTGTGTATTATATGAGTTTAATTAAAAACAATAGTGTTATTTCGCAATTTTCATGATATCATATGTCAATATAATTTTATGTGTTCGCACCTTTCCATCGAAAAACTCTTTAATCAGTTGCTGCACTTTAGGGATCCGAGTGGAACCGCCCACCAGAAGAATTTCGTCTATCTCGTTCTTCTCTAAATGGGCGTCCTTAAGGGCCATTATTACGGGCTTAAGTGTATTCCGGAATAAATTCTGCAACGGAAAAAGGAAAGTCAAATCATTGAATGGGTGACGTATTTGACAGTTTAGAGATGTTTACATTATGCTTTTCATTTCTAAGTTTATTTCTGAAATGCTAAGTTTACACTCCACTTGTCTTAGATGAATTTTTCGCTTGCTGTTTCATCACCAACAACTTATCAAACTGAAGTGTACACAAACGGTACATATGAGCATATGACAATTTCAACAAAAACATTAACGATACCAACACTTTTGCAAAAACCACACTGGTACCAAACTAATGTGGGTTCCGCCGATATCTACGAAAATGCCTACCATGTTGAGCTCCTCAAACTTGGCCCTGGTGATTGTCTCTGAGAAGTCTTCTCCGTCAAATAGAGACTCGATCTCAATTCTGGTCTGATGCTGGGAGGATAGTGTTCTCTTGGCCTTCTCCACCTCACGACGCAGTTTCTGTACAGCCCTGGAATCCTGTCGTATGTCTTTACCAGTCCTCTTCTTTATCACCTTGAAGAAATGTTCCATCACGCGCAGATCAAAGTCCTCCCCGCCCAGGTGGGTATCGCCATTGGTGGACAAGACCTCGAACACACCTTGGTCTATGGTCAGGACGGACACGTCAAACGTGCCGCCTCCAAGGTCGAACACCAGGATGTTTTTCTCCGAGTCCTGCTTATCAAGACCGTACGCGATAGCTGCAGCAGTTCTGTAATGATGATATTAGGTTACTTGGTATGTTTCGAAATGGGTCAAGTCCATCGTCAGACGTCTTTTGCAATATTTAGACTGCTATCGTTAAAATTGCATTTCTAATAAATATTACGTACACGCAACTTCATGTAAGCATATCATAACAGAAAAGGAAACAAACTCAAGCAAATAGAGGAAGAGTTTTGCCAACAACAAGTTTTTTATATCACTTTATTAACATATGCTCTGCTTACCCCTTTGTAATGCATAAACAATCATTACATGTTGTAAAGATTATAAATCCATTTGGTCACGTGACCATTACCTCGGCCTCATCGATCTGATTGTGACAACAACTACTGTTTAAATAACTTAACTGATATATCGAGCGTAAAATATATAAATAAAGTTTTATGTCTCTATTTCAATATAAATATTAGCAATAAATTAATGTTTTGAATGTTGCTATGGTCCTACATGTATTATACGCATTTTATATCGAAAAGAAAATAAGTCAAAACCCTACCGGCTTTAAATAATGTTTGTCAATAATTAAAATATGGGACCATAACTCCATTTGCTGAAACATATGTTTCTGAATTAGTTGCAATTAGACAAAACACATAGTCTATTTCTTATATCAATACAAGGGATATTGTCAGCAATAAGGAAATACGAACATTGGGATGGCGAGTGGTCTCAACCAGAATGCTCGTATTTTGGGAAGCAAATCCTTAAATAGTAAACATACCACATATTGTTAATTGTACTTACGGTTCGTTAATGATCCTCATGACGTTGAGGCCCGCTATGACACCGGCGTCCTTCGTGGCCTGTCTCTGGGCATCATTGAAGTAGGCTGGTACTGTGACTACGGCATTGTGTACCGTCTCACCAAGGTAGCTCTCGGCTATCTCCTTCATTTTGGACAATACCATGGCTGATATCTCTTCTGGGGCAAACGTCTTTTTCACGTCAGCTACGGCCGTTTGGAAATGGGGCTTGTTACCCTCGTTTATGACCTGGGAAATTAAACAGATAGAGATTTTTATACTGTTGGATTTACTTTATTTATTTAAGAACATTATTTGATGAATGTATCAATTGTGATGTTCTCGTGATCTGTGCAATTATTTTTCAACGAACATAAGCAACTGGTAATTGCTACTACTTGACTTCATTGTGACACCTTAGCATCATTTGGTCTTAGGTCTTTTCGTCTTAATTTTTTTTCTTTTATTGTTTTGAATAGTTACGTCATGCATGATTGATGATGAACTTTAAAAAAAGTACTCACTTTAAAAGGGTATAACTTGATGTCGCTCTGGACTGACTTGTCGTCCCAGGTTCGACCAATCATACGTTTGACGTCAAAGATAGTGTTCTCAGGATTGCTGGTCAGCTGATTCTTTGCGGCGTCTCCAATCAGACGTTCACCTCCATCGGTGAAGGCCACGTATGAGGGTGTGATACGGTTTCCCTGGTCGTTAGCAATGATTTCTACGCCTCCGTTCTTGTACACTCCAACACTGAAGATAAATTTTAAAAAAGTGTTTTCTAATCTGGCAATTTTCAACTTTAACAAGAATATAAAAAGGCCATCATCGAATTATCACTTATAATCAACAGTACATACGTATTTGAATACCAGTTTTTTTCAACTTGAAAATTATCCATTTTACAGCATAACCTGTATTTATTTTTTATAAGAATGTTATTTTCACAATAAGGATGTAACTGGTTTAATTAAGTAATGTTTATAACTTTAAATTTGAAAATATTCCACAACGTCAATACACAATGACACAACCATAAACCAACAGTAGAAAATATCGCAAAACCAGGTGTTCCGGAAGGGTAAGCGTTTATAATAAGTTTATGCTAGCATATACAGGATGGATATGTAAACTTAAACAATGAAAATGTTACACTATTTTATATCTGTGGTACCTATGTACTGATGTTAGAAAAGCAATAATAAAAGTCTTAATATAACAGATGAACCGAAAAAGGACCATTTATTTACTCATGAAAGCAGTATAATAATGTTTCGGTGATGTCATAAATGTATGTTGTATCAGTAATTGTATGATTACGATACTGGATTTAAAGAACGTTTGTTAAATTTAAATAGATACTTACCATGAGTACGTGGTCCCGAGGTCTATCCCGATCACAGTACCTACGTTGTCCGTTTTCCCGCCATTAGATACAGCTGATGACACAGCTATCACCATCGCCAGTCCCATACACAAGACTAGGTTCCTCATCGCCCTGGATATTCTGTAGGCAGTCAAACAGTCTTTCCTATTTGTTATAAGAGAGAGAGAGAGAGAAAAAAATTATAAGTGAAAAAGTTAAAAGCATTCAAATATATAAATAAAAATAAAATATAGTAAAATTGACTAAAACAAAACTGAAAAATAATCAACGAAGATGAACTGTTTGGTAGTGATTCCTAAAAATAATACAAAGACTGCGGTGTCATATTTCATATTATTCATAATAAACCACCATACGATAAGGACACGTTAAATGGTCAACATTTGCATCAACCCTCGTGCTAAGTGATCATGTTTTGATAGTACCGTTAAAATTTAGTTTCTTTTATTTATCTACTAATTTTTTTAATTTTTTTAAGTTTACCTCTTGTAGTTTAAATAGGTGCTCAGCTTGTTTAACTCAATACCAGGTTCCGTCAAATGTCCACTGTAGATCGAGTGTACTATAATTTCGACAAATCTGCTTACGTTCTCTATATTATTAACTTTTGTTGTAGAAGAGAGTGTTTCTTCTCATGTTAACAATCCTATTTATGCTTTCGGTACTCCAAAGTAAACGTATGTGTGTGTCGTGTCATTGTCTCTTTGGGTGATGTGCTAGGGGCGATGAGTGACTACCTCATTGGTCAAGATAAGTTGAAATGATGAAATCACACCCCCGTCACAATTGATGAGTAAACAAAGGGGCGTGGTTTTGGTACCAACAACGATGTCAACACAGTGTATGCACCCGTGACCTTTCTAGTAGTTGTGCCATGGATTGAAATCTATTACAGTAACTACACGTTGCTCTATACGAATATATTGACACTTATTGTGTTATTGCGTCAGACCGATTATGATGAATATGATGGTTGGGAGAGTTATCTCTCTTTGACTGTTAGTCATACTACATTCACTCTAAACATGGTCTAGTCATATTGTGTGCGGTAAATATATTTTACACATTATTTGTTAGTTTAACTCGAACTATCTTTAATAATAATTAAATACATACTTTTTTAAATGCTGGTGATAAATGTAGCAGGCAGTAAATAAAACATTTATAATCGAAAAGAAAATGAGACAAGCTACGTAAAATACAATTGTTAAAATAAGAATTTTGTGGTAGATAAAATATCATAATTTTGAAAAATATACAGTTTGACAGAAATCTTTCCGATTTTTCTGTAAATAATATAACTTGGATATTTCGGAACAAATTTTTTTTTTTCATTCTAATTATACTGACGAGTCCTAAATTGACGAAAAGGCCATATAGCACAGTAAACAACGTGATTTGTTTTGCTTTCTGCACTGCCTTACCTAATTTTTATATCGGGCTTTACTACCTCGTAATTCTAGTGATAAGTTTACGTTACAAGGTGGTTGACTCTGCTTGTGGACTACTAGTCCCCAGGGTTATCGATAACCTCCTATGTGCAATTTACTCTAATATTGTTTACACGAAACACTAGTTTCAACAAGCTCTCTAAAACATAGCTTGGTTTTCCAGCATTTCAACCACTTTACATGTCATATATTCATACCCCCGTTACACATCGGATTCAGATATGTCAGTTTTGGTATTGAACACGTACTTTTGATTTGTTTCGTGCATGCCGATGTTAACTTCATCTTTAAGAAGGAAACATGGCCGATGTCTTCATACAAACAGGTCACCAGCATTGTAATATTTCAATCCCTTTTGCGACCCAATTGAATGCTACTAAATGGCAAATTATCTAAGTTTGCTTATATACTTAGGACATGCGGAGCTTAACCTCTCTTTTACAAGTCGCAAAGAGGCATACTGGCTTTAAATCAAGGTGTATGTAGCAATGCGAGACCTCTAAAATCATAATAAATTTACCCGATTCTGCATTTTATCGTTAACAAGAAAACGAAGGCTTAGTGAACCATATACTTTTAGTATATCAATGGACTTTGATGTGCAGTTTTATAATATTATGTGGTGATAACGATTACCAAGCACCTTGGGTTTACATTTTTGTTGCCGGATTTTTTTAAATATTTTATGGCTTCACATAACCACTTTTTTTTTTTTCATTTCAAATATATTTTATTGATTAAACAGAAAGAATGAGCAAAGGCTTTGCCTATCTAAGCTCTCTCCATGGCTTCCAGCATACTTTTGATAGTTGAAGACATTGAATACAATATTTACATACATACATTATATTTCAACTAATCCCATGACACTTGGGTACATTTATTGCGAGGTAATATACAATAATTAGGCTAGATTTATATTTTCATGTTTCTACAAAATTACATTATTCCATCTGATACATGGACTTAAGATTCAAAATTAAAAAAAACTTTGCGATATTGGTATTTAATATAGTTGTAAAATTTGTGTCAAGACGAATTAAATATACCGTTATGGATAAACACAGTATTCCAAATCGAATTAAATATATGGATATAGGTCTTGACCTTGGGCCACTAACATTTTGCTACGACAACATGAAATAAAGCAAAACTGATACATGCATGTATGCTGATAAAGAAATGTACCAGGACTTATTTGAAGTAGATATGTCTTGAAATGAGGAAAATCAAATAAAAAAGGAACTAAAAGGAAACAGGAAAATAAATGAAAACGCAAAAAGAAAACATAACTAATTATATAAGATCACAAGAAAATCTCGAACACTCACTCATACACTCTAACATCACATATGTTGCTACTGGCATGGGTTTGTTGGTTTATTTAATGTAGTTTATATTTGTTTTAAATTAATGTGCAGTTGGGCATTAAATATGATAACAAGGTACACTGGTTCAAAGGATACAAACATATGGCATTTTGGTATTTCATAATAAATTATTAGTTTTTCAATAATTAAATGAATTATAACTATTGATTTACATTACTCCATCATACCTTAAGTATCATGACCACATAAAGTCCCTGGACATTTTTTGCCCGGTGATCAATCAACCTTGGTATATTATATATAAATATATATATAAATTATCCACTATCAACAGAATTAATGAATTTGTCTTACAGAATACAAACAATACACCATTAAAAAACAGCTTGTATATTTAACTTAATTTAATCATTTTTGTTTTAAACCGATATGCCTATTCACAGTTAGTAAAAGATCATTTTAAACTCTGCATGATATAGGTATTTATATATAAGTATGCTTTAGATATTAAGCCATTTCGATTCCCTTCGTCGGCAAAAGAGATACACCGAGGAATTATTATTTTTATCAAACATGGGCCTAACTGCCTTATGACAGACAAAGTTAACATTGATATATATCATAATATTAACTAAAGGACATGCTCAATATATCCTAAATCTATATCTGAATTCCTTATATATGGAGTATATTGTGGCTAACAATTGTTAAATTGTAGCGTTATAATCGGTTATGTAGGTGGCCTTTACATGTTTTCTCGCCCGATTTTCCTCTGGCCCTGACAAAAAACATTTTATCTGTCAAAATGTCTAAGTCGTCAGTTAAGACATTGCATATGTCAAAATGTCTAAGTCGGGTGTCAAGGCCAGAAGAAACTCGGGCTACATCTTTTCATGTTTCGCTTTTAAATATTAATATTCATTTTGACCATTTGTACCACTGATAAGTCTTATACAGACGGCAGTATTGTGTAGTACAATTACTCCATCGACTCCTTACGATCACCAACATTAGGTATGTATACTACTCTACAGTAACTATCATAAGGCATGTTCAGAGATTTGCCTACAACTTGTGGGTGGATACTATCCTTATCAGACTCAAATTAGGGAATTTTCAAAATTTTTTAAGACATGAGATTCATTAGATAACTTCATAGACTTACATAAACATGATAACCACCCATCACCTTTTTAAGGGTCTTTTTGTAATACTTTTCTTACTACGTAACTGTTATGTTATTGAAATGTATGTTGTCTGTTCTTATCAGGGAAACAATTCCAATGAATCATGACCTCACTATGCAAGACCGCTTTTCTGTGGCGTCATAATCAAAACGCAAGTGACTGAAATTGTGCCCAGGTTGTTACCTATTGAACAGCTACTTTCATGCTTATCAAATATTTCAGTAGTAAAGAAACATAAAGAGGATATTGGAGAAAGTTAGACTCCCTAATAAGTGATGGATGGCTATGAAGTTTATTTAACTCGAGTAAATGTATTGTCAATTGTATTAAGATACAAGGTAAAATGCATATAATGTAAGAGTGTTAACGTTAATTTGTTAGGGTAAGATGAACATGATAGCTAGCCATCACGAATTTGAGGCATATTGTGTCTGGAAAACCATTGATTTTCTTTTGGAAATACATGATTCCTGATTTCAGAAGGAGAAAAAATTGCCATGAATTATAACGTAACAATGCAGGCAGAGGCCCACGTAAATGATTATTACATGTCGTCGTAATCAAAAGACCAAACACCTAATTAAAGCATGTCATTGTTGCTGCCAACTGGTGGGTATAATGAAATGTTTGCATCTTTTCTAGTGTGAAATACCCATGTAATGGTTCAGGGAGAAATGTCATCCTATACTACCTACTATGATATGTATAACACTGTTCGACCAGCAACTCTAGGTAGGTATACCTCTCTAGAATACCAAGCTCTTTTAATGATCATCTATGTAGATGAGATGTATACTACTCTAGATTACCAAACTAGGTACATAAGGTATATGTGATACATCTTCGTTTACTTACTCTCGGGATGTATACCTTTCTTAATTACAATAAGCATGATCGCGTACCGACCAACCTTGATTTTGCTTATTGTCTGTTCTAGAGTCAGACATTTTTTTAACATCCTCAACTTGTGATTTTGATATAATTTATCTATGATAGTACTCCAGTTTCTATTTCATCCCTAGCTCAGAAATGTCACCATGTTTAATTCGTCGCTATCGACTATACACCAAAGATTAGCCTCCATACATATATTACATTAAAAATATGTCATGGATAAGTCACGCTATTATTGTTCTCCTCAACTTTTCAAACTGTTTAGTTCTACAAGATATATGGTTAAGCCTACCACACATATATATATATATATATGTATTATGTGTTAATACCATTCTAATGTCACTATGGGATTTCTATATGTTGCTACCATTCTATTGTCACTATGGGATTTCTATATGTTGATACCATTCTAATGTCACTATGGGATTTCTATATGTTAATACCATTCTAATGTCACTATGGGATTTCTATATGTTGATACCAATCTAATGTCACTATGGGATTTCTATATGTTGATACCATTCTAATGCCACTATGGGATTTCTATATGTTAATACCATTCTAATGTCACTATGGGATTTCTATATGTTGATACCAATCTAATGTCACTATGGGATTTCTATATGTTGATACCATTCTAATGTCACTATGGGATTTCTATATGTTAATACCATTCTAATGTCACTATGGGATTTCTATATGTTGATACCAATCTAATGTCACTATGGGATTTCTATATGTTGATACCATTCTAATGTCACTATGGGATTTCTATATGTTAATACCATTCTAATGTCACTATGGGATTTCTATATGTTGATACCAATCTAATGTCACTATGGGATTTCTATATGTTGATACCATTCTAATGTCACTATGGGATTTCTATATGTTAATACCATTCTAATGTCACTATGGGATTTCTATATGTTGATACCAATCTAATGTCACTATGGGATTTCTATATGTTGATACCATTCTAATGTCACTATGGGATTTCTATATGTTAATACCATTCTAATGTCACTATGGGATTTCTATATGTTGATACCAATCTAATGTCACTATGGGATTTCTATATGTTGATACCATTCTAATGTCACTATGGGATTTCCACTTGTTGATATCAATCTATTGATATTGATTAAAACCCCGAGGTTTGCCGTAACTTTGATAACCAATATGATTTCTTTTGAGAAGTGGCATGATTCAAAATATTATTAATTTGAAATTTACCAGTTATCTCCTGTTTTTTTGAAAAAAATGAACTCATATACTCTTATTTTCAAAAGAAGTTAAGACCAATTCAATTTTCAAAGTTGTTGGCCCCTGTCATCAAAACAAGAAAATATAATTTATTTTTGGCATACTGTATCTTTACCTCATTGCATATGAGTGTGTAACATTCATTAGTCAACCACCATCAGCAATCTTTGTAGTGCTAAAAGACACAATTCAAACGTTGGTTACTTTTTCATCTACATTGCAAGTCTAACATTTTCCTCTCCATTATTTGGCAATAATAATATAAAACAAAAGTGTGTAGACTTCGTTTCGTCATTAACCGAGACAGAGTATACAAAAACGTCATTATTTTCACTTTTATTTCGTAACAAATCATATATAAACGTAAAAATAGTATTAAAGATATCGACAAACATCTGTTTTATACGCCCATTCAAACAGGAGGTGTTCGATCCATCGTGTATGTATAAGACACCTCGTCAGAAACAGCAACATTTAACATAGACAGCCTCCATTGAGTAAAATCGCATAAATATCACAGTTTAAGAAAGAGAAAAAGGAGCATGTCAACAAAAACAATGGATCATCATTCACACATTCAAATCACTAATGAGAATGTGGTGTTCTCGGATATGTATGTTGAAATTTAACAATAGATAACAATATTTAACGAGCACATTAAAATATATCAATATACATTTATACACTGTTGTATGCACTCAGCTGCACCAACGATTGCGTTATAGCTCTGGATGATCCACATAATCCCCCTCTTCCTGTGGGGGCGGCGCTCCTCCTGTACTCTGGTACAACTTACTCATGATCGGATGCACGATATCTTCTAGCTCCTTCTTCTGTGATTTGAAATCCTCTGTATCTGCGTCCGAATGACTTTCGAACCATTGAATTGCTTTCTTTATGGCCTCTATAAGTGTTGACATATCTTCCTCACCGAGTTTACCGCCAAGCTTATCTTTATCGTCAATCTGATTTTTTAATGAATAAACGTAGCTTTCAAGTTCATGTTTAGCGTTTACCCTCTCTTTCACTTGTTTGTCCTCGTCGGCAAATCTTTCCGCCTCTGTTATCATCCGTTCTATATCACCGGGTGACAGTCTGTCATTATTATTCTGAATAACTATTTCATTCTTGATTCCTGTTCCTTTATCCTCGGCTGTTACCTTCAGAATTCCGTTAACATCGATTTCAAATGTGACTTCTATTTGAGGGATACCCCTTGGAGCTGGTGGGATCCCCGTCAGATCAAACTTTCCCAACAAATGATTATCCTTGGTCATGGCTCGCTCGCCTTCGTATATGGAAATAGTCACGGTTGGTTGGTTGTCAGCGGCGGTCGAAAATATCTGTGATTTCTTATTAGGAACAGGTCTGTTTCGTGGTATGAGTGTAGTCATGACCCCGCCGACCGTCTCGATACCGAGGGTAAGGGGGTTTATGTCCACCACCACTAAGTTGGTACTGCACCCGTCTCCGCTCAGAATACAGCCCTGGATAGCTGCCCCTTGAGCCACGGCCTCGTCAGGGTTTACTCCACGGCTCGGCTCCTGGAAACCCACAAAAATCAATTTGTTTGTCAGATGGTTACTTTCCAGCATTTAATACCACACAATGATATTTGCCTGATTATTTCGCATGTCGTTTCTTTGTCTAATTAGAGACGATTGTGTCATAGTGTATCGATACAAAAATATAATCTTATATTTCATAATATTTCTTAAAACTTTAAATAGTTTTTTTTGTATTTTAAAGAGAATTTGTTTCCTTCAACTATAGTAATAATTACAAAAGCAGGTATTGTTTTCACAACTTTCATGATATCAAATGTCAATATAATATTACGTGTTCTTACCTTTCCGTCAAAGAAATCCTTAATCAGTTGCTGAACCTTAGGGATCCGAGTGGACCCGCCCACCAGCACGATCTCGTCTATCTCGTTTTTCTCTAAATGGGCGTCCTTCAGGGCCATTTTTACGGGTTTAAGTGTATTTCGGAATAAGTCCTGCAATAGAAAAGGGGAGTCAAAATACGGAATTGGTGACAAATTTGACAGGTTTAAGATATATGCTTTATGGTTGTTATTTTTAAGTTTATTTCTTATTTGTTCGCATGACACTACACGTATCTTAAATTGATTCGAAGCTTGTTGCTACATCAACAATAACAGTATCATAGAGGCAAATGGTATATTAAACAAAAACCATAAACGACACCAATACTGATGACTACATACCAAATTGTTATCGTACCAAATTTTGCTTATGTTGAGATCCTAAGTAAAAACAAAATGCCTACCATATTGAGCTCCTCAAACTTGGCCCTGGTGAGTGTCTCTGAGAAGTCTTCTCCGTCAAAAAGAGACTCGATCTCAATTCTGGTCTGATGCTGGGAGGACAGTGTTCTCTTGGCCTTCTCCACCTCACGACGCAGTTTCTGTACAGCCCTGGAATCCTGTCGTATGTCTTTACCAGTCCTCTTCTTTATCACCTTGAAGAAATGGTCCATCACGCGCAGATCAAAGTCCTCCCCGCCCAGGTGAGTATCGCCATTGGTGGACAAGACCTCGAACACACCTTGGTCTATGGTCAGGACGGATACGTCAAACGTGCCGCCTCCAAGGTCGAACACCAGGATGTTTTTCTCCGAGTCCTGCTTATCAAGACCGTATGCGATAGCTGCAGCAGTTCTGTAATGATGATATTAGGTTAAAGGCTCATTTTGTTTTGAGAGGACTCAATATATAAGATATTAGGTAACTTGGTATGTTTAAAAATCATGTTATTATAACGAAAGTACACAGCTTTGCAAAGGATAATCTTACTTCAGGCTTCTCTTGTTATCTTTAGACAACACTTGCTGAAATTGAATTAATATCTAATTGTTGTAAATCATTTTAACTTATCTTTATATTAATACGGTTTTAATTATATCAGCCAATCAGTACATATATTGAAACGGTTTAGTAAAAGAGTGTGTGCTAGATATAATCTGAACATTTAGGATAATATAGTATACAGGTTCTTTAATTAAGCAAAACTAGAGACATGTTTATGCGTGACGTTTAGTCATGGAAAAGTCACACAAATACTTCACTGGTTGTACTAAAAGAATCCGTATACAATCTTTACTTACCATCGTAGTGAAAAAAATATTTAGACAAAATATAACTGTATCCCAACCACGGAATCAATAAGTTTTACAGGTCACTTTGAATGCAATGGAACACATTGTCTATATCTTATATGAAGAGAAATAGCCATCAACAAGAAAAGATTTACATGGGAATCGACAGTGATCGTTCATACGGAAAACTTTGTACAGCGGGTGAGATCCAAACGAACTAAATGACAATGTGGTGTAGTAATCATGTTAACGTATTTACTCTTTAAGTGCTTCGTTGCTTCATATTTGTAAAGATTACTTTTGGAAAGTAAATAATTAAATAGCAAACATACCACATATTGTTAAATGTACCACGGAATTAGATTAGAGTTATCTAAGTCCGTGAATGTACTTACGGTTCGTTAATGATCCTCATGACGTTGAGGCCCGCTATGACACCGGCGTCCTTCGTGGCCTGTCTCTGGGCATCATTGAAGTAGGCTGGCACTGTGACTACGGCATTGTGTACCGTCTCACCAAGGTAGCTCTCGGCTATCTCCTTCATTTTGGACAATACCATGGCTGATATCTCTTCTGGGGCAAACGTCTTTTTCACATCAGCAATGGAGGTTTCTAAGTGGGGCTTGTTACCCTTGTTTACAACCTGGAAAAAAAGTGATAAAATGTTTTGTTCCGTTCTTACTTATGACATACGAATTTATTTCTGTTTCGGTAGCACATCCAAGTGAGTAGCTTACTATTGCTTCACAAGGTTTCACGGTGACTATTTAAAAGCAACTTTTTGTCTTTTGTGACATTTTCGTTTCATTCTCTTCGTAAATTACGTAATTTATATTGAAAACAAACAGTTAAGCGTGCATCTCAACTAAATACTACTCACGTGTAACTTTCGGCAAACTCTTGTGGTTGCCTTTTTCAGCCCTTACCAAGATCAGTTGGGGGCTTCAGACTAATTTGTTGATTCAGTCATGTGACCCGGGGATTATCCCCAACGCATGCGACTGAATCATGCTAATTTATATATTTTGTTTTTAAACTAGTAAATTAAGAAAACAAAAACTCACTTTAAAAGGATATGTCTTGATGTCATTCTGGACTGACTTGTCGTCCCAGGTTCGACCAATCATGCGTTTGACGTCAAAGATGGTGTGCTCAGGATTGCTGGTCAGCTGATTCTTTGCGGCGTCTCCAATCAGACGTTCACCTCCATCGGTGAAGGCCACATATGAGGGTGTGATACGGTTTCCCTGGTCGTTAGCAATGATTTCTACGCCTCCGTTCTTGAACACTCCGACACTGAGGATAAAACGAAAAATCTACATGTGTTCTACATGAAATTCAATTATTTAGAAATTCCCCCTCTCTCAGCTTAGCAGGCCACTAGACAGTTATGTTACTGGAATTTCACTGGAAAATCCGAAAAAAATCGCTGGATTCACATTTATGACGAAACCACCTATTTTGTTACATATTCCGTGGTAGGCGACATATCAATATAGTCACATTGGTTGTCACATTTGTCACAATTACCTTTGTTGGTAAGATGTCAGTGTTGTCTGTAGTATCTAGAGCATGGTTTATAAAGAAGCAAACGAACAATGATTAAAGACCAACTAACCACTTAAAGTAACATTATAGTACAAGTACTCTTATATAATAATGAAATGCTAGTTAAGTTTGACTTACCATGAGTACGTGGTCCCGAGGTCTATCCCGATCACAGTACCTACGTTGTCCGTTTTCCCGCCGTTAGATACAGCTGCTGACACAGCTATCACCATCGCCAGTCCGACACACAAGACTACGTTCCTCATCGCTCTGGCTCTACTGTAGGCAGTCGTTCCTATCGATTTTTTTTTATAAAAGAGGAAAAAAATTATATTTAGAAATGTCAGTTTAAAATATATTCCAATATGAATAAATGTATAATAGATAGTTGAATATTTGTATTTGCTATCGTACAAGGTGACAAGTGAGATGAAGATTCGTGTAATACATACATATATATCTATAAACATCATGTATGGGTCAACGAAGTGATATTAACGGTAGCTTCCCGAATAACACTGGATCCTTGCAAACGTATGTTTGTAGGATACGAATTACTTAGAATTATATAATATCATATCTATGTAAATAAATTTAAAGACCAAGCTTTTAATACATATGTGTAAAAAGACAATCAATAACTTTGATTACCTGTGTACAAATAAATAATAGATTTGTGTATTAAATATGGTATATTCTATATAGATATAGATAAAGTGTTGTTAACAAATACAAATTGTAAACAAATATACTATATAACGGCTTAGTTAAAATAAATTAATATAAATAATTGTTCAATTCACAATATGCAGAATTTCCCTGTTTAAATGATTTTACCTCGTGGGTTTTTTCAAGTAGTATGATATGAAGAGCTTTCCAACTTGTTATTCAACCTGTCCAAATTTCTTCTTATGATGTGCGTGTGTAATTCATTTCAGTTTAGAATAGTAGCGTGATTCTACACATGAAAACTATTCTATTTATACAATTGTTACTTCAGAAAATATCCATTTGAGCGTCGTGTCACTTACTCTGTGGATGCTGTATTAGTGAGATTTGTGAGTATCTGATAGGCCAAATTGTGATAAAATGATGAAATGTAGTAGATAACATTATTGTTTTAGAGTCCATTGAAACGGGGTGGGCGTGCCTCTATAGCTTTATAGCTATAGTGTACTGTACACACGTGACCTTTACTTCTTTTCTTCAGTGTACCGTAACTGGCTAGGGTTTTGTGAAATCTGAATGTGTCCAATACAGTAACTACACGTTGACTTAAACAAATATGACCTCTATTTGTTAACTATTGCGTCAGGCCGTTTTAACTCGGTAGGGTTATCTCCCTTCGGCTGTTAGTCGACCTGCATTTATGAATACCAAGTACGTAAAATAAGACGCGGATCAAACTATAGACAATATGTTAATAATACAATGATCATTTCAAACAATTATAGAAGGAATATAATGTAATCAAATTCTTTGTAAACGACAAATGAAAAATCGACGTCCCTGATTTGAAACAGGTGATGAAGTTTGAATCAAATTAGAGATCTGTTTTTGAATTGTAATTACACAATTCATTGCAGAGATTAATGAACGGGAGCTTCAATCAGGTAAGGTAACACACATCATTTAATTACATTGGGTTCGTATTTTTAACGTTATTTAAATTCCGACGTGCATCGAGTCAAAGTCAGCATATACAATCAATGTAATATAGTATGAGTAATACATGGAAAATGCGATACCTATGTATGCATGTATAAGCGTAAAGGCAAATGATATACACTGTAATCGTCGGATACCCACGGTTGATCTCGCTTCGGTACTCACTCATCACCCGTGATGCCAAGTGAGTACCGAAGCGAGTACACTGTATGATACCTCGCATAAGCATAATGTAACATTTTTTTTTAACGATCGATCATTTGATGAGCCTCCGTATACATCTTGTACGCGTGCTTGTGTGGATGTGTGGGTGCTGGAAGCAATGGATTCCATCCGGTCACATTATATACTGGCCACGGGTTATCCACTTGTTGCCATAACCCGAAATTCTGAACAATTAGCAGGAAATAGCAAGTGCCATTTTATGAACTTTGATGTGTCCTGACTTAGGGACAGACCCCATCATTGCCTTCCTCACTTAGGAGAACGTTCAACATTAAGGCCAAAAGTGGTACATTGCAAATATTTGTATCAACATGGCATACATTTACCCTTTATAAAAAGGCGTACACAATATACATAGTGTATGGTATATTTGATGATTCGTTTTTGTGCATATATATGTTAAACTGTTATTGGCCCGATTTACAAGTAATAATAATAATCATCTGTTAGTTAATATGCAATTTAGTATAAACAGGATTAAGAAAGAGATATCCTAAGACTTTAAATTTAGAATTGTGCTCTGTCTCTATAGCTTTGCCCCAGCAGTTTTTTTTCAAAGGGTGATGGTCAGTCCAAGATTGACTAGAAAGGGGACGAGTTATCTCCCTTCGACCATCTGTAACCGATTCGCTACTTTCTTAATAAAGCTTTATTTTCAAACAGATCTCTTAATATATATGTTAAGTTGGGAACAAAAGTCCACATGAAAGCACATGCCATGGGTGGATCGGGTTCTTGGTAACAAAAAAATAGGGTAGGGTCATTCGAAAGTGCAGATTTAGAGCTACGATCCGACCTTTGTCCTTCGGCACTGTGGGACTCCTCTCGGTTTTTGTGTATATATTCTGATCTTTGGTGATCTATGAAGTATTTTAAGAAATGTTATCATAATACCGTTTGTTTTAGGTTATGCTCTCTTGTGACAGTAACCCGAGTTTCCACCGTGGCCCACCAGACTTCTTTTACTGATATAATGTCTGGTATTTTATGTCAAAATGTTAAAGTCTGGTGACAGGGCCAGAAGAAACTCCGGCTATAGCGACAGCTGCTCCTTCTCTAGAAGAGATTGAAATCCTCATCTTCCCCTCAATGGACTATTTTATGAAGTGCTAGTCCAAATCCACTGGTAACTTTGAGATATGTTATTTAATGTAATATAATATACGTCTCTGACGGACCCTTCATCACCTCTGACCTTCAGCTCTATGTGAAGTCAACCCTGCTACATTCCGACCCTTATAATATAATAAATGATCATTTTAGACCGTTTTGAACATCCAGGAACATGTTCAGATTTCATATTAAGGTCTTGCACTTTGGATACCCATATGACCTGCCTATCGGCCCCTTCTTGATTAGATTCTGATCAGATCGATTACCTAAGTTTTGAAACCTGTTTCAAGAAAACATGGCGAAAAGCCACTGCAATTGCCGAGTCACCTTGGTCAGATAACCACTGCCCCAACAATATTTTATATAAAACGATCTTATAAGTGACGAAGAGGGGTCAAATTGAAGGGGGAAAAAACAATTAATTTGTTTTTCTCAAGATAGTTTCAAGTGATCATGGAAATATTTTATCCACTACAACATTTTTCAAAAACTACTTTTTTATTGTTTGTTTTCCGATATTATAAATGTCTTGAATAGGACACAAATCTGTTTTATAGTTTACAACTGCATGTGGCCTTTCTCAAGGCAACACTGGTTCCAGTTATTGTCCATTTTTTATACTTCCTTCCTCAAATATCCAACTGTCTCTATTTTGTTCTATCAGTTGCCTGTTATATTAAAGTAAAACAACATCTGCATGAAAAGAGAAAAACGTTTTTTTTTTACAAAAATCTTTCTTTTATTATTCAGTCTTACATATATACATTCATGTACCACATATGTACAAATCATACATACTCACTCAACAGTTAACACATTTCCCAATAACTATACATCCATATCTCACACATAATCACTATCAGATGTCATGAGAACATCAATTTGAATGTTGAAAGCTTGCAAAAAAATTCAATCTTCCATACTTTGTCTTCATTTTCATCAAATTTCTAAGAAAAGAAACTGTGTGATTTTTTTTAATAATAGTACAATTTATAAGAAAGCTATCAACCAGGTGCCCTCATCAGTACAAGATATGAAACAAAGTCCAATACATTCTCACACATAAAATTAACCAAGTCGTGCTTATATACTATCAAAACATTCTCCAAGTTATTCATCATAACATGATATGGTCCAATTATAACAAACAGATGTCAAGTCTGAAATCCAAGGTTCCTTAAAATGGAGGGAAAAAAATATTCAAAACCCAAAGAGAAACAAGATGATGATATGAAGTTCTAACTGAACCAAAATTATCTCATGGTGACAGACACATGTACACAAATCATACACAAACATAATATCACTGTTAACTGTTCCTCTTGAACCCACACATCAATATTTATACCAAAATGGTTCAACAGCACTTTACATGCATTCTTACATGCTCTTCTTGCCCACAATGAATTGGATTTATATTACAAAATGGATAAATGTCTAACGATAGAGAAATTTGCATTTTGATGCAAAACTTTTTTTATCAGAACAGAAACTTGGAAATATATTTAACTGCAACTTAAAGATAGCAAAAATTTCCTTGTTTAATATTAAGAAATATTGTTTAATTGTTCATAGGACATTAGCCTAAATAACCAGACCAGGTTAGCTTCTCTTTAAATTCCAAGTCATTGTTCAAATATGATAAATTTATAGGAAACAACCTATTTAAATGAGAAATAATTTAAATCTAGATTCCACAATTTTTATAATTCGTCATGATCCTCTCCATCTTCCCCTCCCTCTGGGGGTGGAGCACCATCAGCTCCCTGGTAAAGTTTACTCATTATAGGTGTAACAACTTCCTCTAGTTCTTTCTTTTGTGCTTTAAACTCTTCAGCCTCAGCTTCAGCATTACTATCTAACCACTTAATTTTTTCTTCAACAGCTTCTTCAATTGTTGTTTTATCTTCATCACTTAATTTACCACCTAATTTTTCTTTGTCTCCTATCTGTGTTTTCAGTGAATAAGCATAACTTTCAAGTTCATTCTTGGCATCAACCCTCTCCTTTATTTTCTTGTCTTCATCAGCAAATTTCTCTGCATCATTGATCATACGCTCAATGTCATCTGGTGACAGACGATTATTGTCGTTCTGAATTGTTATCTGGTTCTTGCTTCCAGTACCCTTGTCTTCAGCAGTGACCTTCAGGATACCGTTTACGTCTATCTCGAATGTGACCTCGATCTGGGGCACACCACGGGGTGATGGTGGGATTCCAGTCAAATCAAATTTTCCAAGCAAATGGTTGTCCTTAGTCATGGGTCTCTCACCTTCAAATACCTGTATAGTGACAGTTGGCTGGTTATCAGCTGCTGTGGAGAAAATTTGTGATTTCTTGGTTGGGATGACAGTGTTACGAGGGATCAATTTGGTCATTACTCCTCCAACAGTCTCAATTCCCATGGTAAGGGGGTTGACATCCAGCAACAGCAGATCTCCAGTGTCTTCCTCTCCACTCAGAACTCCAGCCTGAACAGCAGCACCATAGGCAACAGCCTCATCAGGATTGACACCTCGATTTGGCTCCTGGCGAAATAATAAAAAAAATAGTTTTTTAACTGAAAACATGTACATGTACTTAACTTTTTTTTAAATTGATGCAGTTATTTGAGATAAATGAAGCAACCACTAAACTGGTATTCTATTCGGACACAAAATTCATACATCAGATATTTCAGTATCTTTTTAAAACATAATACATTTATACATCAGATGCTGAATTGATTACGATGTCTGTGATATATTTCATAATATTCTTACAATAGGCAATCTGATCTCCAGTGTCGATCGATCCAGTGTTTTAAGTGTCATTTAATACCCCATTGCAGTGTTTAATTAGCCGATGACATTTTTTTCATACACACCTTTCCGTCAAAAAACTCCTTGACAAGTTGCTGGACTTTTGGAATTCTGGTTGATCCTCCAACAAGTACAATCTCTGCAATCTCATTCTTTGGCAGATCACCATCTTCCATAACTTTCTGTACTGGTTTCATTGTTGATCGGAAAAGATCCTGCAGAAAATAAAGTTTCCAATAAGCCCAAGCTTAGAAATCCTGAATTTGAGTGCTAACCACAACCTTTTCTGGCTAATTATATCAACTTTTGTGTTTTCCAAAAAAAACTATTAATCCTCAAACAATTTGCCTACCTAGTTTCACTTCAGGACCAATTATGAATCGCTGCCCAATTGAGGCATAAAGAGTATTTGTTAATTAATTTGAAGTATTAAAACTTGTTAAGAGTGTCTTACCATGTTCAGCTCCTCAAACTTGGCCCTGGTGAGTGTTTCAGAGAAATCTTCTCCGTCAAACAGAGACTCGATCTCAATTCTGGTCTGATGCTGGGATGACAGAGCTCTCTTGGCCTTCTCTACTTCACGACGCAACTTCTGAACAGCACGGTTATCCTTTCTGATGTCCTTTCCCTTCTTTTTCTTGTGGAGTTTGATGAAATGTTCCATGACACGCTGGTCAAAGTCTTCTCCTCCCAAGTGAGTGTCTCCATTAGTTGCTACGACCTCAAACACGCCATTGTCGATGGTCAGAAGGGACACATCAAAGGTACCACCACCAAGATCAAACACAAGGATGTTCTTCTCTCCTTCTTTCTTATCAAGACCATATGCAATGGCAGCTGCAGTTCTGCAAAAAAAGAGATACAACAAGGGTAAGATTTATAAGGAGCCAATATTTAACAGCAACCCATATTATCTTCTATTGCTTTTTCAAAAAAAATGTTTTGAATGAAACCCTACATAAAATCAAAATTGTCCTAAAAATATGAAAAACTCACGGCTCATTGATGATTCGCATGACGTTGAGTCCAGCAATGGTACCAGCATCCTTTGTAGCCTGTCTCTGAGCATCATTGAAGTAAGCAGGCACAGTAATGACAGCGTTGGAGACTTCCTTACCCAAGAATGCTTCAGCGATTTCCTTCATTTTTCCAAGAACCATAGCAGAAATTTCTTCAGGGGAAAACGACTTTCTTGCAGAACCTGTATCAACATCAACATGGGGTTTGTTTCCTTTGTTGACAACATTGAATGGGTAAAATTTGATGTCCTTCTGTACAGATTTGTCGTCCCATGTACGACCAATCATACGTTTGACATCAAAGACTGTGTTCTCAGGATTGCTGGTCAGTTGATTCTTAGCAGCATCTCCAATCAGACGTTCACCTTCACTGGTGAAAGCCACATAGGATGGCGTGATTCGGTTTCCCTGGTCATTAGCAATGATTTCTACGCGTCCATTTTTAAACACTCCAACACTGAAAGTAAAGAATATGGTACTCAAATATATTTAATAATCCAAATGCAATATAAAAAAATAGTAATTAATTGACCATCATTTATTATTCAAAATATTCTCATTTGGTAAAATATGAATTCATGACCTAAATCCACATTTAACCTTTTCCTGAAAATCTGTAATATATGTTAATATTTCATTATAATTTTTTCAAGTTTAAGGGGCTCAATCTGCCAGTCATATGCCTTAGTTCCAGTTACTTGAAACATCAATGAAATGTATTTTAACATAATATCTACTAGACTTACCAGGAGTAAGTAGTTCCTAGATCAATTCCAATCACTGTTCCTACACTATCTTTCTTCTTCTCATCATCATCTTTCCCCTGAACCAAGGCTAGCAACAACACCGCCAAACAAACTGGCACCACTAGTTTCATTCTACAAGAAAAAACATGCTTTTTATCATCCAATTCCATAATTTCCAAAATAATAGTGCTGCATCTGTGTCTTACAAGACCTTGAAGAAGAAAAATAAAAGTGCAGTGCAACATTATATTACACTGTCCAGCAGGTGGTTATTATCAGGTCGGGGAAAACCGCTAACTTGCATATTATATGCAAACTTGCCTATTATACGCCAATAGGGGTTGGATTTGTTACTAAAAAAGTCAAAATCACTTTAATCTTAACTTTTTCAAGTTGTTTGTCCAAGTCGCATTTATTCAGTCATGAAACATTATACAAATGCAAAAATAAACTATATTTGCATGTGGGAAAGTACCAAAAATAGATGCAATAATTCCATTAAAGTTACATCAAGTTGCTAAGTAGCCAACACTTTCAGTAAACATCTTTTAGCAAAATATTATTTACCTTGTCGTAAATTAATGCGATTTTTAATAAAATCTTGCAGAAGTTACTGTTAAAGCGATTTGGATTATTTTTAGTAACAAATCCATTCTCCAACTGGCGTATAATAGGCGAGTTTGCGTATGTATACGCAAGTTGGTGGTTTTCCCCAACCTGATTATACATTATCCGAAAAGAGAACTTTCATTTTCTTTCTAAAATTCCATTTAGGCAGGACATAACCACTGAGGTAACACATAATGAAACGAGATTATGTTGAATACTGAATAGTACATGGTAATCTGTAAAGTGTAAAAAAAATATGGTATTAACGGGGGCAGTATGGCAACATGCACCATTATGCTCTACATTTAAATAGAATCGTGTACATATATCTCAAAACTTTGAAGCTGATGATGTGAATAACCTAGTGGGTCTTGTTTATGTGTCCACTGACAAGCAATCACGTTGCCAAAAACAGACTTTATGAGTTTCAGGTACTGTAGAAGTTGACACTTTGTATTTATATAAATGGTTTTCGAAGTTCCGTTGAAGTCGCTGTCCCATTAACGATAGGGGTACCCTACCACTAGTTACTTCGGACTTCTTCTAGTTTTACCACGGACTTAGATCAACTAAGGTATCTAGAAAACATGTTTCACTTTTAAACGGCGTTTTCTAAAAAAAAAAAAACTCAATTATCGAAAGTTATCAGTTCTGTTCAATTAATATAGCGACATACTACATACAGTTCATACTTTCATTCACAATCTAGCGTTAGACATATTTTAATTTCGGAAACACACAAATGTATGCATGTCATGGGCAAGTGGGTGGGGAACTGTATGCCTAATATATACAGTTCTATCCACGTCACGCTACTCAAGTCCCACTGATCCAGTTCACAACGTCGTTTACAAACTAGTTATTTATTGCAAATGAAATTAATTTGAAATTAAAACACTTTCCAATTTTTGCATTGATACAAATGACAGTAATCGTAACTCACTTCCTAGATCCAGTAGTAGTGTTGGACATGTTGGGAAAACGAACACGTGAAACCGATTGCCGATAGATAGACCGGTAGCATTTTACATTGCAACTACGACTAAATTATCATCAACATTGAACTTACGTGATCATTTATATCTTGTTCAGCTCCTTTGGTTATTATACACTGGTAACGGCTTCAATAGAGATGTACCTTCTTAGATTTTGTGTTTCTGACAGATTGTGCCGTTTGGCTTACTCGTGTGCGTTATATCGTTTCCCGTGTTCCCAATCGTGGCCGACTGTGATTGGTTGATCTACGGCGATCAGGAGGAAGCTGATTGGACAACGTGTGACATTTCTGTCATTCATCCGTCAAGGACACGTAGTACGTAGGATATTCTACGTCATTCGGAAAAATCCTAAAAGAAATAGGTGTTTCGATAAAGCTCGACCAGTTATGAGTTTGAAAATAATAAACAAAGGCCATAACTTGAATTTAATTGCAGATTTCTAAATTGAAAACAATCTTTTCTTCTCCGAAGAGAAAAAGCAATTTCCTATTTTGTAACAAAGTATGCGATTGGTCAATATTTTTTCTGAAGATTTATAAAATTATTATTATTATTTATTATAGTAGTTTAGCATTATTATTTGTAATGTTATTAAATTTAAAGAAATCAATATATATTACGGTTGTTTTGCCGTCCTTTTTTAATGATGAAGCATCGCCTTAATGCAATTGACCAATGAAAACGTGTGTTTCAAAAAACGGAACTGCAAATTGGAACACGTGCTCAATTTCAGTTCGTCAATCGGTCATTTCTTCCTTGGACGCCGAGAGGGTTGGTCGTGTCCGATGATTCTCAATCATTATTGAATTCCTACGGTGTAAGTATGAAAAAACATTTGGTCTTAAGGGATTTTTAAGATAAATGTATGATAACTATCCCATTTAAACAATATAGCATTGCTGCAAAGGATAAAAAGAGGTGTGCAGCGGGTAGGGGAATGAGTTCGGAAACCACGTGCTACTGCGAGGATATCGCGATGCGAGTGCCAATGTCGCAGAACAAATAAATTATACACGGCAACCTTATTTTAGTTCAAATGAATGCAGTAGACATCGGATCCCCAGGGTCCCGAGAATTTGTTAGTTATATTTTGAACCTAACCCGAGGTGTTTTTAGAGTATATTTTTACACGTTAGGGGGCTTTTATACATTTTCGGGGAAAATGGCAACCTAATTATGGTATATTAACGAAAAGATAGACTCCTTCATAAAAAAAAGTTTCCTCTGACCCTAACACCAGACTTGGGACATTTTGACATAGATGTCGGGTGTGGGACCAAAGCGCAATGCTATATGAAAACGTCAAATTCTAGCTATAGAAAGTCATGCCAATGATGTTAACATATATTTGCTACTCTTGACAAATGGATGATGACGCACAAAACTGAGGCATGTCGAAATGAATCCTGTTGTCAAGTAGTAAAAGTAGTTTCTTGGCTTAATTGCAATGTATCATTTGTAAAGCCTCAACTAATTATGAAAGTAAAAAAAAAGAAATTCATATGAACGAGAATGTTGAAAATGGCTACTTAGACAACTAATGTCTTGAACAAATTTAGAAATATTTCATTTACAAACCTTGTTCAAATAAGGATGTGAATTGTTACTTTTAAAGTTGGATATGTCACTGTGTGCAGGGGTAGTTATATGGTCATTATTGTAAAAAAAAAAAAAATGATCTGAACACATGAAATTAAGACTTACAACAAGTTCCTTGTATAATTTCATGCATTCAGATAATATTTAATAAAATCTAGGTGACAACAAGAACATTGTCATTCCTAGAAAGGTGCATGTTGTATTTTGAAAACTCTTTTTAAATCATGTTAAATTTAGGGGGGGGCTTAATCATTTTAAAGGCGCAAATTAGCAGTCGCAAATCCTTGAACAGACCTAACCAGATAAGCCAGTGTTACAGCTTAAATTTTAGAAGTCCTATATAGTGCATCTTGATACAGTTGTTTTTCCTTCAACTTTAAAGGGTACGGTACTAGAATACTAGCAATGTTTGCAAAATGTCTGCAATGTGGCAATGATGAAACTTCATTTCCCATCATTCGCGGTTTCCACAGATGGGCAGCACCGCTCAATGATGTTCCAATTACCTTCCTTGGATGTCTGAGCCATATTTTTTGACAGTATTCAATCAAGATTCTCTTCATAAATTCTGTAAATAGTGTTCAGTGAACCCTCTCTGTTCCTTTTTTGCCTTGACATGTAACCATGGAATAAAACTGATAAATAATGCCCACTCAAAAATAAATGTTGCTATTGGGGATTGGTCAGTACTAGGTACCTCCTGTTAAGTTTTTACTGGTTCAATTGCCAAGTTGTTAAAACCTGTTTGTACAGATTGACTGTGGAAATGATGATTGAACTTGCCCTCTCTGAGAAGTTTATGATTGAGGCGTGTTCCCTAGTTATGTACTCAACTAGCTCTGATCTGCAATTCAAGACCCAAAGTCGTCTTCAGAATGATGAATTTTGGACATGCATGATTATGTATGTAATTAACTTTTTAGGTCACCTGAGCTTTAGCTCAAGTGACCTATTGCTATCCGTCGTCGTCCATCGTCCGTTAACATTTTACATTTCAAACTTAGTCGAGTTCTGCTGGGCCGATTGAACTGAAAGTTGGAAGGAATGATCAACTCATGGTCCTGACAAAGTGTTGTTATTTTTCAGGTCAATCAGAAATCCAATATGGTCGCCATTTGGAAAAACTATTTCAAACTTAAAGTTCTACTTGGCCGATTGAACTGAAACTTTGTAGGAATGATCAAATCATGGTCCTGACAAAGTGTTGTTATTTTTCGGGTCAATCAAAAATACAGTTTGGCTGCCATTATACTTAACTATTTTTTACTCAAATTGGTACATATTTAAACAACAAAAATAAATACTGTAGGACTCGGGTGACCGTTAAGGCCCATGGGCCTCTTGTTTTAATCTTGATATAAGATGGGGCAAGTTTTCATCATGTTGAAATACAAAAAAACTGCATAACCTGTAAAAATAAAACTACTGGAATTTTACGTCCTTAAAAACCTAAACTGTTCATAGGATGTTGAACCCTGCAAAATAAAACCAAAACTGGCATGTAGAAAGAGATTGAATTGCCACAACTTCCAGACTGAAAGAAAATTAAACGTTGAGGAAGTGATAATGATGAAGTTTGTTTCTTTTGCTCCATAGAGTTCTTCTGAGCTTGGTGATGGCAGCAATGCCTTCCTTGGACTGAGTCACTTCCATTTACAGTTGAAATTCCTAGATATTTTATATAGCATCCAAAATACTTAATAAAGGGGAATTGAAATATAGAACATTCAGCAGAAGACTGTCCTCTCTTGACATTGCTTTGTTTTTAGGCGACTTAAATATAATATTCATTAAAAAAAATACATTCAAATGCAAAACATCAAGAGGTCTATTTATATAAAAGTAAATGCAGAAACCGAGATTTCTGGTCAAAAATTAATTTGTTTCTTTATCCTTTTCTGTTAATTGAATTTTTCTGAATATAAAACTACTATATTACTAGCGGTGTTTGCACAATGTCGACTTAATTGACAGTTTTGTAATGTAACATTGGCAATGATGAAACTTCATTTCCCATCATTCATGTTGTAATGTTGTTGACGCACACAAGACTTGTTAATTAATACATTATCCTTATCGATGAGTTTTAAATCTTGTTTCATTGCAGATTGCCGCTTTGGAAACCCAATACACTGCAGATTTCTGGATGCATTGTTGAAGATGGCCTTTTAGATCTAAAATCCAGTGGATGCGACATCTACAACATGCGTATGATAATGCCCTTTCATTTACAAATAATAATGACTTGTCCATTTATCCCACTCATAATTTGCTGAAGTTATGAAATTTGGCTGTGAAGTCAAACGCTTTCTTTATTCTAGAACAATTAAGTTGGTAATGATGAATTTGGTTTCTTTGTGCCACAGAGTTCTCAAACTCCAGTTATTGCTTGTAATTTACATTTATCTGGTCTCTTTTGAATTTCATCATTTGCTTTGGCAGAATGAGTGACCTGTTCATGTTTTAATAGATACATTACATTTATTATGTTGATGGCAAGGTGATAGATGATGATTAACACAAGAAATTGGGAATCTCTCTGAATTATCATGTTGATTTCTTTTCTGATATCACCACTAATCCAATCAAAAACTTATAAGTGTTTTTAAAGTACTAACAAAACCTTTTGGGGAAGATAACTAATGAAACATTCCAAGTAGAAGATGAAAAGCTTTCTGCACACCGGCTACTTCCCAGACAAAACGAGAACTATTTCTTAATTAATCCATGGGAAACGAGCGTTTTGTTTTGAAATCTAAATATCCAAAATTTTGTTGATTCCCAATGTGAACACTGATGAGTTTCGAGAAGTGCAATCTGTACCAATATGAAAAATTTCTTTGTAAGTTTACCTGGTTCAGATTTCATTGACTTGTCGAGCAAAGTACAAGAGGGTGAATCCATATGATGTCTTGTAATGTTGAAAATATTGACAGCTGTGTATTGTGTTCCCTTGGTAATTAATTTTATGCAGCCGAGACAGAAATTTGGACAAGGGGGGGAAACAACTGGTTTGAAGGAACTTCAAAGGTTTATAGTAATTATGACTGGTTCATGCAAGTGATGAAGTATGATGATATCGTAGTTCATCTGATTTTGTATGAAGACACATCAGCAAAGTCTTTCGCTCCTATCTGATTCACCACTTTCATGATAAACCAGTGTTCCCAGAATTCCCCAAATCGGTTTATTATACACCTAGTTTTCAAAAACTGCCAAATGTAACTAAATACCTAAGGGTGAAGAATCTTGAAAATGGTGTTAACAATTAGCCTTAATCAGTTTGTTCGGTTAACTATCGCCAATAAAACAAAATTTGCAAGAAATATTTAAATGTTGTATGGTTAGTTTTGCCTTTGTATATTTTATTAATGACCTGAAATGTGATGGGTTTTTTGGGGTTTCTTTTCTTGTTATTAAGAATCGATCCATATATCAAGTCGATGTTAAGATGTATATATATATACCCTATACTAAAAAGGTCTTGCTTCCTCGTGACATGTTGATGAAAATTCGGAAGTCTACCTTGGTGTGATGAAAATTTTGAACTCTCTCACTGAACATTTGTGTAGATAAAAACTTTCTGACCAAGAATATAAAGCAGTTGAGTATCGATTAAGAGTATTAATTTATCAACTACAATTTGTGACTATTACAATGTATGCATTAATGATGCTTATTTTGAATTGGTAGATATCTAATGCAAAACGTACAATATATTAAAACTCGACGAAGATGGCTTTAAACAAAATCACATGGAAGGTAGTGTATATCCTATGGCAATTCATTGAATGTTAAAGGTTTGATACGGTAATGCTCCTTCCATCACTTGAACTACAAATAGGCATTAAAAGTTATTTTTAAACCTTGGGTATCAACAATATTTCAAATATCGACAGCTGCGATTCTGTTTTTTTCGTTAAAGAAGCAGTAGAGGATGATAATCTGCACAAATGGAAACAACTGGTTAATGCAAGTGATGTAGTATGATGATGTCATAGTTCACCTGATTACCAAATGAAGATACATCAGCAAAGTCTTTCGCTCCTATCTGATGCATCACTTGCATTGTCACCTTTTGTTTTGCAGCAGGTGTCGGCAAGACTTAATTGAATAGCACTTCTTCTTTTTTTGGATTATTGTAAAGATCAAATTTCCAAATTTCATTTTAGAGAGTGGAAGCTGAAGTTTGTTGTTCAGAGGCTGGATATTGAAACTGATAAAATATAAGAAATTGTGAACAGATATTAATTTAATACTGCCATGAATACAAGTATTGATACGTATACAGGGGCATCCCACTTCCTACATTGATTAATTATGGAATGGCCGAAATAAATTGTACCTTTTTTCGCTAATATAGAAAGTATTGTTTTAATGTTATATAAACTAGCAGCACTGTAAATAATAGTTTTGATTGAGTGAATATGGCAATGATGAAACTCCATTTCCCATCATTCGCGGTTTCCACAGAAGGGCAGCACCGCTCTATGATGTTCCAATTACCTTCCTTGGATGTCTGAGCCATATTTTCTAGACAATAGTTAACTTGTGATCCTCTTCATTCTATCTGTAAATATAGTTCAGTGGACCCTTCCTGCCCCTATTTTGCCTTAAGATTGTATCCAGTGAAATAAAATTGATTAATAATGCCCCTGAAAAATAAGTGTTGCTATTGGTCAGTACTAGGTACCCCAAGCCAGTATCACTGCCTGCATGCTTTAGAGTTGTTCTTGTGTCATGTCCTCTAGTCTGTTGATCAGGGCAAAGCTCCTCGCCAGTATAGTTTCTGTACAGATTGACTGTGGAAATGATGATTGAACTTGCCCTCTCTGAGAAGTTTATGATTGAGGCGTGTTCCCTAGTTATGTACTCAACTAGCTCTGATCCGCAAGGAAATACTCTAAAACTTGTTCAGAATGATGAATTTGAGATTGATTTAGAGGTATTCATGAAAATGCAAGTATGATTTTGATCTTCATATAATATACAACTGGTTTTCATCATGTTAAAAAGCAAAAAAAAAACACCAAGCATGTAAATGACCATCAACACCAAGAATTCTGTTACCTAAAGCAGAAACCCAAGATTTCCAGTCGAAATTTAAACTTTTTTTTTATCCTTTTCTATTATTTGAATTTCTGAATATAGAACAAATAGTATGCATAATGAAATTGAATGACTACTTCAAAAGACCATTAAATGTTGAAGTGATAATGATGAAATTTGTCTTTGCTCCATAGAGTTCTTTTGAACTTGGTGATGGTTGCAATGTCTTCCTTGGACTGAGTCGCTTCCATTTAATGTAAAAATATCTTTAAATTCATATATTAGCATTAAATCTTTGAGAAGGTAAATTCAAACACAGAATTCTGTACAAGGTCCCATAGATGTAAATATTTATGTATCTAGGGTGTGCCCGCAACATAACCTTTATTGTTGAAAGTAACAATATGTTTGCAATGCGACTACCATTCATTTACGGAGGCGGGCTAGGTTGGAGGGTGTCGAGTATGTACACCATTTCAAGAAGTGCTGAAAAAGCTCCCAACTGTAATTGGTATTGAATGCTACTTAAAGATGCATGTACTTTAATCAAAATAAGAAATCTTTCAGTATAAAATACATTGTATGTATATTTTCATTAGGCATAGTTCAGAAATTAGGAAGTAATGAATCAAAATTTCATTATCCGATTTGATAATCTTCAGCTACAAGTATTAGTGGTGTACCGATAATCGGAAACATTGAGTTTGAGAAGGGTCCAATCCAATAATCAATTTTGCTGATGAAAGAAAGATTGTTAAAAAATAACAAACAAATGATGAAAAGTTTGCCAAATCAGTGTCCAGGCCTCTGAAACTGATGATGCTAACATTTGAGTTTCTGATCTTTGTTATTAAAGCTATGTATAACATCAGCATATGTAAAGTTGGATTTGTAGTTGATGAATCGTGCACAAAGTGACCGTGTACTTTTTTGTCTGCCCAGAGCTCCTTGTGTATTGTTTAAATGTTAATCCTCTTGACCAAAGTATGAACAATTTTTTAAAAGAAATGCATGTATTTGTGATGTGGTAAACTGCTGTTATCAAAATCTCATCATCCCAATTTGATAATCTTCAGCTACAAGTATTTACATTTAAGTTTAAAAGAAATAACAAACAAATGATGAAAAGTTTGCCAAATCAGTGTCCAGGCCTCTGAAACTGATGATGCTAACATTTGAGTTTCTGATCATTGTTATTTAAGCTATGTATAACAGTACATCAGCATGTGTCAATTTGGATTTGTAGTTGATGAATCGTTCACAAAGGTACGTGTAATCAGATGTTGGAAGATGCATCTTTTTGGTCTGCTGAAAGCTCTGTGTATTGTTTAAATGTTTATCCTCTTGACCAAAGTATGAACATTTTTTTGATAGAATGCATGTATTTGTGAAAGAATGCATGCATTTGTGATGTGGTTAACAGCTGTTTTACTATTATTAATTGGACCCACAGATACATCGATAATATGCTATTTATAACGCCAAATACCAAATAAAAAATTTAGAACTAAATGCAGCATTATGTATAAACGAAAGATGACTGTGATTAGTTGAGAAAGGATATGTACAAGATACAGATCAGTTCAATATTTACCCCTACATTATTTTTACAAGAAAGTTTTGAAGGTTCTGAATTTGTCTTGGCTTGTTGATGATGATTAAACGCAGATAGGGACAATTGATTGCATTAAATGCAAAATGAAAAGCTTTCTGTGTACTGATGACATGCCTGGCAAACCAGGACATTGAAGACATGTGGCTGTATATTGACAGCTGTGCATTTTGTTTCCGTTGGTAAATAATATAAGCATTGAAGGAACAGTGTTCCCAGAAACCCCAAAGAGGGGTTTTCACATCCAAAAAAGTTCGTTGTTTTCAACAATTACCATATTTAACCAAGTAACTAGCTATAGGTGTACAGAATCTTGGAAAATGTATCAAATATACCCCACAATCTAAAATCCAGTGGGAACACTGGAGGAAAGTTATAATTATCTGCACCAGAGAAGGTAACCGGTTAAAATAAATATTTCCCTGTTACTTGCATGAAAATTCTGTTAATATAGTTTGGCATCATTCAAACATCAGGTTGGTTGATGAAATTGGTGAAGGATGATGTCATAGTTCACCTGATTACCAAATGAAAGATACATCAGCAAAGCCTTTCGCACCATTTATATCGCCTGTATCTTCCAAGGTTTATTGGGTTTTGAATTCTTCCCGTGACAAAATATTTATCTAACTAGAAATAATGCAAAATCATACATTTCAGAGTAACTGTCTTCTGATTATATTATTACATTATTTCTTATCTTAAATGTTAGTCTTTGCCTTTGAACCATTAACAAGAAAATAATGAGAGAGAAAAGTCTTGTAAAAATATATTCCAAAGTTTTAATGATTTCCTATTGATCATACTGTCGGCACAAAGAAGTGTTTCACTAATTTTGATGGAGTGAATATGGCAATGATGAAACTCCATTTCCCATCATTCGCGGTTTCCACAGATGGGCAACACCGCTCTATGATGTTCCAATTACCTTCCTTGGATGTCTGAGCCATATTTTTTGACCGTATTCAATCAAGATTCTCTTCATAAATTCTGTAAATAGTGTTCAGTGAACCCTCCCTGTTCCTTTTTTGCTATTGGGGATTGGTCAGTACTAGGTACTTCCTGTTAAGTTTTTACTGTTTCAATTGCCAAGTTGTTAAAACCTGTTTGTACAGATTGACTGTGGAAATGATGATTGAACTTGCCCTCTCTGAGAAGTTTATGATTGAGGCGTGTTCCCTAGTTATGTACTCAACTAGCTCTGATCTGCAATTAAAGACCCGAAATGATATCGGTTAGTTTGTTTTCATTTCATAACTACTAAAATGAAATTAGCTATTCATTCCTTGTTGCGATCATTTTGGAGATATATATGCTGACCCCGCTTTATGGCCAAGTAACATTATTGGGTGTATTGAATGGTCAGCTACAATAAAATTGCTCTGTGTCATGGTCACAATTTCTCTGGAAATGAAATAATGCCTGGATTAACAGAGCGACATTATGTTGTACTATACACAAGTAACATCTTGTATCTGCTGCGAGAGAAAAACAAGAAAGCTTGTTGACTTTGTCTATTTCATTGTGTTTCGCGTTGCATGCACAAATGATGGAAGTGAGCTTTTTTATGTGGTGCAGTGTCTTGAAAACTTTTACTATAAAAGACCACTAGCCGAAGGTATTGTGAATATATTGATATGCTCCAACCATTATGTAATACCAGTCTTCATTTCATATCTTGCGTTGATTTTCTTTCCGTCTAGAAAAAGTTCCACCGACCTGTTCTGCAGAAATATTTAAGTCCACGAGGGTGAATACATAAGTTGTCATGTTGATTTTGTGAATATTGACAACTATACGTTCTATTCTCTTGGCAAGTGTGAACATCATTCATCCCTTGGATTGAAATGAAGGTCCTTGAGTGGAATACAATTTATTAAAATTTCCCACAAACTAACTCTTTTATTCACTCTTAACAGATGGTTTGCCACTTTTGACATGAAGAGGATAGGAGGGGGCAATGTTGGCCCATAAATGTAACGCATCAAAAAATACTTGTAACCAAGGCGACAACAGAAAACAACATTGAGTATCAGATATGAGTGAGACAAGTACGTGCAACTTGCATTTGTTTAAAACGCCTTGAAACTATATACATACATGTATGGACTAATAAAATCTATAGCCTGCAGTTTATATTATATTTCATCTGCAAAATCCGATATCTAACCACAAAAACAATACATATAATAACAAAACGGAACATTTATAATGCTAATTGTCAATTTCAAGCTGTTTTACTTTTACTCATTTGGAGGCATCTATATAGGTAATAAGCAATTCATACCTGTGGTTTCGTCTAATGCTAAAATATTTAGAATTTGATAAGCATTATGTATCGATGGAAGATTAGATGGCAGTTACATTTTTTAACCCTACATTAATTTTACATGAAAGTTGGAAGATTCTAAATTTGTCTTGGCTTGTTGATGATGATTAAACGCAGATAGGGACAATTGATTGCATTAAATGCAAGATGAAAAGCTTTCTGTGTACTGATTACAAGCCAGACAAACCAGGATATTTCTTCATTAAATAACTATGGAAGGTGGAGATTTAAAGCATAGAAGTCGTTGTGTATTAACAGCAGTATATTTTTTTTCTCTTTGTAAATATGTAAGTTTTGTTATGTTTGTGTTCATTTAAGGACGGTTTTGGTGGTGGAGGAAAGCGAGAGTTCCCGGAGAAAAAACCTCGGACAATACCTGGTAACCTCCAGTGAAGGGTTTTCACCCAAAAAACAAATGTACTCTTGTTTTCAACAATTCCCATAAATACCTACTACTCGCATGAAAATTCTCGGTATATACATTTAGTTTGATATCATTCAAACAAGGATGATGATGTCATAGTTCACCTGATTACCAAATGAAAGATATCGGTAGTCTTTCGCTCGCATTAGATTCACTAATTTTATCGCCTGCATTTCCACAATTTTTATTGGGTTTTGAATTGAGTAGTATTTTCCTTCTGTGACAAAGTAGGTTTCTAACTAGAAAATAATGCAACATCATTCATTTCACTACAGTTACTGTCTTCTATATATATTATAAGTTGTTTATTGTTACCTTATTTCTTGCATCGATAGTTATCTTTGACTTTGAGACATTAACATGAAAAAACGGAGAGAAAGGTCTTGCATATATTTAATCATTTCCCACTAATCATACTGGCAGCACCAAGAAGTGTTTCATTAGTTTTGATTGAGTGAATATGGCAATGATGAAACTCCATTTCCCATCATTCGCGGTTTCCACAGAAGGGCAGCACCGCTCAATGATGTTCCAATTACCTTCCTTGGATGTCTGAGCCATATTCTTGTAAAATAAGTTTAGTTTACTTGAGCTTGGTATGAGATTTAAGACTTTTTCTACTTGTCAATTTCCACCAGCAAATTTTGACCAAACTTTAATCAAATAATCCTTCTGTTACTTTGTGTGTCTGTTGGGTTTTGTTTCTATGTATATAAGTACCACAGGTAAACTAACCTCAAAAATGTTTTTTTAACCGGATGTAAATGGAGATGAAATTCATTAATGCATAGTTGATAAGACCACTAAATATATGGGTTTGTTTGTTTTCATTTCATAACCACTAAAAAGAAATGAGCTATTCATTCCTTGTTGCAATCATTTCAGAGACATGCTGACCCCGCTTTATGGCCAAGTAACATTATTGGGTGTATTGAATGGTCAGCTACAATAAAATTGCTCTGTGTCATGGTCACGGTTTCTCTGGAAATGAAATAATGCCTGGATTAACAGAGCGACACCATGTTGTACTATACACAAGTAACAGCTTGCATCTGTTGGCTGGTGTAAATTATTCTTTTTTTTCAGGCAGATAAGATATCCCTGATGTCCATACTGAATTTACTTGAGCATGGTACAAGATTTGTCCAGACATTTTCTACTCTAAAATTTCCACCAACCAATTTTGATGAAACTTTAATAAATAATCCTTATTTCTTCAACAAGATTCATCATTTTGGAAATATGTGATGTCAAAGTTTTACTTTCGACACAAACAATAATATGTACATGTTTGTAACAACTTGCATCTGCTGCGAGAGAAAAACAAGAAAGCTTGTTGACTGTTGACTCTATTCAATTATCTATTTCATTGTTAACTCACCTTGCAAGCATAGTCAAGTGATCTTTTTAAGATGGTGCAGTGTGATCTCTTGTCAACTTTTCATTTAAAAGACCACTAGCTGAAGGAATTGTGAATGTTACTTCATCTGTTATGTGGTACCAGTCTTTTGTTCATTTTCTCTCCTAGGAACAGTTTCACCAACCTGTTCTGCAGTCTGTAAGTCCAAGAGGGTGAATACATATGTTGTCATGTTATATTTATGAATATTGACAACTATACGTTCTATTCTCTTGGCAAGTATAAACGTCGTACATCCCTTGGTTGAATGTGGTGGCCTTGGATCGAAATGAAGATGTCAAAGAACTGTCTCGGTGGGCAGGTGCCCTTGGATTGGAATACAATTTATATAAATTTCGCATGAATTTAGCAATCGCCATGTTAAAACATGAAGATGACTTCTGAATAAATATGCCCAATATTGTGATAATTTGCGAGTAGCATGCTTGCAAGAAGGACTATTGAGATTTAGGTTGTTGAAATGAATCGCCTCGTTTACTATAGAGTTTGTATAGATAAATTTCGCCTTTAATAATTACCCACTTCGAAGGTCACAGGTGCGAGATGTGTTGAAACAACATTGACTATCGGATGGGCGAGACAATTGCATGTAACTCTTGCATTTGTTTAAAAGGCATGCGTATCTTGGGTTGGCAGCCCTGTGTACTAAATTTAAAACCATGTGGCATATTTGCAGAGTTGTGCCCCATTTGCTCTGTCTAGACAACATTTATTTCGGCTCCATAGTTCATCTGATTAAGTTGCGAGAGTATATAAATATGACATTCATTAGCAGGTGACGGTGAATATTGTCAACCCTCAAAAACCCATTGTCCCCCTCGGCTTCGCCTCGGGTGACAATGGTTTTCTTGGGTTTACAATATTCACCGTCACCTGCTAATGAATGTCATCTATTTTGTTACACCAAAAGTCAATGTAGCTCAGAAACGGCAGCAAACCTCGATAATGACATCTTGTTTGTTGATAGTCTGCTGTTTACAATCGCTATCGCACGGGCACTTGATGAAATTGGCTGTTGCAATCAAACGTTCTTGTGACCATCACGGTGGGGAAACGAAGCGGTGCACGCATGTGATATTTTTCACTGTCTCGTGGCAATATCACCCGCGCCCCTTAAAACCAATGTATTTTGGGAGGGTGACACAGATTTTTGTTTAATTTTCTCCCAACCAATCAAATAGCTAGAAATTCACTTGAGGTGTAACAATACAAAATGTTGCAAGTTCAGCGCATTTTGTGGGTGTGTTGCATGAAATTATCGGTACATTGAAGCCTTGGGAATGCATAAAATAATCTTGCAACAAGCGATGCATACCAGACTTGTATGACTAGGCTTTGAAATTCCCATTCCTAAAATATTGGCACATCTTGAAAACAGTTCTTGCTTAGGGCTAGGCTATTCCATAATCTATGGTATGGTGTTGGTGGGAGGCATGTGTATTTAATTATGGTTGTGGGTTTAACTCGTTCACCCCAGAAATTTAATAATTAACTATTCCAACCTTTGAATTGGAAGAGTTTAAATATGTCTTCAGGGGTCAATATGTTAAAACCTTGTAGGTCTACAATTTCTTGTATACAATTGCTGTTACAAATTGATGGGTGTTACCACCCACAACATGCTTATTTCTTTAATAGCCCTTACTGTAACTATCAATCTGGACAGAAATGATTTTGTGAAAGAAAAAAATATGAAATCAAGTACAAGGTATACAAAGATTTATTACCACATTAATTAATGAAGGAAAATATCAGTTCCATAAAACGATGTATTGCATTTACAGCATTGTAGTATTTGAAGTTTTCGCCTTCATTTCATATTAAGAATTATGTATAGCAGACAGACGGTTAAGGGTGTACAAAAAGACGAGTTGTCATGATCAGTACCTCTTCAGTAAAATCTTTATTTAGTTATCCACATGTATGAGTATGTTTATAGCCTACAGGTAATGGCACCACCACACTTGATAATACAAATTACACATCTTGCAATGTTTTGTGAAATGCATCTCATAAATGATTAATCATAAGACACTTGTTGACACCAAAAACGATATATGCACAACTTGGTTTTCTACTTTTGTGTGTTGGTATGCTTGAAAACGGACCCCATTTACACTATAAAAGACAGGGTCACAACATGGTAATATGACAGGGATTTGCAGCTTTTACTTGATGTATTAATTTAAGGAGGTATTGAGAGAAATTTTGTAGAAAATTGTATGTCACGCAAGATGATTTGATGGCACATCATCAGACATCTTAAAGGGGCTTAACAATACTCCATCAGTATTGTTGTGTATAACACACAACATGTACATAGCATGCATTACGATTTGTTTGCTTAAAAAGTGTGTTTCAAATAGATCATAAATACCATACTAAAACAGTTCTGTGCTTATATTTACATTTTCTCCGCCTCTCACGGTTTTTAAACTTACAAATTATATTTAAATTTCCCGTCTTATAGACAGTCTGCACAAGTGATGATTAGCAGAGATTGTCTCCTGGTGGATGTCGGACCCATCATTGATACAAAATTAGGTCCCCTTCACCAAAGGAAGCTATGGACATAATCCTATCATTCCTACAGAAGGATTTTTTAAAGCTATTTTTCTATTTTCCCTATTTGGCCTTGCCCCTACTGTGTTCAAACCCACAGTTTATACAAAATTGGTTCCCCTTCACACAAGGGTGCTTCATCCCAAATTTGGACAAAATCCTGTCATTCCTATAGAAAAAAAGGATTTTGAAGATTTTAATCCTCGTTTCCCCTGGGGGGTCAGACCCACCGTTTATACAAAATTGAGTCCCCTTCACCAAAGGAAAATTGATTTCCCTTCCCCATAGGATACTACTGTTCAAATTTGCTCAAGATACCTTTATCACAACGGAAGAAAAAGGATATTAAAGCTATTCCTCTATATCCCTCAAGGATGCTCCAGACTAAATTGGGATAAAATCCCTTACGGTAGAAGAAAGATTTTAAAGGTTTAACCTCTATTTCCCCTATTCTAGCCACACTCACTCTTTATACAAACCCGAGTCCCCTTGGCCCAAGGAAGCTCCAAACTAAATCAGGATAAAATCCCTTAATCCCTACGGCAGTATAAGGATTTTAAAGGTTTTACCTCTATTTCCCCTATTGAGCTCTGCCCCCAGGGGGGCCACACCCACCATTTATATAAAATTGATTTCCCTTGGCCAAAGGATGCTCCAGTCAAAATCTACTTGGCCGTTCAGGACTAGTAGCGTTTTAAAGAAAAAGTTGACGGAGGCTGCGGTATGGCAAATAGCACTAACGTGAATTGAGAGGTCTATTTTAATTCAGTTACAGGGTGGAGGAATTTTTCCTTTTTTAAAATTAACATAATTATGGCATGATACAGGTCCCTGTCAAGAGCGTTTTGGCAGTCCAAAACTACTTGCAAACAACATCTAAGAACCAACATTACAGTTCGAGTAAAATGAGTGCATGGAATGGGCAAAATAATAAGTGACAACATAACGGGTGAAGTAGAACACTTGTTTGTGGTAGAAATAATTATTTCTGGTACAGTAATCATTTATGTAAATCAATAATTGTTTCCTTACTTTTAGTGTTTTTCAGCTTCAATTAATGTCTCTATGTTGCTCAGGGTATACATAGATTTATAGGACATGTCTTGGAATTGCTCTCCATTACATTGTTTTCTAAGCCAATTTCTTCTTTTTAATGCACTTAAAGATGTTTTATTTCTTATCACTTCATAACACAAGACATGTCTTCTACCTAGATACAATGTCCCTCATCCATTAAAACCAGTCAAGTACTATAGGTTGTGTTTTTGTTTACTACATATACATCGAATCAATATTTAGTTTTATGAAAAACCTAATGTATTGTGAAGACAAAACCAAAGTAAGGTATTGAGGTTAAATTAAGGTAATGAATAGAAATGTCCATACTTTTCAAAAATAAAAATAGCTTTGATCACATGGAAACATACATTAACATGTTACTGAACCGATTACAAGTTAAACTTTTTCAATGTAAATCCATTATGCTTTACAATGCCCCTTCATCATCATCATAATGGCGAGTTACACAGACACAATGGATCATTAGTCACAAAGTCTGATGTAAAAATATAATCATGATGTCCGAAACATAATGGCCCATCCTTCTTGAATTTCACTCCTCATCATATAATAAATATTGAAAGCCAAAAATAGAAACTTTCACACTTGTTCACAAGCGGGCACTTAATAGGTTTAATGACATAATATATATATTAATAACATTAATGAGAAGGAATCAAGACAATTGTCTTGCAGAAATTATACAACAAATGTACTCGAGTGCATCATTTACAACAACAGTTACAATCATTCACATTACACAGACGACTTATCACATTGAAATTGAGAACTAGTTGCTTTAGAAGCCAGTAATATTCACTATACATCTAATGCTGCTTTACTACTGTGTATATTACATGTAATGTTAACCGCTTGTAGTTTCACCCTTGAGCAATAACTTGTTAAACCGCCTCCTGTTCTAGTTTTGGGATATATGCTACCTTCACATTCATACACTTGTGATTTGTTTCGGAGTTATCTCCCTTAAAAGTACAATCATTCAAAATCGCCAGTGATAGTAATGGGCCAATGCATCTATGCTAGCCAAGGGTTACGATCCAGTACGATCCACCTATTCTTATGGAGAGTAGGTAGACCAGATTGTAATCCTTGGCTAGCAAAGATGGGAACAACCAAAAATTAGTCTGAAATAAAATTGAACAAGTTAATCAATGCCAAAACTGAATAGCTAATTAACAGGTTAAGTTCAGAAAAAATCAGGAATTACCTAGTATGGTATTTTTGAGTCTTGAAAATGCTTAAATCTGTTTATTTTTCTTGATTTAACAACTCAAAGACTAGAAAGGCCATTACTGCAGCTTAATAATCATTTCAAAAGCTTTCAAACATGTGTAATTAACTATTATATTTCAAATAATTATATTATAAAGAAGCCTATACAAGCAATTTGGTAATTATATATAATGTGACCATCACAATCTTGTGTTATCAATGTATATAATCTCGTTTAAACTTCAACTAGTCATCAAATAATCAACAAAGTCCAAATCAATATTCATACAAGACATTGTACAGATTTCTTCTGTGGAAATCGATTGAAAAGGAGGTTCATGTTAAAGTAAGATAGCATGTGGCCTTAAATCAGACTAAGAGAATAAATAACTGTACATTTGTTATTAAAACCACATCATTTATAGCAAGAAATAATTTCGTATAAGACACTTTAAAACTGACTTTCTGGACAATTTGACATTGTAAACACCTGGTAATTTGAATGATGATTATGATTAAAAAAATCTCCAAAATATATTCCAAAGTCAGATACATATATTCACATTGATTTTGATGAATGTTATTAAACTGAAATTTAAAAATTTCAGCAAGCCAATTTTGAGAAGGGGATATATTTCACATCAACATAAATAATTATAATATATAAAAAAAATCAGAAAAAATATCATTCAAAACAACATCCTGTTAAAACAGGAAATATAAATCTATATCACAATTTTACAGCGAATCATGGTAACTAAATACTGGTATGTTACCTTCACTAGTCGCCATATACTTGTAGCAATCATCCATACAGACATAACACAAATTTCATTTACAGGTTTACATGCAAAAATTCAGAAAAGATTCCTGCTTCAAAATAATCAGCACATTTAGAAGTTTGATACAAAACAAAGAGATTAATAGAATCATCCCCTACCTTGAGGGTGTGACAGAGAAATTTCCAACCCGAGAGGGGATGTTTTTTGGTTGTCTAACCCTCGGGTTAGACAACCAAAAAAATTACCAAGAGGGTTGGAGATTTCTCTTACACCCTCAGGGTAGGGGATGATTATTTTTCTCCCATCCTATTATTTCAGTCACAGCTCCACCGACAGTAGTCTGTCGTGTTTGTAAACAAAAACACATGTGGGGTATGCATATCGTCATTCACTTTTGATGACGTCACAATTACCGATGACGCATTTTAATGATGTCACAATTGAAGACATGCTAATCGGCACGAGGCTATCTCCCCCTAGGGGATGACAAGCTGATCTTTCCCGGCTAAAACGGGAGACACACCTGTGAAGGGTGGGAGAAAAACCAATCCCTAACGACACCATCCAAACCTTGACATCCTGTATCAAACGAATATCTCTTTACACACATCATTCATGCTCCTGCAGACATCTTTTCTCAAGCCACTTCTCTAACATACTCATCATCCGAAGCATTACAGACATACCTTACTTCCCTCGGAACTCCTCATGAAGAATAAATAGGCAGAGGATGAGCCTCACTGTTAAAGACAAATTTGTCTAAGGGTATTAATGAATCGTCATCCCCAAATAAAAGATATAAATACTTTAATGTCTCTGCTAAAAAGAAACTTTCCAACTTATCTCGGAACGTTGCTTTTATGGCTTTCACATTATGAATGGATGAAAATCCACCATTTTCCACCTTTGTATGCTTTAGGAAGGCCTGGAATATGTTCCAGCCCATTTCCTGATATTTTTTGTCCCCTGTGAGGCGGTACATGTAGAAGAGGCTCTCCACAGTCTCTGGCCGCAGGAGGTTGTGAGCATCTGGTGCCTGAAAAATGCCATTTAAACATAATTGTACTCATCATATGTAAATTACATGAACAAATCCTTACAGAAAATAACTTGAATTTTAAGTTCTTTTCAAGTTAATTAGAAAACAAACAAGAGCTATTATAATACTGCAACTATCAATAGAAACACATGTATAGTAAAATGTTGATATAGTGCCTGTTGTTTTATTTGCCACCTCACTTACCACCAGCATATTTCAAGGCCTGTTAAGTGTAGAAACATCTATGTGAAGTGATTGTTAAGAAATTAACAAAGTGCAATAAATCTGTTTTTGGATGCTAAAATATGAAAATATGGTTTAACACATTGCTTACACTCAATACAAATACTTCACCTTTATGATAGACAACAGCCTATTGATGGTGGTGGTCCAACACTACCCAACAAAACTTGCCCAAAAACTTTAACCTCAAGCATACCCCAAAACATTAATCAAGTCCAATGAAGCTGTTTTTGGCCCCTAAAATATGAAAATATTGTCCAGAACATTGCTAACACTCCATATAAATACTTCAACTTTATAACAGACAACAGCCTGTTGATGGTTGTTGTCCAACACTTCACAAAAAAACTTGCCCAAAAACTTGAACCTCAAATTTAACCAAGTCTAATTAAGCTATTTTGGGGCTAAAAATATAAAAAAAATATGGTCCAGCACATTGTTTACACTCGATATAAATGACTTAAACTCATAATAGACAACTGTGTATTGAGTGTGATGATCCAACACTGTTTGGAAAAAACTTGCACCAAAACTTTAACCTCTGAAGGTTCCCGGACACCGACGCCAGGGTGACAGGCGAGCTAATACAATGGATTGTGATTGGCATTTAAAATTAGTACACTTCATTATACACCTGCTTTAACTGAAGTCAGGGGTGTATATAGTATTTCCTTTATTCATCCATCCATCTTGACCACTGTATCATGAATAGCCATTAAACTTTGCATATAGGTACATTAAATGAAGGCAGTTTGTTGTGTCCACAAACGTGGTCATTGTGACCTTTATTTGGCCTTTGACCTTGACCTCAAGTACTAAAACACAATGTCATACAGGTTTCAAAAGAATATCTTGACTACCATTTCATATATGAACCTCGGACTTTGTGTAATACAGGAATATGTTAGGTAATAAAACCTGTTCACTTCAACCTCAATATGGCCTCAATTTTAAAATACAGTGTAGGCGTAAGGCTTCACAAGATATCTCAACTACCATTTTATGTATGGATGTCAGACTTGATGTTCAGGTCAGGAGGTACAGTGTGGTGTGATAAAATGAAGTTCATGTGGTCAGCAACAAAATATTTGACTTTGCATTCAAGTACTCAATACTATAGCAACAAATATGCAGGGAGCGGGGGTATCTGTGAATATCTGTGAACCCCACACTTTGAGTTAAAACTAGTACATGTATTTTGAACAAAATTTGTACTGTGTCATGGAAAACTTATTTCCAATTCATTTTGTAATTACAATGCTGAATACAACACTGGGTATTTTGTGTTTAAAAGGTGAGAGCTTACAGTAAGCTTTGAGATATAAACAATCAGATATATTGTCATGATCAATACATTGAGATAGAGCTAGGATAAATATGTTCAGATAAAGATCTTAAAAATACATTTAGGTTCGATAAATACGTTCTTTTACAGATGTGATAAATACAATGAGATAAAGATAAATACTTTGACAATAAGGTCCTCTTTAGACTGTGCAGCCTGGCTGAAATAGACAATTTCTGGACTGAGTTTGGTAGGCATCCGGGCGTACATCTGGTAACAGGTCTCTGTTAGACGCTTGGCAATGTCAAAGTGGTCTGACGGTAAACCATTCTTGTATCCAAGGGCCATCGTACCTGGCAGGTAGCACACAAGGTGGTCCTGTAAGGTCAATTGAAATTACTTAAAAAATGAGTGAAAAAAGCTCACCTAATGATCATTTTCAACAGGTACCCTCTAAATTTCTTTTTATATCCTTCCATGTCCTTTATCTATTAAAGTGAGTAGGTACTTTATAAAGGTTCAAGTAATTTTGACTTGTTTTTATAACACATTCTCCTTCAAAATAGAAGAGAGTATATTTCCCAATAACGATGATTTTATTAAATTTTGTTTGCACAATTGAAAAATAATACAGAATTAATGTATTTTAGCACAAAGTCACTAATTCAGGAAGGGATATAAAAAGTTATTAGATTAGAGAACAATCTCGTGAAAGTTTGGTCTAAGGGAAGATTTTTTTATTTGAAATTTTGCATTCAGCGACCTCCCTAGGGACCCCACTGGCTTCGCAGAACATGATCGTGTGGTGTCAGATTCAACACTGTAGTGATCACAAAGGAATAAACTGAAGGAATTCGTTTCAATCAAATTGAGAATTGTATGTTAAGGAGTGTTTCACTTCAACTTAAGGCATTTTATATCAAGTACAAATAAAGTTTGTCCTTATTAAAAATATTTTACCATTTTTGGACTGAATGTACGTCCCCCCAACAGCTCCCCCAGGTACAAAAGTTTGGAGGGAGATGACTCTCTCAGCAGGTGTTTCTTCACTCCATCAATGGCATTCACAAAGTCATCCTTAAACCTGGAAAACAGAAATATTCTATGTTACATAGCATCTACAATTTAGTGGTGAAACAAACGTAATTATCCAGGTAGCAAAGTGAAAGTGATTGCTGTTGACTAAATGTGGGCACATATATACTGGTGAGAAAGTTTAAGATATCTTGATGAAGTAAGGATGCTACATTAAATTCATGTTTGGACGTTAACAAAAAATGGACAAACAGACAGACATTCTCCAAATGTGGAGCCATGAAAAGAAATCCCAAAGAAATTCTAAACTCATGAACAGTGTTGAAATAAAAGGATTACCTGTTTTTACAGTAAAACATCCTCCGATCAGACGGATACATAAACAAACTGACAACTAACAGATTGGTCCTGCTTTACATCTAACAAGCTAATGACCTATCAAGTTATATAAGACTTTGTTCTTGACCGTCACTCACATGTTCATTGTCTTGCCTGTCTGGATCCATTGTTTGAGAAGGTACTCGTAGTAGCTGTCTCCTCGGGCCCCAAACGTGATAGTGCTAGTTCCTCTGAAGGATCCAGTGTTGGCATTGACAAAGATAGGCACCAAGCCATCCTTTTTGGGCAAGCTATGGATGTGGTTACTCACAGCCATTACAGCTTTCTGGGATAGAATTAATGTAAAAATTGGATTGAACAGTAATATTCTTTAAGCTCATAAAATGTGAAGAATGGATTGCATAGTAACATTGTACTGGATGAAGATTAAATCATTTATAATATAATGATCAACCCCGTAGAACACCTTTAAACAACATCACTACTTGACATCTATAGTGACTTATGACTTGTCAGCTATGGCCTCAGAAAGAGAAATCTTGCATGATACCCAAGTATTGAGTATATTAACGATTATCAATCTCCCACTTTTTTTTCACTATGCCTAATCTGTGATTCCCTATATAATACACCATCCTTTAATTATTATCCTTGGGGTTATAACCTTTTCCCTCTAAAAGTTACATGTTTGGCTGTCTGTAGCAATCTGAACTTGTAATTTGCAGTCTTAAGTGGCAATGAGCACGCTAGAAAGTAAAAATATGTGAGTGACAATGCTGACAAATTAAAGCAGCTGTAAACATATAGCAGAGGACTTCTGCTGCTTTAAACTCTCATTGATATCTAGTACAGAGAAAGGCTAGAAAATCAGGAATCACTTAAATGAAATCTCCATCATATATACACACAATAATTAAATATCTTCACAAAACTATTTGACCAAATTAATCATGAATTCTGTAGTTAATGAATCAGTTTATTGGCCGAACTAACCAACAGTCAACAAAGTTGATTGATCGGAACACAACTGTCTGCCACTATATATGCCTCTTACTTGTCATCCTTGATGACTTATGACCTTTGTTCTCTGACCTCTATATTTATCTTATACTGGTCATCCTTTAAGAACTTGAACCATAGCCCTCTGACCTCTGTACATGTACATACACTATAAAATTTGTTGTCCTTGATTTTTTATGACCTTTGCTTTCTAGTCTATACATACCTCATACTTGTCATCCTTGGTGACGCGGGAGAGGTCCCTGAACTCAATCTGTATGGTGGTGACCTCGGATGTGCTGCTGTCTGGGCCCCATCGTGGGGCATGAGCACGACTTGTCATCAAGTTCACATCAGAAAACGGTACATTAGATGGTGAATTAAAGCATGGCAGTAGTCTGTTTCCCAGGTCAGTCTGAATAATATACAATCAATGGAAATGTTACCCAAGGTAATCTGAACAAAATACAATGTCAATAATTACACAAGTCAACCTGAACGACATCCCCTTAATGTCAATGTTATCCAGGTCAACTTAATATCCCATCCCTTTCTAACTTATCCCAATTAACTTGATCAGTACCTAATTCCTTAGTAGTGCCATGTAACCTGTGAAGGATTGTTAAACTGATTGAAAACCATGTGTGCTAACCTCTCATGACAAACGACAACACAGAATATAACCACTATATAAATTCCTCAGAATTCTATTGATGTTTTTCAGATTATTTCAATATGAGACATATTTTTTGTCAGATCAAATCACCAAATTATACAGAAAATATTGCTCATTTCTATTCATCAGGCCATGTAAGCAACCAAAGGAAGTCTTCAAATCCTATGTTTATGTTAGCCTAATTTAATTGTCATGTATTTATCTTAACTTTACAACCTGGTTTGTGGTCGCCAATATTACAATTCAGATGTCTAATGCACAATAACATCACAACCAGGAACATACAATACACTTTAGTCTTAGTTCTGAGTTCATCAAGTATTCAAAGAAGGAAATACAAACATCAAAGTTATTAAACCAGAAATGTGAATGTCTACAACTCACAGCCTTTTCCTTGAATAGATCATCCCCTGTGAGATGATATGTGGCCAGTAGCCCTCCAAGGACACGGATTGTGATTTCAAACAAGTTCACATCTTTGTCTTTTTCAAAAGTTAGTTCAGTTGCAACCCATTCTCTGGCATCATCAAATTCTGAAAGAGATAAAAGTATGGATTGGTCCTACCAGAACAGATAAGTTCTATTAGATTGTAGAAATCACAAGCAAACATATTTACTCCAATAATATTTGTCTCTTCTCCATTGGAATTACAAAATCTCTTAAAGTTTACAGTATTTCAATCATCTATGTTTATCATTTACTGGTAATCAATGGTGTACAATGTCAAAGGTAAAGTTGCTGGGACTGTGAACATCAACACAGTGTTAAATATGTTTATGATATAACATCAATTAGTTATGGGAACCAAATTTTGAGATAAACAGGATATTCCAAAAAAAATGTGGGACTGTAAGTTTTACTTTTAGCAACATTCTGCTAATGACATCCACTGCAAATCCTGAATAGATGATAATACTGGTAAATTCTTGGCATGTTATTTGAGATTTATGTATGAAGTTAGACCATGTTGTTTGATGCATCATTATTGACAATCAATACATTTCGGCAATTCAGTAACATATTTTTTATTTCCAAATATGATATTACTATAAAAAGAAATCCTGTGCCTCTTTTCCCGATAAATACCAGTCACATTATCCTGCATAAGATTACTACTGTAAACGTGGTTATTTACGCTGGGTGAAAATTACGCGATTTGAAGGTCAAAACTATATGTGCGGGGGTAATTTACGCGGTCGAGGTAAACGTTTACTCTGCAGAGTTATCTCCATTATTTTACAAAATGTGTACAGGTAAAAACACTAGTAGCTACTGAGTACATGTTACGTATGCCTCCCGACTGCTCAAGATGAAAATAAAGGTGAACTGTATTCATGTGTATGTGTGTGTCTTATACCAGCTGATCTCGTAATCAACTGGGATCAAACAGGTGAGTGCTATTTAGTCAAAACAAAAACGTTTTCCAAATAACAATGATAAAACCATATACGATTCGTAAGTTATCATAACTCATTGAGCGTAGTTAATGTCACTTCCATGATGACAGGAGCATTTACCTGTGTAGGGATCGTTAACGTGGCACACGACTGCTTGCTGTTTGTGTCCCGTAGGCACGTGTGTGAGTGATGTGTACCGGACCTCAATGCACCCGGGTTTATTCATGACTTTCTCTGTGCCTTTATATATATTTTCAAATTTGTTGTTCATTGAAAATTCAATTAATCAAGTAGTTTATTTCAGTTGTTATTGTTTTTATTTTATACCATTACAAGACAATGTATGTTAATTAGTGTTACGTTAACAAAGCAATATTACAGGAGGACATCTCACACACACACAAGTACCAATATCTATCAGAGTTGTCGTTCCTTACACTATCGACGAAACCATAGGCGCTGGGAAATTTACGCGGACGATTCAGCTACACGTAATAAGCATAAATTTCCCCTGCGCGTAATATTCCACGTTTACAGTATGTTCCTTTTCGATTCAAGGATACTAGAAAAAATTGGCCTACTTTTTCCCACTGCTTGATTGTAGCATTTGATATGGAACTCCCTCAGAATCAGGAATTTTCTTCAATCTAATTAAAATCATTTGTTACATGGTTCAGGTGTGAGCCATGTAACAGATGATTTTAATCAGGTTTGGATTTTCTTCCGCTTCCTTTACATCTGCTTTGGGAATTCATATTGAAAAAAAAATGGATCTACTTCACCAACTACAACAGTTAAAATATTTATATATTTGCTAGTACATATTCAATCTACTTGATGATATATGTTTAACTGGTATGATATATATTTAACTGGTACATGTACAAAGAAATATACCTGGACCAGTATGTAGACTTATATACCTGGTTTGAGTCCCATAATGACCAGTGTGTCCAGTGAATCTACTATTGTAAGTCCTACTCCAAACCACTCTGAGTGTGTGCGGGTAATAGGGTGGAACTCATCATGTCCCCAGGCATACTTTTTGTAGGCTTTCCAGGCATACCGGAATGCATCCACTACAGCCTCCTGTCTGTCTGTCCGCTTACCGTCCTCTGTAAATCACAAATTATCCAGCATTAATCTATCCTTGTTCATGGTGTAATGAATGTCAATAACAACATCTGTATATATCACTATATATTTATACTTCCTTGGAATCCTGATGAATATTTATAAATCAAAGTCTTGAAAAAGTTTCATTACAAACAAATTTGGGATAAATATAGCTATAACAGAAAAAGCATGAAATGCTGTGCCCTAAAACAGGAAACAGGCTGTTGGAAACATACACTCCATGCAATTAATGACACAGAGAATTTGCTTTCACATAATATGATAATATGATATCAGTATGTTTAAACATACAAGCAAATGACTCATGTATGCTAATGATTGAGATGTTAGGAAGATGCTACTGATTCAGGATCAATGTCTGTGCTTGAATTCCAAAGAAATAAGATGTGTGTATGCCTAGGTACATATACTTTGGAAGTGCATGAATAACTGGCACTGATATGCACAGCCACATGATTAAGGATTTCTAGATAATTAATCATAAATGCCAAGAAATGTTGGGTATTGTTAATATCTCAGCATTTTTATTGTTTATAAGTAGTATCAAAATTTATGATTATGAAGGGCAATGTTCAATGGTTTAAAAAAAATCAGCTTCATTTAAGTAAGCCCTTAAACCGTGGTTTAAAGATTTTAACACATTTGGCCCTGTGACCTTCTGATAAGTCAATGTTAATAGCTGGAATAATTTGATAGCTCTTTTTCAAAACAGGTCACCAGCGAAATACAATCACTCCAAGCATCACAGTTCTTTAAAAATTCTCACCTATGTGACTTTGAAAGTACTAAAAATAGAACAAATTTGATAGTCATTTACCACAGTATGCTACAGGCCAAATATCATCATAATAGGTATTGAGATTTTTTTGAAGTTGTTGCTTATAATGAATTACACATTTTACTCTGTGACTTTTCAAATATGTAAATGTCATTCATGTAAATTAAGTGGACATCAAATTACCAGCAAGTTACATTACTTTTAAACACACTTGACATGTGACCTTGAAAATAGGTCAAAGTTATGCATTTGAACTAACTTAATATCCCTTCACCCCAGTAAGCCAGTGACCAAACATAATGAATCTAGGCTTCTTGGTTCTGAAGAAGAATTTACAAAAATGTATGTAATGGATGGATGAGGGATACTACACTAAAGCACTAAATGAGTAGGTGCTTTCCCTGAATAGGGCTGTCATAATACATGTAAATAGGAAACTGGTAAACTGCATACGGCAATATTGCTGTATTTCTTACACTTATTTATGTATCTGGTAAGTGTTTTAACTATGCAAATAACTACACTTTCTAACAGAAAGAGTATGCTAATAACCAACAAGTTGAAATTTCATAATCAGTGATGGGTTTTACAAAAATTTAAATAATATGCGATTCATATATGATACAAGATTCAGTTGATGGCATTCTGACAACAATTTCTTTTTCACTTGAGCAATTTTTTCTATGACATTATACCTCACCTGGATTCTTGATATATGAACAGTGCAATTCTTCCGTATTGCAATATATTGCGATACACCCTAGGTGTATTGTGACATCTCTATCCCAGAAACTTTCCTCACATATGCATATGTATAGATCCACATTCAGGTTAACATGGTATTTACTATGGCCACTTGGCAGTCAATCTAATCTAATAACCAAACCAACTTACGATTAAAGTAGTCATAGGGTGGTACAACATGCTGATCCACATTAAAGTCAGGGTCTGCTCCTTTTTCTGGCTGATTCTAATAATAACCAACAGTCATAACATTGGAAATCGTAGCAAGAAATTGTGAATATTTGTCATTGATTGCATCTGTGTCTAAATTAGTAATACAAAATATATTTGTGTCATAAAAAAACTTTTTTTTATTATAAACTATGAGTATTAAACTACTTACATAAAGGAAGAAATAAGGCTAACCCTAATCCTAAACATTATATACAAAAAGCCTGTGGGCCTTAATTGTCACCTGTGTTGAAATGCAGGTTTTTACTACATGACAAGGAAATAATAACTTACATGAAGCAATCGAGTACATGTAATGCAAATATGGCAACTGTGGAATGGATCGGGAAATGATGTTGGGGTGTGACTATGTACATTCTGTATACCTAATAAATAATTAAAGCTGGTAACAGTAATGATACAGACAAAGCCTACGTAAGACTTGAGATAAAACTTTCAACCCACAGCCACTAGTGGACGAGTACAGCTGCCAAGGTCCAGGTGGTTCAGTGTCCTTATTTTTATATCATTAATCATCATAATAATTCCAACTAAGTTTGAAGTATATGTCCCTCTGAAAACAGAATCACCATAGAAACTGGAAGGGAGATCATGATAAGTTGTATAAACTTGCACCTACTCCTGTGTCCCAAGTGTTTTTTGACAATGAAATATGTCTTAATCATGTATTATTTCCCTGTACAGAACTATGACTAATGGGTGACCCGGGGTAATGAAATGAACAATATGATAAAGCACTATTGGACCTTCCCATCCTTGAAGAGTAGTTCACTGTAGGATTTCTGCTTTGGCTCAGGTGACCTAATAATACAGAATCACTATAGAAAATTTGTGAATCCTAACCCTAACATAATACAGAATCTTACAACCACCTACCAGCTGACCATCTACATTGTCATCTTTGTCATTATCATCTTCCTTTCCATTGTCCCCATTTTCATCCCTTTCAAGTATTTCCTGTTTCTCATCAGGAGGAAGTAAGCCTACCTCCTCTCCACCTCCATTAGGTGGTCGGTCTACGACATGTTTGGGCTGCAGTGGCGGCTTCATTCCTGGTCTCCTTTGTTTCTGTAGACGTTTCTGAAATGTTGAGTATTGTTTAAATGATTTCTTCGCTTAAACATACCAACATAGGTTCCAATTACAAATGAGAAAAAAAATACTGAGTGATGTGCATATTTTTCACCAGTTGCTCATAACACTTCCATGTATTTTTGCTGTATTCAAAATACGATAAAATGAACAACATGATATAGTATGTTATATGTATATGCAACCTATAACGTATAAAATATACTGTCTTAATAAATAGCAGACAAAACGACAGATATTAACAAAACATAATCATTTTTACATTTTAGCCATGAACATATGTTAAATGTTGATCTTCGACTTGTATATTTGAGTTGTGTCCCATATTTTTTACCAATAATGATCAATTGAGTATCATTAAAATCAGCCTTGCATTCACCTGTACCTTTCAAATTTGTTAACATATTCAAAGCAATAAATTAACGAAGTCCAAATACCATGAATACCATACCATCATACTATCATAATACATCTCCATATGTTATGTTAATCTGTCAAACTTCCTTCTAATTCGAAAAACATACCTGGGTACAAGTAATTTGTATATGATAAACATTTTTTTCAAATCAATGAAATTAAATGTCCATTCATAAGCCGATCAACATGAAAATAATATATATCTATATATAATGTCAAAAAGGATCATTTTGAAAACCTTCATATTCTATTGAGTATAGGTATCCATGGGACTAAACACTGACATTATACTCATTAATCTGTTGCTTGGCAACCCTCTTTAGGTCATCATGTTTATTTAGCTTGGGCAGTCCTGGTTGTGGAGCTTGTATCTGTTGGTTGTCATTATTCCCCTGTCCCAATATTTTGTCCTGGAAGAATTCACCACCGTTATCAGCATTATGAGATATTGAGTCCACAGCCTGCCTCTTGTCCTTACTTGACTTAGAATCATCACCCGACAAACGGTTGCCATGGTGAATAGCCGGCAAAATGTATAATGCACTTAGTCCTCCTAGAACTAAAATCAGGCAAATCACACTTCTCTGGAGGCTTGAAAGTCTTTTCCATACCTGTGGCAGCAAAAAAAAAGTGATCAGTTCATTAACTTGTACATGTAATGTCAATTTTGACAACACAACCTGTTAAGACTGTGGTAACCTGTTAACAATAAAGGTTAATTGGTGAATATTTATATTTTGCTGTTACTAATGTACTGTACAATCCTTTCATTCTAAATCCTCTGCACAACAAATTTATTTTGTTTTACATATAAATAAATAAAACAAGAATAGTGTCATGGATATCTCCCGCTCAATCCCAAATGTTAATGAGATGCCTATACTGAAATACTTTGAGTTGTCAATGTCCAACTTGAGAACTCACAATAAGCATTTGCAACCCACATTCAGTAAAGCAACCCCAGCTACACTGTTGATGCCATTACAATCCATTAAGCATCAATAGTTTCCAAATACAGACTGCACAATTTTAAAAGTAAAGCCTTGATATAATGCCCCATTTCATTTGTCATCAGGCTAATACTGCCAACTTATGTTAGGTCTCATTTTCCCTTTTTTCTCAAGGATTACGTCCGACACCCATGATGTATTGCCAAGCTCCCTTTTAGTGTAAATATTTCACAGGACAAATGCTAGCTTAAAGAAGTACCTATGAAAGAGGATTTTACATAACCATGTTAAAAAGGGAATTAATTTTACTTATTATTGCTGATGGCCTCAGGCCCTCCATCTTGGAGGAACCAAGTCTAATAGTAACAGTGACCTAGATTTCGAATCAATAACACTGAAACAAGCACCTGATCTAGGATTTTTATTTTGTTGAAAAAAAATGTGTTTTTAAGTTTTGTTAAAAGAAAGTGAAAAATAGACTGCAAAGGGTGTAGATCTAGCAATGAATGCCAAGAATGCTGTATGTAGATGATTTGGTTTGGTTTAATTTTGTTTAACGTTATTAACAGCTAAGGTCATTTAAGGATTTGCCTCCATGTGTGTAGTGTATTCAGGCCAAAAAAAATATGTCTATTTAGGGTTCCCGACCCACCCTAGCTTTTTACCCCCCAGACCCAAAACTTTTTGATGAAAAAAAAAAAATGAAAAAAACCACGCTGATTTTTGAATTTTAGAAGGTTCCTTGCCGTTCTAAATGGCTTCCAGCTCCGTGTTGGCGCTAAATGTCAGCATATGGAGCGCAATTTGCCTCCAAATGAACCTTGTTTATGCCATTCTTTGTTTTACATACAATAGTAGGGTCATAATCACATGACCACATGGTACACAAAAATATACACACAAAAAATACAAAAAAAATCGACCTACCTACCCTTGTTTTTTTGCCCATGCAACCCTAAACAGACACATTTTTTTGGCCTCATGCTTGGGTGTGTGTATGCATGAGACAGGGTAATTGGTGTTGAAGGCACCCAGCACAGCATTCTGCCCAGTCACATTATACTGACAACGGGTGAACCAGGTGTTGCAATTCTCCTAAATGCTGAACATTAAGCAGGGAATAACAACTACCATTTTTAAGGACTTTGGTTGAAACCGCGGGGTTTCCCAAATTAGTCGCCTACTACGATACAAGCAGTGGGTAACAGCAGCGTATTCTTTTCGCGATCCCCCACCTGCAGGGGTGGTATTTAAACGAACAGGATCAAATTGGATTCAGGGTAAAACAACCCAGAGTTGTTTAATGATATTTTTAGATGTGATCATTAAAACAAACTTCATTCCAGAATGTTACTGGCCAAATAGCATCATCCTGTTCCTTCTGATCATTCAGAAGTTGATAAAAGATTTTTACATATTTGACCCATGTGACCTTAAAAATGGGCAAAGATCATTCATTTGAACAAAGTTGGTAGTTCTTCATCCAAGGATGCTACTGGTCAAATACCATCACCCTAAGCCTCTTTGTTATTGAGAAAAAGTTGTTTAATAGTAAAAAGTTGACGCCGGACGGACAGCGCACCATGGCATAAGCTTACTTGGTCCTTCAGGCCATGTGAGCTAATAACAAATAGGATGTATGTTGAGCAAATGTTCAGTTCAAATGTATTACAAATGTATATATTAATTAATATGACCGTTTACTCACGTATTTTAAGTTCTCAATAACTAAACATGAAATACATGTTACCTCATTAAGTTTACTTTATGGACAACAAATGTTCAAAAAGTTGGAAACGGGATGGAATCAAAGTTATTTCTACTCGATATCGTATGCAGTAATATTGTTCGTTAGAAACAGAAATAATACACCAAGTTCTTTAAAAAGAAAAAAGGTGTCATTCTTTTGAAAACTGACTTCCCTGGTAAAATTAAACATTAAATATTTTTGAAACACATGGTCGTTAAAGATTGCTCTAATTCGCCTAAATGGCTCAGGACCTGTTCACTCCTTATATTTGCAAAAGTAACCCTATTTTACATTACATCTGCTTTTGGGGTTCCAGTTTGAGTTATGGTTAGAACGCTTACAAATACAGTACTACCAAACATCTCAATCTTTTAATATTTTTGTAAGCATTTCAGAAAATAATAAAACATAAATTGAAAAGTTGTCAAATGCACATCAGAGCTGTCAGTGTCAACATCAGCTTACTCTCCAAACAGACTGTCTTTTCCGTGTTTCTTTCTGGTCATCATCAAAACCGAGGCTGATGGAAAGAAAATCTCGCTTAGCCCCAGACATAATGCTTGCTAGTGCTTCTTAAAAACGCTTATTATTCGCATGTCTAATCGATGTATAGTATACTTGTTGCGAGAATATATGACGAGAAGCGGCAGACTGCAGCAATAACACGTATGGACTGGCGATTCAACTTCAGGTTACGTATAATATGCGAATCGAAAACGGATTATATAAAAATTATATTCGGATTTGTTTTCGAAAATTGAAAATCAAATTATCAACTATTTTTTTTGTTAATTTCCTTTGTTTAAATAATATGGTTGACATTAAAAGAGCTTATATCAATCTTCGGTGAAAATGATAGAAGGAGAGGGATGGCGGGGGTTTGTGGGGGCGGGTTCGTAAGCTTACACTCTAAAACGAAAGTCGGCATTTGCGGGATATAAGGGGAATGACTACTTAAATTCAACTATACTTTTTTAATTGTACTGAATTTGTTTTAATTTTACTTCATGTTTCCAGACTTTGACGTTTAGACTGTTTACGTAGGATCGTTTCCGGAAATATTTTCCCGATGTCTAATAATATAATGTTATTAGGAAATCCCCCGACGGCTGTCAATTTTACGACAACCCTGTTATGAGTTTTAAAGCTGTAATTTTATTGTTCAAATAGTAAGATACTACCGTCGTAAATTGTAGTTAAAGAGTGATATATTTTAGATTTTTTTTTAATGAATAATGTTTTATTTACCAAAACATTAACGACATTCCACAGTCCACTTTATATTGGAACGGAGGCACGATGCTGACCTAGCTTTTACAGGTAAAACAAACGGTTTTACTGCAGCATTTCGCCTAGAATGAAAGGTTGCATCATTGTAAACTTTGTATAACAATGCGATCGATTCATGTTCACGCTGTCACGACAATATTTACCTTAAGGACACTTCAGCTGCAAAAACTGGCAATGCTTATTCCCGCGAAATGTCGGTTATGAGAAGGGAGATAATCCAACTAAACAAAACAGACTACAAACTGGTCATTGTACAAAACACGCCCAAATCATGCTTATAATGAACCGAACAGGATACGTTCGGCAGTCCAAACTCAAAAAACGTTGCCGTATCCCTGATTTCATACATGTCATATACCTTCACCTCTTCTAAGTGCAGGCACAGAACCTGGTTGCTCCCAAATGGTCGGTATTATCAGACGACTGGGGAGGGGGACATGGATGTGAAACGGACTTTAAAAAATGTAATAGTGAGTGAACACAGAAGATAATCAGTATCTGCACATAAAGAAAGGTACAGAATCGACTTTACATGTTATCTGATTCAAGACGGACTAAGGGGACGTGTAGTACGATCATAACATTCGATTCGATACACCTTTATTTTAAAATATAAACAAAATGAGATATAAGCTTCTAACACTTTGATTTTATAAGAGCGAAGCTCACGGGTGCCGTAGGCACCCGAGCGGAGCTCTTAACCGGTAACATGTGCGTGTAAATAGATCTGATCCAAACTTCCATCACTAAATCGTACAGCTACAGCCTAGAAACTTTTCGTACTTCCGGTGACCTGTTCCGGTTCATGGAGCCCGTAAATATGCCTAATCGAATAAAAAAGCGACATGTAACGTAGCAGGAAAATTATGTATTCGAACCAACGAATTTAAAAAAAAATATTGACCATATTCAATACACTGGGCGTGTTTATTTCCTCGATTTCTTTCCTTTTGTAACGAAAAGATAAATCATCGGCATGGTCATTAAAAAGCTTACATGAATGTCACAAGCTAATGGCGTCGAAGAGTGCGTAAGAATGTGATTAGATGACAAACTGTATTACCGTCGATTAAATTAGCTTAGATTTTGGAAAGAAATACATAATTTGATACTGACAACTTTCTAAACATACACATTTTCCATCTAAATATTGATAATCGATCGTAACACACGAGGGTCATTCCCACTAGGACGGAAATACCCGAGTATGTACGAAGCAGGGTCAATGACGAGGTCGCTTGGTTCATTGACGAGGTCAAAGTTCACGGGTCGTCTGCTATTGTCACCGACAGCTTTCCAAGGGAAAACGTAAGGTGTTTCAAAGGGTCAAATTTCGGAATTTTCAGTATTACTACTCTTGTTTTTTTCTGCATTTATTGTAGAACGTCAACTGTATATTCAGTTCTTATTAATTCTTCTATTTGGGGATCGTTTCTGTTGATATTTAATTTGATCCAAATTTGTGATATTACCTTACAGTAGATTTTACAACTAAAACTGTTGAATTTCAATGCTAGATCTGCTTGTACAAAATATTCATTATTGAATCTAGTTTCATCTAATGCAACCAAATTAACAATCACTTAAAAAGACAAACATTATCTGTACAGTTTTGTACAGTAAAATATCTTTATTGATACTTAGATAAATATAAACTTTAAACGCTTGACAATTTTTACTTCCGTTCAACTGTGTAAATCATTACAGCATTTTGATTAGACATTGAAGTGAACACATTAGTTTGCTCTGCTTTATGAATATCAGTAAAGAAGAGAATTAAAAACATTATATTTTCACCACTTTTATTTTTGTTAACAGATTGCATAATATGCGACTGTCAGCAACCATTTCTAATCAAAATCAAAACTATTCTGCATATGATGTACCTGGTGATTATTTTTATTCAACCACATTTAACACCAATATTGACTCAAGAACAACAAGTCCATCATGAAACTGACATCAATGCCATCAACACAATCATCACTGAAACTTCACTTGCAAAGAAATGGTTTTAGCTGATATGCCAATCTACCTATAGGTATCTACAAAAAAAATTATGACAACAGCGACGATGAGGAGGAGGAATCTCCTGCTGTAGATACCTGGAATTTTAACGTAAATAATCAGTACAAACATTAAGTTTCATCATTTCACATGGATTATCTGAATTATTAAAAGGAAAATCTAAAATCTCCATTTTCTACTTATAGTGGTGGGAGACGTGACAGTCTCTAACCTGCTGTGTCTAACATGCTAAATATATTTAAATCAAAAACAGATACATCCTTCATGGATTGGCATATCAGCTCAAACCATTTGTTTAAACATTCTGCCTACAACACACGATATCATTTTTATTCTATGGTTTTTTTTCAAATGGTATTTGTTTCTTTTGGATAAAAATAATAATACATATTATTATGAACATACATGAGTAGAGGGAGGGGGTATATACTGGTAGTCTTGGATAAAACAAGAACCAAATAAGGATTCTATTAATATCAATGTGGTCTAGTAGTACTGTAGTACAATCAGTCAACTTCAAACTAATATGTGATGCGTCATATTGGTGTAGTGTGAATGTGGATCATTCTAAAACAGAGCACACATAAGTACAAGGATGAATGATTTTGCCCAGCAACAGATTCAAGTATATAATAAAAAAAACAATTATAGGTACATTTTGTATGTATTAAAATGGGTATTAAATGTTATGATTCCAAAATTATACTATACTATTGAAACAAATGTACGAGCTTCGCTCTCTCCAGGCCATGCCTGAGTCATATTATTCAAACATACTAAGAATGAAAAACCAATTTGGTGCGATGAACCGGCTGAGATGTGTCGAATTTGAACATCTCGGAGACGTTTTGGCTGAAGCTGCATACACTAATATTCAGATCGTGACATATCGAAAATCTGGAAAAATATATCGTGAATCGAATCGAACATAGATAATCGAGGTACAAGTGCATCGCAGTGAATCGTGACGCCTCTAACTGATCGCAGTCTATTGTCAGCCTACCGTGCTGTGCATGTCTTTAAATATGTTGACAATGCAAGCAGTTATATATAACTTTTGTCACTGTTTACGCAAAGGGAAAGTTCATAAAATATCGAAATTGTTTGATCAATATGTGGGGGGTTTTCAGAGCAGAATTGGCCGTCACTGACCAAGTTAGAAGATTGATTGCTAATGATAGAAGATGCACACAAACCTTTCTCACGTGGTCCCTAGATACCACTCAGTAGTGAAACAGAATTATGTATTTATTTCCTTTGACTTGACATTTTGCATCATGGACATACTAGTATTCAAAACTATAGTAATGATACAAAAGCAACTAAAACCATATTTGTTTTACAAATTAGTACCCCTTGTTGCCTGTCATATTGCTGGCTTTTCAATTGGCCCAAAATAATAAAAATGTCTAAAAATCTCTTTTTCACACAAATGTTACATGTAAGTAAATCGAAAAAAATATTTATATATACTGTTTTTTCCTTCAGGTGTTTTTTATCATGGACAAATCTGGTGTTCAAATGTGAACGAAATATGAGTGATCAGGGGAAAGTCAAACCCAAATTGCCCTTTGGGTGGATTGTCCGACAGTCATCCTCTTTCCCTGATCGCATTTACTATTTCAATGTGCAGACTGGAGCATCGACATGGGAGATTCCAGATCTCCAGCAGCAGCTGAACCCATATCTGACACCTGAACAGGTAACCACTGTACTGATACTGTCAAATACATGTCTCATTGGGCAAAATACCTTTAAATTGAAAAGTGATTTAACAAACCAAGAATGAAATGAAATGCGACAAAAAACAAAAATTATACAATTTAAACTCCAGTTTGTTTTCCAATCCCTTTGAAATCCATTTTTGTTATAACCATAGATAATAATTAAATGAAATAATTTTAAACTAAATTACAATAATAGGGGCTATTTAGTCAAATATGACCCTAAAAATCGAGTAGATACTGCATCTGTAGCCAAAGAAGACAAAAACTACAGATGTATGCAAGTACATGTACATGTATATATCAATGTAATATTATAAATGGGTCAAAGAAGTAATATTAACGGTAGTTTCCCAAATAACACTGGAGCCTTGGAATTGCAAACGTACGTTTGTAGGATACAAATTACTAAGAATTTGTATATGGGGCAAAGAAGTAATAGTTACAGTGTAGACAGTATGTTGTCAATTTTTCGGACCAATCCTCTCCTTTATCGAGACACAGAAAAAAAAACCACAAAACAATTACATTAGATAAAAACAATATTAATGATATAATGGGATATACATTTGTAGCTAATATTTCAACACAGTAAGCCCCTGGTCTAGCGTAAGCAGAAGACAGAATTTACAATGACTGCATCGTTGACCACTGCTACTAGGTGTGTACGAACAACAACAAAGAGATATATTTAAGTCCCAATTAAAGTATCGGTATTTAATATTGAAAATTTGAGCTTTTCTTCATTTAACTTAAAACAATATTGATAAGTGGAAATTTAGTGGACACCATTAAAAATGTTTTATAAGATTTTCAAAGCACTTGACAGCTTGAAAGTCTGAAATGCTCACATATAGCATATATTTTAAGATGCTGATTATGGACTATATAATACTGCAATGCAGATCTGATCAGTCTTTTATTATCAATATAATGGGGTACCTTACCATTTTGAACCAATTTTTTTTTTTTTTTTTTTTTCAATTTTCAGAAACCACATAGTACCAGCAGAAGGCCGTCAGATGTCAAATTTGGCATCAGAAAATCTGGTGTGAACTGTCAAACTGCTGGTGTGAATCAACAAGTTCCTGGTGTGAGCGGACCAGTACCTGGCGTGAACCGTTCAGTTCCTGGTGTGAACTATCCGATTCCTAGTGTGAACCACCAGATTCCAGGAGGTAGCCAGCATTTTCCAATTGAAGCGAAGTTTTCACCAGAGTTTTCAGATGATGATAGTTTTGACCTGACATTAGACACAAGTAATGATAATAATCCTGCATCAGTATCTTGTAACTATGATAGAGAAAAAGAGCATAGAACTAAAGACACGTATTCTTTTGGAAAACAAACAAAACAAGGTATTAATGTGCAATTTAAACCAATCAGGGACTCCAAACCTAGTCATACCCAGGGAGCACTTTCATCAGCTGTCAGTGAAAGAAGCACTAGTAGTAGCGTGGAAAATGCCAATAGAATTGTTAAGGGACAGAAAACTCTGTCACAAGAACCTGGAATTTCACCTTCCAAAAAAGTCAGATTGTTGTCTGACAGTGATACTAAAGATTCTGGTTCTAGATATGTGCTTAGTGCAAAAGACAACTTCAATACTAAATGCTCCTATTTAAAAACATCAAAACCTGTGCCAAATCCACCAGACATTTTAGTTGGAACAGAAAAATGTGTTGTGCCAAGTGACCTCCCAGACTGCAGTAGTAATAAAGTGATTCCTAGCGTGAAGAGGAAAGTTAAAGATAGACTGGGCACACCATTGTGTTCTGCCAGTCTAAGGGCAGAGGACAGTAGAAAGTTTGATAAACGAAAAGTATGTTATTCACCAAAAGGCTCTGTGATTGAAACAGACACAAAAACAGTCAAAACTGAACCAGGAAACACTGTGAATAGAGTGAAAAAGAAAGCAACAAGCAAACATAACGAGGTAACAAAAACACTGGGTGGGGATTTGAGAAAGGTCATATCATCATCTGAAACTAGTCAATGTTCAATACCATTAGTTGATTTTAAGGATGCTGAATCGGCTGCAAGAGACAGAATTCCAAGTGGGAGTGTCTATGGATCTGAGGTACATGTCCCTAACAAGCGTCACCTGACTGATCCAGAGAAACGCCGCAGCATCCAGTCCTGGATAGATCACTGTGAACCAGAGGATGATCTGTCTGACAAGTCCAGTGAAATCCTTGTACCAAGTTGGGACATTTCTTCACCTGATCATGATTCTGGGCGTGGCAGTTTGGCACCGAGAAATTACATGGACTCCAGACGGGTAGTTGTGTCAAATGACAAATTGTCTGTATCAACTGGTGATAGTGTGCTACAGCCTACAGGTGGGGAATCAAGGAAAGACGCTGGCGCTTTCCCTAAAAATAATTCCTGGAAAGGTGAGAAACATATTTAGCTTGATGATCATTGAATAAGAGACAATCTGATACTACACAGCAAAAACATCGTGAGCTTATTCCTATCCTCTGGGCCTGTATGGATAAAGTTTTCTTATTTTTGAAGGAAGGAAATAATCTAAGATGTATAGCCACAATTGATTCTGATTGGCTGATATACCATCACCCTTAACTGAAATTATTTCAAATTTTGACCCGAAGTCAATAATGCTGATATATACCTGTAGCATGTTAATGACATTAAATCTTTTCCTTCATTTGAATTGACGTTTCCCATTTTTGAGACTGGTACAATTATCACTAAAATTTTTGATATTTACAGCTTTGACTCTGATATTATCCAGTGGGTCTGGGATATTTATGACTGAGGTTTTAAAGATGTTATTTCAATATTCACAGGTGTGCATGCCACGCCCGCTCCTGTGGCCCATCGGAGTGTGATGAACATGGAGATTGACGAGTTAGGGACTGAACCAGTGGCCCTTGAAGACCGTCAGATCGAGGATATGGATGTCGCCGAGATAGCAGTAAGTGTCTGATGAGCCACGTGAGATATGATGTTTTTACCTTGAAATAATTAATTTAATTAGTCTATGAATCAAAGGGGTTGATGTTTTATGTAATGGATCTCAAAATGGTCAGAAATCTGCAAAAAAGGGCGGGGGGTTGTACTTTTATTTTAATTAAAATCAATGCCCAAATAACCTTCAAATTTGAAATTCAAATTATATCAATCGTAATAAATTTGTTATGTTATAGCTGCTACACTAAGGATGCAAGATACATGAAGTTGACTTGATATACTGTTCAAACAAAAACAAAATGCAACTTATGTATTTCAAAGTATAATGGGGGGGTCATGCATCAATTTATTATCCATCTCTTGTGATTTAGCTATGAAAGACATTCCTCTATATGTATCTGGATTTCACAAATATTAATACTCTTATTTTCAGTTGAAAGAAGTTCGTGAACAACTGCAAAAACAAATTCCAACTGAGGTAAGAGAGACTCCTTGAAGTTACTTAATGTAGGATTCATTAATCAATTGTATAGTGTTGAAAAGCTTTCTTTCTTGTTTGTTCTTGTCTGGATTGATCCTTGGTCAAAATCAATGATTTTCTTGTTGATTCTCTGTCTTGGTTGATAACTTGATAAGTTATATGAATCTCTGCTCATGTCGTTATAATAAATTCATTCACACAAACCATACAACTTGAAAATCAAAGGCGCTTGTTATTATCAATACACCAGGTCCAAAAGTTTCTGTAACCAGTGTCACACAAGTATGGTGTTCCCTTGGTACATAGGAGAGACATGGGTATTCTCTAGGTTGGTGTAAATTGCGGTCTATCTTAGCTGAGTGGCACATTGGTAGTTGATGGAAATGGATAGAAGTTTACACCCTTCAAACAGTTATCATCTGTCCTGTTTCTGCTATTAGACTGGCAGTCTGCAGCTGCATATTCAACCTTTGTTTTCTGAATCTGTTTGCCAATAACATGTTTTAAAATTGGGAGTTCATCTATATATGTACCTATATATGTACCTATACATGTACCGAAAAATGTACCTATATATGCCCCCTTACACAATTATGTGACTGACCACCATGACACATGTGATTAGGAACTGGCCGAATCCTGAAAAAAAATATGGAGCAATATGTATCAATTACAATACATGTAGTACAGTTGGCATTGCAGATTTGGGGCCGCGGTGGCCAAGTGGTTAAGGCATATGACATTCTGCTACCACTAGCCCTCCACCACTGGGTTGCGGAGTCAAGACCTACTTAGGGCAGTCGCCAGGTAACGGCCCTAGGAAGGTGGTTTTTCTCCGGCTTTCCTCCACCACCAAAACCTTGCACGTCTTTAAATGACCATAGCTGTTAATAGGACGTAAAAAACAAATAAACCAAACAAACCAAAAGTGATTAGGAACTGGCCGAATCCTGACAAAAAATATGTATCAATTACAGTACATGTATATACGGTTGGCATTGCAGATACCTATTTGTTTGTTGACTACATGATGTTTTTGCTGTTTGAAGGTTACTGGTTCACTCACTAAGCGTGTATCAGGATCTGATAGTCAATCAAAGCTGAACAGTCTGCACCATGTACAGGTATGTTAGTGAGCAGATGGGTTTCATTGAAAGCATCAGAATACTTCTAAAGTGGTAGTAATACAGGATAATTTGGTTATAACATGCAATATGGATATTTGTTACAATTAAAGTATTTTGCAATTCAGTATTTACCACAAAAAGAGCCTATTACTAAGTTTCATTCTTTGTGATCAATACATTGAAGGTGCTGGAATGTTTTTAAGACATGCAGTATGTTTTGTTTAATTAAATAGATGGAGAAGAAATTTTATTGAATTTATATGAAGTAGTATTTACAAAAGTTTCTACCTTACAGAAGCTGTTGATAGTAGTGGACACGAACGTGTTGATAGAAAGTCTAGGCTTTGTCGAGGATCTCCGGGACCAAGAATTTAAAAGTAAGTTGATCCATTGCAGTTTTAATAAAAGGTAGACTATCACTAGATATTTGTACTGTATTTAGATGAATTTAAATTTCTGCTTGTAAGACCATTAATTATAATTCAAATATCTTTTTCAGAACTTGCTAAGCCAGTGCTTGTGATTCCATGGGTTGTGATGCAAGAGTTGGATGCTCTTAAAAACAGCAAGAACAATTTTGTAAGATAGAATTTCATTTTGAAATATGTTGATATCAGTAGTGCATCACAAACGGAATAATATTTGATGATTTACATGTTATTTAAAGTTGAAAAAAGTCCCTATATAACTTTTTTTCAGCTGATTATAAATTTCATATTTTGGGTAGAATCAGATTTACAGAAGCCAAACAATTTTCTGTTTACCCATCAATCACAGTTAGGTGTGTTAGGTTCCCTACTTGAAATAATTTAATTTGTTTTCTCTTTGGTGGTGAAAGATAAATGTATATGGTATTGTTCTGGAGTATAAATGTGTGTGAAAAATGCTTCTTGAGGTGTTATTGTATCAAATCATTGTATTGCACAATCACACCTCATTACACACTTCAAATCTTTAGGATGAATGGGTTTTTAGCTCACCTGCCCAAAGGGTCAACTTTTCCTTTAAAACGCTACTTGTCCTGAACGGCCAATTAGATTTCGACTAAATTTGGTCTGGAACATCCTTAGGTCAAGGGGACTCAATTTTGTATAAATGGTGGGTGTGCCTCCCCCTGGGGACAGAGGAGTGGGGCCAAATATGGGAAATAGAGGTAAAACCTTTAAAATCCTGCTTCTACCGTAGGGATTAAGGGGTTTCATCCTAATTTGGTCTGGAGCATACTTGGGTCAAGGGGCCTCAATTTTGTATAAATGGTTGGTGTGGCCTCCCTTGGAGCAGAGGGGTGGGGCTGAATCGGGGAAATAGGGGTAAACCTTTAAAATCCTTCTACCCATAGTGATTCAAGGATTTCATCCCAATTTTGTCTGGAGCATGCTTGGGCCTAGGGGACTCAATTTTATGTAAACGGTGGGTTTGGACCTCCTTGGGGCAGAGTTGCATGGCCCGATAGGGTAATGGAGGTAAAAACCTTTAAAATCCTTCTCCTACCATAGGGATTAAGGAATTTTATTCCAATTTAGCCTGGAGCATCCTTGATCCAAGGGGACTCAATTTTGTATTAACGGTGGGTGTGGCCCCTCTGGGGGCAGAGGGGTGGGGCCCAATAGGGGTTAAGGGATTTCATCACAATTTTTTCTGGAGCATGCTTGGGCCAAGGGGACTCAGTTTTGTATAAACAGTGGGTTTGGACCCCTTGGGGCAGAGTTGAGGGGCCCAATAGGGAGAAAAGAGGTAAAACATTAGAAATCCTTCTTTTACCGTAGGGATTAAGGGTTTTTATCCCAATTTTGTCTGGAGCATCCTTGGGCCAAGGGGACTTAATTTTGTATAAATGATAGGTTTTGACCCCCTTGGGGCAGAGGAGTGGGGCCCAATAGGGGAAATAGAGGGAAAAAACTTTGAAATCCTTCTTCTACCATAAGGATTAAGGGATTTTATCCCAATTAGTTCTGGAGCATCCTTTGGCCAAGGGGACTCAATTTTGCATAAACAGTTGGTTTGGCCCTTCTGGGTGCTAAGAGTTGCGGGGCCCATTAGGAAAATTGGATGTTTAAGTCTTTAAAATCCTTCTTCTTCTGTACCATTGGAGGGATTTTATGTAATAAGAATAATTTCCCATGGTTGCTTTATTATCCAGGTGAGCGATACGTTTGAGATAGCAAAGCTCACAGACATAAAAGTAAGCAACCAAATCAATTTACAAGTCAATGGAGAAACACTTTACAGTTGTTAATTCAATTTTTACAGTCGCTAGCCACTGCCAGGAGAGCTAGAGGTCCAGTCAATTTTTTATTCCAATGTTTCAAAGTCCAACATCCTCGAGTCATAGGTCAAACTCCAAAAGAGGTGAGTAATGTTGCTAAAAGACAACTGGGATACATTTGTATCTTTATAGCAAGAACTTATCATAAGAATTCTAGAAGTTATTTCTTGAGTGAAGCATGTAAATAAAAGTTTTACAGTTAAGTTGATATGTCGAAATTGGATCATGAAGTGTGCTAACCACTCAAAAGCTGCTATTAATGTGCTTTACCACATTTCCATGGTGTGCAATGTACAGTTTGGGGTTGCTAGGATGAACATTTCAGTTTGGAAGGACACAGTGTTTATCTTACATGATTGTATGAAAGATTTTGAATTTGAAGTGAAAATCCTCATGTAAAAATGGCCAAAAAATCACTAAATAGAAAAAAAAGGTGTTTCTCCCCAAAACCCTAGCTTGGTTCCTAAAGAGTATGTCCCACAGATGGAGCTCCATATATATATACACATATGAGTATTTTAGTACACTTTTTTTAACCTTTACAGGCTAAACAGGCATTGGAAGAGTTCACACCTGAGTGTAATGACGATCGTATTCTTCACTGCTGTCTCGACCTCAAAAAGAGAAGTGAGTTGTATGAGAGATTAGTTTACCAAACTGTCGTGTCACAAACAATATTTTCTATTTCATAAATTTTCCTATTATTTACAGTAAACTATTTTCATAACCAATAGTGAAGTCAATTTGTGTCTCATAGCAAGGAATTTGCTATTATACTGGGGTTTGTTATAAGCAGGTTTTACAGTAGACTTCTGTATACAACATAAGTAGTTTACACTGAAGTTATGGTATTGCTTTGTCTTGTTACAGATCCTGAATCTCATGTGATCTTACTGTCCAATGACAAAAACTTGTGCTCCAAAGCTACCATACTGAATCTGAAGGCATACTCAAGACATACAGTGATGGCTGGCATTGAGACACAATCAGTACTCCTCTCCAGTGAACAGGTCTCCACAAGTCCAGAGGTTCATCGCACACCAACCAAGAATCCTCGCCTATCTCCTATCAGATCTCCAACTGGTCAGTATCTGGCACAGTGTTTGTCGTTCGCTCAGTGGTGTCAACATTCAGTTTTTAGATCTGTTTCTCCAAACATTTAAGTGCTAGATCATCCAAATTAGAACCCTAGATACATCTTCTGTGCACTCAGATCCACAGCTGGTCAGTTTGTAGTACCAATATTCAGTTTGCAAAAAGTAAGTTTCACTATACATGTAATATGTGTTCATTGACATACCCAGTTAGAAGACCCAACTACTGTACAACAGGTAATGTTAATTGCGGTGTTGTTTTCATGACCTTTTATATTAAAGTGGATCTTTAACATAACCGATCAGCATCATTTTTGCATGAGGCAGTAATAAACAAATATTTTCCTGTTTTCTGTTTCTCATACAGGGACATCAGTATCTTCAAAATTGCTGCAGAAATCTGAAGAGAGTTATAACAATGTGGTATGTATATGAAATATAATACAAAAGAAAGAAAAGTATGCAGTATTTGTGGTTGTCAGTTATAAGGAAAATTACCTTTGTAGTGTTGTTAGTTAGAAGAGCTCTTACCTGGAAAGTTCCTCTACTAGTTTTGTTTACACCAAAATAGGCATACAGTAAGGATTGATCCAGATTTATCATTTGGGAGGATTTCCACCTGACAAGTACTAAAACTGATTTGATATATGGAACATGTTATAATTGGCAATCTTAATTTTACCCCTACACCCACATAAAATTAATTATATGTGCCTCCCACCTCCTCCAAGAGCTAAAGAACACCCTTTATTGATGTCAATTTGGAGAAATTGGATTAAGTGATGCGATTTGAAAGGCCAAAAGAACAAATACAGAAATCTTCAAATTAACATAAAAATGACAAATGAATATTGTGGCAGGTAGCATATAACCTTAAGGACTCCCACCCTCTCTCCCTTCCAGGTTACCTCTCAACCTTTCTCCCTTTAGTTTACATTCCTCCCCTGTTGGTTTGTTCCTCCCACCAACCAGTTTTACTGCCCAAATAAGAATTGGACAAATGTTGATCGTTAGACAAGGGAGGAGACTAACTTCATGTCACCCTCCCCTTTTATGAAGTCATAATTATGTTTATTTTAGGAGAGTGACAATACAAATAATGTAAATTTAAAAACTTATATAGGGAACATTACACAATTTTGTATAATTCAAAAGTCATATTGCCTGCATAGCTATAACTAGTATGTTGTAAGCTGGTATGTTTGAATAGCACTAAAGATTAAACAAAAAGTGATCTGATTGATTTTTTCAGGCTGACCAGATTCTGTGTAAAGCCAAGTTGTTAATGAAGTCTTCGCTGAGCATTGTACTGGAGAAGGAGATGAAGGTTGCTTATGATGACATCTGGTAAGTTCTCAATTTTATATTACAGTTGTCATTGTTGCAACATTAAACTGCTTACATACCTGCCAAGTTCTCACCAATGACATTATGAGTCATAGATGGTCACAATGCAGGTCAGGCCAGCTGATAACAGGTCATTGACTCATTTTAGTCTGAAACTTTTTCATAGTCACCAAATTCAGTGATAACGTTTAACTAGTATTACTGGCCTTTTGATATGCTAGTATGTGTTATCTAAGAAGTAGTTTCATATTTAAGATTTGAAAAGGTGATTTTTAAACATTTTCATTGGTTAGCTTTGTGCTGCAAATGCAGAATATTCCAAAATATACTACAATCTGCACAGATTTTTTGCAAGTTGACCTGGTGGCTTGGCATCAATGTGCCCTACTCCAACAATGTTAGAGGTTTTACATATATACAAAACTTTATTTGCCATTGGTGAGTAATTACAATTACCCCAAAAGTATTGTTAGCTCACCAGGCATATGCCTTTGAGCACATGCAACTTACAGATATATCTTGAGGAGGAATGACAATCAGAAAGTTTCATATCCAGTTTTATTACATTTTAAGGTCACCTGAGCTTTGCTCAAGTGACCTATTCTAATCGCTTTCCGTCCGTCGTCGTCCGTCGTGCGTAAACTTTTTACATTTTCAACTTCCTCTCAAGAACCATTGGATGGATTTTTTTCAAACATGGTCAGAATCATCCTTGGTAGTTGAGGCTACAAAATTGTAAAATTTGGATTCCTACCCCAACCCCTGGGGCCAGGGCGGGGCCCCAAAGGGAAAATTAACCAATATTTCAAAAATCTTCTTCTTCAGACTCAGAGGTACTACACTCATTTTCTCTACATGGAAAGAATTTTCAGCAGGGGCTTTACTTTAATTGTCAATTTCAGGACCCTCCAGCTATTCGTTCTCCCTTTGGGAGGGGGTAAAGCTTAATAAAGTTTATGTAGGGAAATAACACTTTGTCGGTATATTTTGACAACTTTCTGTAGGAAATTATTTTTACATGGTGAGAATTATCCTTGGAGGAAGATGGTTTCAAATTGTAATATTGAGATTCCTACCCCAACCCCTGGGGCCAGGGCGGGGCCCCAAAGGGAAAATTAACCAATATTTCAAAAATCTTCTTCTCCAGACTCAGAGGTACTACACTCATTTTCTCTACATGGAAAGAAAGATCATCAGGGGCTTTACTTAAATTGTAAATTTCAGGACCCCCGAGCTATCCGTTCTCCCTTGGGGAGGGGGTAAAGTTTACTATAGTTTATATAGGGAAATAACACTTTTGGGTATATTTTGACAACTTTCTGTAGGAAATTATTTTTACTTGGTTAGAATTATCCTTGGAGGAAGATGGTTTCAAATTGTAAAATTGAGATTCCTACCCCAACCCCTGGGGCCAGGGCGGGGCCCCAAAGGGAAAATTAACCAATATTTCAAAAATCTTCTTCTCCAGACTCAGAGGTACTACAGTCCTTTTCTCTGCATGAAAAGAAAGATCATAAGGGGCTTTACTTAAATTGTAAATTTCAGAACCCCGAGCTATCAGTTCCTTAGGGAGGGGGTAAAGTTTACTTTAGTTTATATAGGGAAATAGCACTTTTGGGTATATATTTTATCCATTTTCAGCAGAAAATTACTCAAACTTAGTCAGAATCATCTTTGGTGAATGAAAGTATTACTTTGTAAAATTGGGATTCCTTTTCCATCACCAGGGGCTAGGGCGGGGCCCCAAAGGGAACATTTACCAATATTTTCAAATTCTTATCCTTTGATGACATGACAAGTATTGTATTTCAATTAGTTTACATGCTGATTTCCACATCACATCTAAACAATAAAATAAAGCTACCAGTACCTATGATATAACTCAGGTGACCGCTAAGGCCCTTGGGCCGCTTGTTACCAGTGAAATATAAGGAATTCAAAAAACTTATCATAATAAAATCTTTTTTCTTACCTGAAGTGAGGGTATACAAAATGTTTTATCTTCATACATGAAGATATGACTTTTAGTACTGACCAATCAGAATAGTATTTTCTATTCACTGTGTAGATTTTCAGTTGCATGTTTTTGCATTATTTGGTATACCTTTGCAACGTACTATGGTATTTACATAACTACACAAATGATATTTTTTTGTTTGGAAATCTTACCAGACAATTGCAGCAAATGACAGAATTGCATGTTACCCTTTCAAAATGACACTGAATTGCATTGTGTTATTTTAAAAAAATGTACTGAATAGAAAATTTAATGTATTACCGTTGAATATCATATATATTTCACTCATATGGCAGTATTTTTATGCCCCCACCATAAAATGGGGGGGCACATAGTGTTGCCCATGTCCGTTCCGTTCCGTTCCGTTCCGTTCCGTTCCGTCCCGATTCAATGTCCCGTCCTGATTCAATGTAAACACTTACCAACTTCATTCTTTGACAGATTTTGTTCAAACTTCACACAAAGCTAAGGTACAACCCTCCATAAAATGGGGGGGCACATATATAGTGTTGCCCATGTCCGTCCCGTCTCAGTTCAATGTAAACTACGTTCTTTTACAGATTTTTGTCAAACTTACTTACTACAAAGGTCAAGTATGAATATACTTCGGACAGCGTTGTGTTTCAGGGATCCAAGGTCAAGGCCAAGGTCACACTTGCTATATATAGAAAATCATCAACTGATTCAATTTAAACATTTAGCAACTTCATTCTTTCAATTATTTTGGTCAAACTTTATGCAAAGGTCAAGTATGAGTATACTTCGGACATTGTTGTGTTTCAGGGTTCCAAGGTCAAGGCTAAGGTCACTTGCTATATATAGAAAATCATCAACATCAATTTAAACACTTAGCAACTTCATCATCAACCAATCCATTAACAGTTTTTCATGCAGATGAGTTCATGTTTCAGGATTACATGGTCAAGGCCAAGCTCACCATGTTATTTATAGAAAATCATTAACCAATTCATGAGCTGGGGCATTTATGTCTTATAGACATTTTCTAGTCTATTTATTTGCCAGGGTTACTGTGGTGACAAAATATGCAGTCGATGTGTGACACTTTGAGATGTTTTTATAGGAAAACAAACAATAAATCTGTATTATATGTTTTCAGGATGGATATTGTATTTAAAAAACCACCGTGGACCTTGGAAGATATTCTAGATTGTTTTAAAAAGTAAGATTATTTCTTAAATATTGAAGATGTTAGACAGCTGAGATTCTTGTTAATACTACATTTTGTCGATTACTGTAATTTGGTAATACGCAACTGTACAACTGTATTTGAAGTTTGGAAACATTGTAGAATTGCATAGATATTCATTATTGTATAGTTACTTCAGAAGCCTTGAAGACTTATTTTATCAAAATAATGTCAAACCTTCCTATGTCAAGGTTGACAGTTAAAATACAAAATATGCCTATATCCAATATATTTATCCCTGTTTAAATATGTAGAAACAAACTGCCATGAGTCATAATCAACTTAAACAAGATGTTTCAGATATCGGGGATAAACAGGATATTTGAGAGATGTGTCGGTGCTAAGCATGATTTTTGAAATATCTGTGATATAAAAAGATATTTGAGACATCAGCATTGAAGTGAACAGGATATTTGAAATATCAGTGTTAGAGCTAAATAATATATTTGAAGTACCTGGGATAAACAGGAGGATGTTTTAGATATCAGAGATAAACAAAATATTTGAGATACCAGCAACTTCTTAAAACTCTTTTCATTTATTTTAGTTTAATGAGTTTCAATTTAAAATGCTTAAAATATTGTCACTGATAACCTACATTACAGACACTGGATAGCAGTATTTGGCATGATATATAACAGAAAACTCAAGGAAGAGGTTCATCGCTTAGTGGAGAAGTTTAAACCATTTAAAGGTAAGACCATGCCATTTCTTCATTAAATATGGGTTTGACCGTGTTTTCTCTGTTACCCATGTTGTTCTGCCCTACATTTGACGTATGTATCTGGTTATGTGTCATGTAGGGGTAGCCGGATGGCACAGTGAAAATTGCACTCGCAATCTCACCAAAACATCTCAGGTTTTATTCCCTGATTAGAGATGAAAAGGTATGGGTTTGGGTCACCTGCCCGACCACATAGGTTTTCTCCTGCTACCCTGGTTCCATCCTCGATATCCAGGGGTTAAGCTCACTTTCGCTCTGCACCCCTGGAATAGCAAAATTGTCATGGCAAAATTGAAGGCGCGGCGGCTAGTAATTTGATTGATGTCCGCTAGGTAAAAAAGCCTGACCAATCACTAGGTCGATTCTTGTCCTTTGAAGAAAACAGAGGAGCGGTGACCGACTTCAAAGCAAATAAGTTTTACCGTTACGCGACCGCAAGATTATTTTGATGTACATCAAAGGATCAAACTAGCCCTCTCGTCTCATTCACAAGAGCCTTTGATTTTGCTATGACATATTCAGGGGTGCAGAGAGTGGAATATCGAGGATGCTCTGAATCCATCCTACTGAACACTTCCATCCAAGCCAACAAGAGTGATTAAAGGTGGAAAAGAAAAGGGTTTTTTCATAACTGTTCTACAACAAGAGTGATCAGAGTTGTAGAAAGAAACTTGTTTTTAAAGGGACATCACGTGATGAGCCATATTTTTTTTAATGAATGTATGTGTTGGATGCACTTCCACTTATGTTATCTCGCTATCCCCATATTCATAGTCCGTTCCAAATGTCCAGTTTGACCACTTGAATTGTTCGGGAAAGCCCTGTTTAAAATAGCGCCAATAACGTCGCCTGACGAGGCAGTAAACACAGGTGGTCTGACCAAGATGAAACTTTTCCAAAGGGGCCCCCAGAGAGGGGCCGTCAGGCAACTGCAACTTTTTACCGCACTATGAAACCAAGAAATATGATTTTTAAGTCCGTGTTAAAACTTATTGAATCAGTTATTATTCATTTAATATCAGAAGTTAATTGCACACTTGCCAATATTCAGAATTTAAATTTATTTAACTTTTAACAAATTTATGCCAATAAAATTGAACAAGAGATTGGGCACACATTTTAATACACCCATCAAAGGAATTATGGGTCCCACCCCACCATAGCAACAAAACTGTGTTGCTATTCAGAAATAGACAAAAATATGGTGTTTTGGACAGTTAGCATGCAGAAATGAAGGCCTGCACACGTAACAAACATAACTTCCTTTCTACGAATGAACACTGGTTTGACAATGTTTAAGCATGTCAAATTTTATTTTGTTTGTTGCATGCAGAGGCTTTCAAAAATTAAAAAGTGTTTACTTAATTTCCTTCAAAATGGTCAATTTTCAACCAAATAGCGCACAACAGACGATATTCACACATTTTATTATGAAAATGCGGGTTAATGTCTCTCTTTGTATTGCCATATCTCCTAAACCAGTTGTCGAATGTTTTTGATAATTCATATTTCAATACTTTGTTTATTCCAGATTATTATTATTGAGATATTTGATAATTACCATGTATATGTTTTCAATACTTTATAAAGATTAAAGCATACTTGTAAATTGTCAAGCATACTTGTAAATTGTCAAGGAAATGTTCCGAGTAATATTAGGATAAGACCTACTCACACCCAAATTGAGTGAACACAGACATTTAATATACAGATAACAAGATTTATTCACAAAAGCGAAAAAAAATATAAATGGTATATTTAGTACTGGTTGTGTGACAACATAGTCATTTGTGTAAATCCCATTGTATATATACAATGAGATTTACACAAATGACTATGTTGTCACACTACCAGTGTGGCAACTATTTATACACGCTCGAGCTCTCTAGCTCCTCAATGTCTGAAATTTCATCTGTTTCTCACAAACACACTGAACAAAAATACACCTGGCATATGACAATAAATAAATACCATGTAGATTCAGTATGAACACACAGTTCTAAATATTCATTGCCCTAAAATTACAGTATCAAACACAAAGTTCTTAACTAGCATACATTAAGCTTCGAACACACAGTTCTTCACTAAATTTCAGGTTTACAACAACCAGGTTTGAACGTGCAGTTCTCACTAACATCGGTGTAACCGATAGCATTGAACACACAGTTCTAGCAAAGACTATTATTGAACACACAGTTCTAGCAAAGACTAGCATTGAACACACAGTTCTAGAATTGAACACACAGTTCTAGCATTGAACATAAAGTTCTCAACTATTTATGTTTTCATTATATAATCAAGTTTGGAACACAAAGTTCAAAACTAAACCTCATAACAACTATCATTATGACCAGGAACAAAAAGTTCAAAATTACAAATAATCACCAAACCCTCAGGCTGTAATAGGGCTTTATAGTAGGTAAATTTCATCAAACCTCCACTCATATCTTGTCCAGTCAGCTAGTCCTCGTCGACGTCAGCGAGACGCTTCACCAGAAGTGACCTTGACCTGTCCCTCCATTAGTAACACTGGCCCCTTTAGAAACCCCATGGATGGTTGTTTTCATTCCATACCCTCTAGGCTGTTACCTACAATAAGCAGTACCCTCAGTTACCCTCACGTACTAACAATATTAGAGTTTTAATGTAAAAAAATACTGACTTTAAAAGTCTACTTTTGTTTTACATATGCTTAACATGGCTCTGAGCCGATATCTGGTAAACATACGGTAAATACACACTACATGGCCTGATTAACACCTTCTGGCTCACAAAAATACTATTTACAATATAGGGGGTATAAACATGTGCAATTATTCTACTCACTGTTCTCCTGTTCCTCAAATAGCTGTAACTCCTGCCCCTTACATTACAGGTTTCCACCCCACACACACACACAGGTGTTTTGTTATGGCCCAACATCAGCCTCTCTTCACTTGTGGTACAGAGGATGTCTCTCAACAGGCAAACATCTCCCCCACAAGTTTACAACATTGGGAAATGTTAACGCCCATATAAACAGCACCAGCAAGCCATTTTCCCAACCACGGCTCACCCCGCCTCACAGTGTCTGCCAAGATGGCGGACTCCAACCTCCCCATATGGAACTCGCTCGCTCTCTGATTGGTCAATAGCACTGAATCCTAGCATTTTGATACGATTATCAAAACAACATTATTATGTAATAATCGGTGATAGAGAAAACAACAACTGTATTTACCCGTATAAAATTACCATATTTACACCTATCAAATACCAATCTTGACATAAATGGACCCTTCTTTATGTTGAAACAACTTCTTTTAATCAGATCTTTTTTGTCCGAAACAGATGCCGTAGTTATCGGCAGCACGCGTCATTTTTACAACGTATACACATGTTTTTTCCCATTTTTAATGCGTATTCCGATTCTATCTGAAGTCAAAAATCAGTTATTTATAGAGAAAAAGTTGTTGCATGATCATACATTCTAAGTCAACATCAGGTGAAAACATAAACGGTTGAAACATTACGATTTAAAAAATATTTTTGTTCTGCGATCCTATTTACTATAAGTAAGTTCCTCAGTTATTCATCCTTTTTATATATTGCGTCGTAACGGCAGAGGAGGCCGGGTATTAGTATTAGTACTAATTCATAACTTGCATGTTAATACAAAAAAATCGGTGAATTCAGCAATATAATTAAATCATACCATTTTACTGAACCCAGGAATATTATAAATTATGTAAATCTAATAGCGCACATATCTCAGAGGAGAGAACAGAATATGCCGTGGCCATCACAACAGTTATCCCTTGGAGGGCCTCATAGCAAAATCAAACTAACCAGTCACTTATATCCCTTCCTTTCGCATAAACTATGTATATAGAAACACAAAGTAAACTCTTTCCGATACATGCCCATAAACATAACAAAATAAGTTCATCTGTGTTCAAACTCGGACAAAGATACTAACAAGGTTAATAGTTTTAGATGTTTATTCATTACATAAAGAGTGCTAGTATTTCTGTTGATTCCATATCAGCTTTTAACCGGCTATCCAGAAGAATACATGCATTGTACTAACTGCACTGAGTTATTTCCCCTTCCCACCTGCAATAATGATTCTGTAACGTACTCCTTGCGCTAGCTTTTGACCATTTGGCAACTTTTCGCTTTAAAGCTGACGCGGTACAACAATTTTCATACGCTAGTAGAGGGAAATTCCTGTTGGTCAGACAGGAAGGAATCCCGATGATTATCTTAAAATTATTCATTTTTATGAATCTGTATCAGCCAAAACCATTATTTTCCATAAGGAGTCTCACCTGATATGTTTATGTAGTATTTGTAAAAAAGATAAAAAAAAATATATATACACTTCACCGTGATGTCCCTTTAATTGTTGTAAAATATCAGAGGCATATTTTTATATATTTCCTCATTTAAATGACAATAGTTTGTATGTTTTCTGTCACAGGTTTTATACCAAGTGTGGAGAGTGTGGGGGAATTAGTAGATGATGCTGTGAGGATTGCAGAGGAGTGTGAAAGCCATAGCAAGTTAGTATATATTGAATTATCTGATATTTGGTGTGTTCTTTGCATGTGTATTTAATGCTTCAATTAAAAAGTATATAGAGATAAATAAAAATCAGACAAGCTCATGACATGACATCTATAAATCACCAATTTCTGTGTTGCAGCTATGGTACATTGTTCTCCCAGGCTTCTACTGAACTTAAGCTGGTGCAGAAATTTCAGCAAGAATGTCATGCTGGGACTATAAGTGAAACTAGTTTGGACACATACCTCAAAAAGAACACTTCCACCGGTACAATGGTTGGTATCTCATGGTCAAAAATAATACATAATTTCTCACCATGTGATAATTTTGAACAACATATTGTGAGAAATAGTTATCCAAGGGCAAATCATCAATTTTTAAACTTTCAAAAATTAACTTATAATGGTAAACATCAAGGATGTTAATCACAGCTTCTCTATTTAAATTTTTTCATTCAAATGGTAAATACTTAAAGAAGTCTTTTGATGTTGTAAATGTTAATCAGTCAGTTATATATTGAAATGATAATTCGTCTTTGTTGGTTCTCATCACATTATTGGTGTATTGACTGTTACCTTAATATCTAAATATTTCCACCATTAGTGAGACTTTCCTCAGTACAATCGGGATTCACTAGGTGTGGTAACCTAGGGTCTCGTGATATTTTGGTGTTGCCTCAAAAAGCATTCCATTAAAAACCTTAAAACAAGTGCAGAGTAACCTTGCTGGAAAATGACACTCAACTGCTACATGATAAGGTTGTTATTATGTTAAATAGATCAAGAAATTAGACTCCAATCTTGCAATTAGGGAACACCAATCAACATTATCATGGCTGAGGAAAGATGATTTCTTTTGCATTCTATCCGTTGGTTAAACGGCAGTTGTACACAAAAAATGGTCAATAAAAAACCTGCTCAGTGACATGTGCTTGAGTAGAATTTAGGCAAGAGAAATAACACTCTGTTATAAATTATTACCGGCTCAACCAGCTTAGAAAAAAACACACAAATTTTCCAGCCTTCCAAACATTCCCTCAAGTCCGCGGAGGGTAATATTGGCATAATTACTTAAAATTGTACCAAGGGCAAGGACCTCACCAATATTCTTTCATCTTCAGTATTCTGTTTACTCCTGGGGTTACATTCACTTGATCAATGCCTTTGCACAACTGGAATTTGTCATTGCAAAAGTGAAGGCATGATAATAATTATTGGATTGGTTTCTGGTTAAAAACACTGACCAATCGCTAGGCTGATACCTGTCCTTTGAAGATAACAGAAGTAACACCTGATTTCAAAGCCTTTCAATTTTGCATGATTCTTAGATGATAATGAAAGGATCAAATTGCTTGTATCATGCACAAGGTGGCGCATACACAGAGCCTTCAAATTTGCAATGACACATTCCAGGGGTGCAGAGAACGTAAATGAGCATAACACCTAGAGTATCAATGACACATTCCAGGGGTGCAGAGAACGTAAATGAACATAACACCTAGAGTATCAATGACACATTCCAGGGGTGCAGAGAATGTAAATGAGCATAACACCTAGAGTATCAAGGATGTCACTGTTACAAGTGTGAAGTGTTGAATTGAGTTTTTTGTGGTTTTTCGGGTTGCATTTTAATGTTCAAAAAGCTAAATTATTGTATTGTCATTGTGTTGAGTTAGTGTATTAAGTCAAATGAGGATATACTGGTAGTATGAATTGGTTTAAAGTTTACACACATTTGTTTGCAGAAGAGATTGTCTATGGACAGTGATACAAAGAGGCCCCCTTCCGGAACAGACTCTGTTACCCCTCCTAGTGTGGCCTCCTCCCAGATGTCTCCCTGTGTGTCCGACGCTAGCGTGGTTCACCTACAACCTGTGGAGAATAGATTCCGCACAATCTGGCAAACCATCCTCAGTCTCTGGTCAGTAAATCCGCTGCAGTTAAGCAATCACTACATCTACATAAGTGACTATAGAATTTTTGGTCACATTTCTTTTTATATTGATCAAAGCTCCAACATTTTCTGTTTCACATTTAGTCAGATTATGTTGATATCATTTGTCTTTCAGGATAAAGTTTCTTTCAAGCTAACCTGATATGCTTTATATTCCTTTTGTCATTTTAATTGGACACTTTATACAAACATTAGTGTAGTCCAAAATGAACACACCTAAAATACTTTTTATTTCAAAAATATTTCTTCCTGTACAACCAGTACATTTATATACCTGTCTCAAATAACCGATACCAAATACAGTTTGAAAACTAATCTGACACCACGCCACTTCTTCAGCAGTCAATATCCTTAGTAAGGTGAAATTTAGAGCTGTACTTTATTTACCACTTTTTACATTTTATTAGTCAGTAGTGAATACATATTTGATGAATATGTATTTACTACTTACTGATAAATAAGTAATTTACAGTATTTAAATTTAGAACTAATGTTTTGTGTTCAAAATTATCTGTATTTATTTTTTTGTAGTGATACTATGAATACGTGGGTGGAAACTTCACCCAAGGACCACCTACAGGAAATGAACGATATACTCATCAAGCTGGTCCCATTTGTCAAGGACCTACGGTTTCACTTTGAACAGTAAGTTAAAGATGGGTAATATTGATCAAATAATTACCTTTTCCAAGAAATGTTTAGCTTAATGCATTATATTTAAAAAGTCAGTCCTGGGCACTTTCTATTGCTATGGGGATTGTGACTCAGGATGATTTTCTATACATATTTAGCTCACCTGGCTCAAAGGACCATTTGAGCTTACCCATGGTGCTGTATTTGTCCATCTGTCAACTTTTCGTTTAAAATGCTACTAGTCCAAAACAACTTGAGTTGATTTTGACTAATTTGGGGTGGAGAATTGTAGAGCAAATGGAACTCATTGTTGTATAAATGAAGGATGTGGTCCATCAAGGAGCAGAGGGGTGTGGCCTAATTGTTATTCTTTAAAATTACTACATGTATTTCTTGATGACAGTTAGAATTCTTGATGACAGTTAGAAGGGACTTAATTTGACCTGTAGGATCCTTAGTCCTCTAATATGAAGAATGACGGTAGTTGAGGGGAAAACAAGACTTTGTGTAAATTGATAAAAGAAAAAGAAATACATTTTAAAAAAAATATAATTGCATGTTTATTGTCAGATGAAAAACAAAGTGTTCACATTTCGATATTAATTGATAATACATTCCTAAAATTTCAAATGCGGTGAAAATAGTTCTTTCACGAATGCTGAAAGACATACATTTATGCAAAACTTCAAATTCACACTTTTATCAAAAGTATCCATTAAAAAGTTAAACAAAAGTGTCAATGAAATCCATGTCTGGTTAATATTATTCCCTGTATTTGTGTTTCAGTACCCTCAGCTTGTCTCCTACACAGATCAAGTCCCAGCAGGCCTATGTACACAACTTGAGTATCAAGCTCAACACTTTCTTCTCAACAATGGAGATAGAGGTACTTTCCTATAGTTTAACTTTCTACTTTCACAACTGGTTTTTTAACTGGTCAGGAACCCTCAATAGTACATGTAAAAAGGGCACAACTTTTACTTCCGTAGTATATTCTGAAAAAGCTTGAGAAATTTCAGTCAGACTTGTTAATTTTCACGGACAAACTGTGAGTCTCAAAGATTCTAGCAAAGATGTGTAGCTCCCGATTTGAAACTTCAACAAACAGTGAATTAGGTTTGTCATAAACCCCAGGGCATCTTCTGAATTCCAAAGGGTTGCACTTATTTTCATTCCCTGCACCCCTGGAATATGTCATGACGAAATTGAAGGCCTTATACAAGCCACCTTGAGTTTGATGTACATCAAAAGAATTACACTGCAGCATATGAGTAAACTATACCTGCCTTGAAGTCAGGTGTCACTCCTCCCTAATCTTCAAAGGACAGATATCAGCCTGGGATTGGTCAGGTTTTTTCACCGGAATCCCAATTAAATAGTAAACCACATGCCTTCAATAACAAAATCTGTTGTCTTATATCACAGGAAACTTGTGAACCTGTTGAGATCGAACAAGTGCAGGTCTATTTTGCTAGTGAAGAGAGAAGGTAAGTTTCATTTGGCAGGGGAAGGTTTGTGCTGTATGAAGATGAGTCTGTTAAAATATTTTTTCTGATGGTTACAAAATGTCTTTCAGGCATCATTGTGCCAGCTAAAATTCACATTTATGGGATGAGATGAGTTTCATTATTCTCATATGAAACGGAAACAGATTCAAACTAGATTTGATGAAGATCAAAACACAGGATTTCCAACAGGAAAATGATCAAAGATATGTTCTCGAACTGACGACCGCTTTTAAACGTTTCTCTTCGCTTCCCTTTGCTTCCCTTCTCTGACAAACCTATTTTGTAGCTTTCACTTGTTTATTGGCCTGCATCACTTACTGGTCACCGAAAAACAAACATTTAAACATACAATGAGTTAATTGTTCCTGGACATATTGAAGCTGACTATTATGCCTAGTAAGTTTGGAAGTTGTACCTTGTTTGTGGATAAGGGCAATAAGACCACAGTAAGGAGACAGTCTCTACGTAGTTTGAATGTTCTGTACGGGTTATTGCCCTTTGAACATGTGCTAGTCTACAGTAGCTGACTGAGTAGTGTGGGATTCCCGGTGTGCGAAATGACGTCAGAGAAAGACTGGATAAATAAAGGCAGCCAAATATAGTCCGTCCACTATGTACGCCAGGACGATTTATTGAAACTATCTTTGTGTCTATATCGGTTCGGTTTGCCACGCCAAAGAAAAGCTGATGTTTACCCACCGCAGGAGAGGTGTAAACTGTCCATACTTTTAAGATTGAGAGTGCGTAGTAATCGATGTAGTATAACCAGCATGTATTCGATGTCTTGATATAAATCAAAGTACTGAGAGTACTGAAAGCACTTGACAATCGCACAAAAATAACAAAGTGGTATATCTTCGTCATTTTTGATGCTATGACCGTGAAACTTTGGAAATACCTTGAATACACCTTGCTCTGTTATATTTAAAAAAAAAACATCTCATTTTGAGATTTTCATTTTTGACCTATATTTGACCCCATGACGAGGCTTTGAACTTGAAATTCTCTGATAACATGTCACGGAAAAAAGTTAGCCCCGACTTAGCTCTACAAGAAGGATGAAGCGTACATGCAGTACAACGAAAGCTTTCGAAGGTATCGTCGTTCGGAAAACATTTTTAAAAAACTATTTTTTTAGATCTGTGACCTTGACCTTTGATATTACGATCATGAATTTGTTCGCATACCATGTGTTCCTTGTCCTCTAATACGTACTGAAATATAAACGTTGTATCTTTATTCGTACTTAAGTAAGAGTGTCCACAAGATCATTTGACCCCTGTGGCCTTGATTGTAGTTCAAGGTCAATGATATGTGTTATTTTTGTAGGCAAGGCTACATTCTATGGATGTACAAAATATTAACTCTGTATGTGTCTGAATGAAGGAGAAGAAGCATTTTTAGTAAATATTTTGAAAGTTTGAATTTTGGTGAGAAAATGAACATTTTTCAAAGTTGCATATCTTCGTCATTTTTGAAGCTATGATCATGAAACTTTGGGAATACTTTGAATAGACCTTGCTCTTTAATATTTTAACATAAAATTAAAAAAAATATGATTTTTATTTTTGACCTATATTTGACCCAATAACGAGGCTTAAAACTTGATATTCTCTGATAACATGTCATGTAAAAAAGTTAGCCCCGACTTAGCTCTACAAGAAGGATGAAGCGTACATGCAGTACAACGAAAGCTTTCGAAGGTATCGTCGTTCTAAAAATGTTTTAAAAAAATCGATTTTTAGATCTGTGACCTTGACCTTTGATATTACGATCATGAATTTGTTCACATACCATGTGTTCCTTGTCCTCTGTCACGTACTGAAATATGAACGTTGTATCTTTATTCGTACTTGAGATAGAGTGTCCACAGGATCATTTGACCCCTGTGGCCTTGAATGTAGGTCAAGGTCAATGATATGTGTTATTTTTGTAGGCAAGGCTACATACTATGGATGTACCAAATATCAACTCTGTATGTGTCTGAATGAAGGAGAAGAAGCGTTTTGAGGAAAATGCTGGAAATTTTGAATTTTGGCGAGAAAACGAAAACGAACGCTTATGAAGTTATGGTCATTCTAAAAATGTTTTAAAAGATCGATTTTTAGATCTGTGACCTTGACCTTTGACATTATGATCATTAGTTTGTTCGCACTGTATGTTTCAGTTGTACGCTACCACATACTGAAATATGAACGTAAGATCTCTGATCGTTCTTGACATAAAGTGTTAACAAGATTTCTGGAAATAAGAATAAGAATAAGAATTATAAAAAACAGAACAATAACAATAGGTATTTCCATCCGAAATGGAAATCCCTAATAATAATAAGAAGAAAAAACATAACAATAACAATAGGTATTTCCATCCGAAATGGAAATCCCTAATTATACATACGAATTTCATATGAAATGGAAACAATTCAAAAATGTGTATTAATGTAATAGTCTAATAGCTTGACCATAGGGATCCTATAAATATTTCTCAAAATATTTCCATCTCAAGAAACTCAAGAGTCGAAATGTTGACAATTCATAAATGAAAGATTATTTTAAATAGTTTAGAAATATTCAAAAGGATTTTGAACATTTCACGTGGTGTGGCATTCAGATAAAGCAGATGACTTACTGTGGTACATGTACAAACAAAAATGAATAAATTTAACATTTTGATTTCTCCACAGACCCATGTTGAAGGCTGGCCTACGACAACTGGACGATATGATCAGAAGTTTATTTACGTTTCTTCACCTATTGCCAGATTGAGGAATGGAAGGGCTGCCGTAAGAAATTATCACGGACAGTTTTAGTGAGGTCAAGTTCATGCAGTGAGGTTTTCAGGAAAAGTCAGAAGGTTGAACAAACATCTAAAAGTGTGGTTCTAGAGAAAATATAAACAAGAAAGAATTGAAGAATGAAGTATGCATAATAAGGCCTGGTAATGACCATGTCATTAAAATGGGGCAGTAGACCTGGATTCAGCCGAGAGATAATCAAAATGTTGATAGAAAGGTCCAGGAATGGAGAATAACAACAAATTTCAGGGAAAAGTGTGTAGGACAGAGTAGATTTTGTTACTCAAAGAAAGTGTGTAAAGAAACTGGAGTTGTTTGTCTGAATTAGTCACAGGAAGGGAAGCTTTTGAATAAAACAGATTTGATTGTCTGTATAATCAAAATCTGTTGAAGGGAGGAAAAGTATGAAAGCAGATGGAAATTGCAGTAGAGGCATCTGTTAAATTATTTCTGATAGCGTGTATTCAGTTATTTCGATGATGGAGAGGTGCTGATATTATATTCTTAATGTGGTTGAACAAATATAATGTAAGATATAAGAATGTATCTTTGAAATTCTCTGAAGCAGAGAATATGGTACAATTTTTTCAAAAAAAAATGGATTTTTTAAACAAAAGTTCATGGAATATTGTGATAAATTATAATGGTGCTTTATTCATAATAGATTGTTTGAAGGTGTTTCAAAATCTGTGTCAAAATTCTTTTGATATTTTTGTGTTCATGTTCCTAGCTCAAACCTAGGAATGTTCTCCGCTCGGAACTTCCTTTAGTGAATCAAAATCATCAGCTTCTTAATCCCAACAAATTCTTGCTACAAGTTGTGATGATACTATACACTTATTTTACACTTATCCATTCATACAAGCATGATACAAATATTTTATTGCATAGTACCTCTTGTTTGTGAATGTAATAATCACCTTTTGAAACATACATCAAGTCCATATTCTTGAAATTCAATTATGAATTATATCAAACATTCCAATCCCTTGTTATCCAGTCTGTACCTTCTGAAAATCATTTTATCTTGTCATTATAATAACAGAAATGATTTGTACTTATTCACAATGAAAACAGCACCTGCAAATGAACTGCTTTGCATTTCATATCTTCAAAACATCTGTAGCATTGTTACGAATAAGTTAAACAACTATGATGACCCGGATGTTAGCAATTTTCTTCAATGATTGCCCAGATTGAGCGAGAGAGAAAATTAAAATAGATATTCCAGCTGACAAACCTTCTTAATAAATGTTAAATACAATAATGTGTTAAATTAGATTAACCACTTTGTCTCAAAGAATCGTACTGAATATCGATGTATAACTTCTGAATTTGTATGCTACCCGCAGCATGTAGTTACCACTTTGTCCGGCCTTCCTTCTGTTTGTCCATCCTTTTCGGGGAGGGGGCATAACTTTACCCACATTTAAGCAAGGATCATTCATTATTAGCTCACCTGGTCCGATGGAGGGGGGGCCAAAAGTGGGCAATTTGGCTATATTGTTTTCAGCGACTTCTCCTCTGGAACTGAGTGATGGATATCAACCATATTTGACTGGCAGCATCCCTAGGTGGTGGGGATTCAAAATTGTACAAATTGTGGGTCTGACCCCTCAGGGGGCTGAGGGGCGGGGCCAAAACGGGGCAATTAGGCTATATTGCTTTAAGCGACTTCTTCTCTGAAACGAAATGATAGATATTAACCATATTTGACTGGCAGCATCCCTAGACGGTGGGGATTCAAAATTGTACAAATCGTTGGGCTGAGGGGTGGGGCCAAAAGGGGGCAATTAGGCTATATTGCTTTAATCGACTTCTTCTCTGGAACTAAGTAATGGATATCAACTATATTTAACTGGAAGCACCCCTAGGTGATGGGGATTCAAAATTGTACAAATGGTGGGCTGAGGGGCGGGGCCAAAAGCAGGCAATTTGGCTATATTGCTTCAAGTGACTTCTCTGGAAACAAAGCGATTGATATCAACCATATTTTACTGGAAGCATCCCTAGGTGGAGGGCATTCAAAATTGTACAAATGGTGGGGCTGAGGGGCGGGCCAAAAGCAGGCAATTTGGCTATATTGCTTTAAGGAACTTCTTCTCTGGAACTAAGAGATGGATATCAACCATATTGGACTGGAATCATCCCTAGGTGGTGGGGATTCAAAATTGTACAAATGGTGGGGCTGACCCCCCAGGGGGCTGAGGCAATTTGGCTATATTGCTTTAAGCGACTTCTTCTGTAGAACTGTGCCATGGATATCGACCATATTTGGTTGGAAGCATTCATGGGAGGCAGGGATTCAAAATTGTACAAATTTTGTGGCTATTAGGACTGGAGCCAAAAAAAGTTTATTACTTGGAAATGGTTGAGATCTCCACCGTATAACCATATATACCATTGCTGAGTATAAAGAGAAGAATGCACAGTTGCTTCCCTAGGGTCTGGTTCCACCCTTGGGGACATAGTCCCTGGGTCATTACTTTGAAACAGTTGAGATCCCTCCCCAAAACTATAAATACAAATGCTGGGCATAAAGAGACGAATGCAGTCATGATATTAGAATAGACCCTGGGGTCTGACGGGACCCCTAGGGACCTAGTTTCTTAGTCACATCTTGAGATCCCCACCCTATAACCATACATAAAATTGCTGGGCATGAAAAATCTAATACAGATATGCTACAAGGATTGGCCTTGGGGTCTGGCAAATTCCCTTGGATCTCATTTGGAGAATATTTTGCCATGATTGCTTAGATATCCAGGTGAGCGATACCGGCCCTCTGGGCCTCTTGTTTACAGAGTTATTGCCCTTTGCTAAAATGTTGTGTCTGGAGCATAACTTTGACTGCATTCAAGGTAGGATCATAAAACTTGGTGTGTGCATCAGTCATATACTAAGACAATGTGCACTAATCCAAATTTAGGGCCCGCAACCCTTTATTTACAGAGTTATTGCCCTTTGCTAAAATGTTGTGTCGGGAGCATAACTTTGCCCACATTTAAGATAGGATCATGAAACTTTCATTTGGTAGGTACATTATACTAAGGAAATATGCACAGTACCAAATTCAGGGCCCACAACCCTTTGCCTGCATTTATGCTAGGATAATGAATCTTGGTGTGTACATCAGTCACACTGAGGTGATGTGCACTGTACGGTATTCAGGGTCTGCAGAGATTTTGCCCTATCGTAAATGTTGTGTGAGAATTTCGTGTCCGGAGCATAAGTTACATTTATTTGTACATAAATTATCTTACTATTTTTTCTTCTTCCAAACTCCCCCATTTCAGCATATTTTTACCAATATGTGTCATAAATCTAACCAAAATGCAAAATTCAAAATCAGGAAAAGCCTCCAATAAAGTTGTTTTCGGGTAGCATACATCAGTTCCACTGATACTCTTAGGTTTTTTTATAATTTTGGGACATAGCATTAAATGCAGCATTTATTTGTACCGCAGTAGTTTTTCTACTGTTTACTTTGTTTATTTTGTTTTGGAGAGCAAACAATGGATCTTACCTTAATATGATTTGGTGTAAAGTGTTTATTCAGACTCCACTAAAAGACAGTAAGGCTTAGGCATAATAGTATTTTCATACTTGCCAACTCTCCCTGTTTTAAAATGCATTTACATTATTAACATTGCACACAAATCTCATGGACATAAATATTCTAGTCATATGTTGTCAAACTTTTTAATGAGATGTGTTTTAATGACTTGTTATCTGCAGCTGCTGGGCAGTATTTAGGTGAATGCAACTTTGATTTGATACATGTTTTAATCATAATGACTGATATTTCATGTTTCAATGATAGCGACTGATATTTCGCTATCACTGAAACATGATAGGTTGTGGAGACAGCTTGTAGTCCTGATTGCAATAGTTGTATATATTATTTTCAGAATTTACTGTATGTATCAGTATGCCTGTAATTTTGTGCATTTTGAGCTGAGGTTGTCAATTTAATGTGTATGTTATTATAAAGTGCAGCTTTTGTTGTAAAAGAAATCCAGATTATTGTTTTACAGGGGGGACTGAATCTGAATCACTATCATAAGAATCTGCCATATCAATCCTATTATTGACCTTCTGAAAAGCAGGTTTTATTATATTATCACATTGTGCTTCCATCTGTTTAAATTACCTTATCACTGCAACTTGTCCCATAGTTTCCATGAAGGAAGGCAATCCTTATTTTAAAAAATGTAAACAATTGACAAAAAAACAAAGCACCTTGTATTAATCTTGGCTTGAAGCATTTTTTTTAACTTTTCGAGTAATTAAGTGCAGATATAGGTTTTCTTGTTACATTTGAGTAGTTTGATACATTTTAATACAAGATACATCAGAAGGGTTTTATGTATGACAACTTGCACTTTGATTTAAAACCTTGAAATTCCATTTGTAAGTGTCAATATTGAAAACCTTGTGATTCAGGTACCAGAATCATGTACAACCCTGCCCTGCCATTATTGCAGCATCCTTATAGTCACCAGTGATATGCATTTCTTTAAGTTGTTCCAAATAGCATTCCTTTCACTAATTGCAGGTGTATTCCCTGGTAATGCTCACTATGCAACTAGTGTTTTTGCTGTACTTTATTTCATCCAACTTATTTGCAATCTAATAAGTGTAATCACCATCATAGTCAGCGGTATGTACGAGTACACTATTCCTATAGGTGCAAGAAGGGACGGTTTTTGAATAGCCTTTGGCTTACAGTTCTAATTACGACAGACATGTGATAACAACTGATATTTGTCGGTGTGGATGTGTAAATGGTCTATAGAAAGTATGTAAAGTAATTATTATGTCTTCTGTCGGTTGTGCATACGTAATCCCTCTAAATACAATGTACTAGTTTTGTGTCAGCAGTTTTAACTCTTTGTGGAGCATATCATTTCAGGTTAAATTCCCCAAAACCATTTTTCTAATGGACCACTTTTTGCTAATATGTTACTCAGTTTTAGTTTTATATCAAGTATAAGTACATATATTTCTTTGCTTAGAAAGGTCAATCAGTGAAAAAAATGCTTTGTCAGATAAACCAGGTAACAAATAAAGTACCCAAAATTTTGTCCAATATGCTAGAAATTATGTCTTAAATTTAAACCAATAAGTAATATAAATACTTTGTCCAAGTCGCTCATTGGCACAGCTACATCTGGATTCTGGTTTCTAGATGATATTTGAAGGAATGATACGATTTCGAAGATAACTGTTATCCTTATATTAAGCTCAAGGTCAATGTATGGAAAATCCATGGCATATTTGAACAGCAATCTATCTGATAGGCTGATAGCCTTTAATACCTTCTTTCACAGGAATGATCAAATTTTGGTGATCTTGGTGAGGAACATCTTAACCTATTGCCTTAAGGTACACTTAAGTCGGCATCAGATCCACGCTATCACAAGGAGGCAAATATACCAACATACCCTCCCTCCTGCAAGCACGCATACACAACACACATGGAGGCACATCCTTCAATTACCTTAGCTGTTGATTGGATGTTAAACATAATAAATGAAATTGCCTTGTTCAGATTGGGTGTTAGCAAATTCCTCACATATGCAAAGTGGATGTTGGACCATGCTCTAATTTGAAGTTCATCTGTAATGGCTTCCTGACGATATCTTTCAAATGAATGATCAAATTTGGTTTAAACTTTATGAAGATGCATACCGGTAATACCCAAATACCTAGTTCTGTTCAATGATTGGCAAGACTGCATATTTAAAGAGTTTGCTACAATCTGATTACAGCCATTATCTTTCAAAAGAATTATCAAATTTTGATGATGAAAAAGGATGAGATTCATGTAAAATACTAGCTGCTTCCTACTGACTCTGCTAAGGAGAATTTCATTATAGCTCAATCGATAGAGTGTAAGACTAGTAAACCAGAGATCCTGGGATACGATTCCTTGTGGAGGCATTGGAAAATAACGACCTCTGTTACATTCCGATTACATATCATCCCTTTACCCAGCTCAGTGTTTGGCAAATTCCTGCGTAATGCATGGAGATGCTGGACCATGATGTGATCTAATTGGCAAATGTTTATTGATGATATCTTTCAAACTACATGTTACAAATAAATGTTGAGATTTTTATGAAACTTGGGGATTTTACACATTACCCCATTACCTTTTGATAAGTGCAAGAACCACATCCTGCCTTGTGAACGACTAGTACTAATATTGTAATACTGTAATAGAACGGATATTTACAGGCTATGCAATGTTTTACTATTACTGGAAAGGAGAAGCAGTATTAAAAATGTTTAGGACAATATTTCTTTATTTTTTAGTAGCTGGTCATAGATTCTTTGAAATGCTCACTAGGGCTCATATCAAAATCTTAATTGTACTTAAACTGTAATAATTTGAATTCAGTTTGTAATTTTGTGAAAATTCTTTTACATAGAAGTTGTGTCTAATGAAAAGCTATTTCACCTGAATCCTAATGATATGTTTCAAGGGAGACTTGTTCATTTGTATACCTCTAAATGAGAAATTGGAAATGTATTATTAAAACCTGTTTGTTAGTCAAAACCAATGTATGGTACGTATACATGTAGTTTACTGTTTTATAGAATGGATGACTGCTGGTGTAGATGTGCTTGTTCCAGTTAACCATTTGTATGCAAGTTCGGACAGTTATAAATTGCATAATATCGGTGTACATGTAGAAACAAAAATATTATCACTGTGTGTAGATATTATCATAACTGTTTGTGATTCACGATTGTGCCATTTACTTAAATTATCTTACCTGGCCCATAGTGCTGAGTGAGTGGATAGCGTGGCATGTTGTCTCCTGCAAAAGAGTACTAGTCGAGAATGCCATAGCAGATTTTTACTAAACTTGGTAGTAAGCATCACTTAGCCAAGGGAATTCATTGTGTTTTGTATAATAAATGATGGATGTGATCTTCCTAGAGGCAGAAGGGTAAAGGCCCAAAAGGGAACCTTATGACTGTTCATTAAAAAATAAAATCCTTAAGAATGTATGAGTGGATTTAGACCCTTGGTCAATCAATTTTCATGTTTTACACAGAGAATGAAAGTTGTTTACCTCTAGTAGTCACAATGATTAGGCTCAACAGCGGAAAATTTGGGGGGGCTTTTGATAAGGCCACTCATTAGGTTTGGTGGATGAATTTAAACCTCATTAGGATAGATATATTTCCTGGTTGAAGATATTCAATGTTGCATTAAAAAACAAGGGTGTGTGCAGACTTGCCATAATTGCTTCAATATCACTGTAATCAATACAGGGCCGCTGGACTTTTTGTTTATATGTGTTTTGTATATATATTAAAAACAGTGATACATATTTTTCCCTATTAAAACCTTGTCTTCTGTCTATGTCTTTACTCTATTGGTAGTACACATCTTTTGTATGACCAAGGATGAGCTCTTGCCAAATTACAGCAATATGTCTGACATCAGTTGAGGGTGACCATGGTTGTACAACGTCGTTGCCAGGTTACCGTTGTTGTCCTGTAGTTTCTATAATAAATTTGAAAATAACTTGCCTAAGTGTACTTACAGACTGACTGTCTGCTTCCACATTATTGTTTTGAATGATTAAATGACATTGCAATACCAACATGTGTTCCTTTTCTGCCACGTGACAAATTACTTGCTTGTGAAGAGTATGCCCTGCTTGTGTTTATGGTGCTACAGTATTGTGTCTCTCGCCACCTGTCACGAAAGTTGTTTGTGTCTCTCGTTACCTGTCACGAAAAGTGGTTTGTGTCTCTCATCCCCTGTCCCGAAAAGTTGTTTGTGTCTATCATCACCTGTCACGAAAGTTGTTTGTGTCTCTCGTTACCTGTGACAAAAGTTGTTTGTGTCTCTCATCCCCTGTCACAAAAGTTGTTTGTGTATCTCGTTACCTGTCACAAAAGTTGTTTGTGTCACTCGTTACCTGTCACGTAAGTTGTTTGTGTCTTTCCTTACCTGTCACGAAAAGTTGTTTGTGTCTCTCATCATCTGTCACAAAAGTTGTTTGTGTCTCTCATCATCTGTCATGAAAGTTGTTTGTGTCTCTCGTTACCTGTCACAAAAGTTGTTTGTGTCTCTCTTTACCTGTCACAAAAGTTGTTTGTGTCTCTCGTCACCTGTCATGAAAGTTGTTTGTGTCTCTCATCACCTGTCACAAAAGTTGTTTGTGTCTCTCGTTACCTGTCACGAAAGTTGTTTGTGTCTCTCGTTACCTGTCACGAAAAGTTGTTTGTGTCTCTCATCACCTGTCACGAAAAGTTGTTTGTGTCTATCATCACCTGTCACGAAAAGTTGCTTGTGTCTCTCGTTACCTGTCCCAAAAGTTGTTTGTGTCTCTCATTACCTGTCACGAAAAGTTGTTTGTGTCTCTCGTTACCTGTCACAAAAGTTGTTTGTGTCTCTCGTTACCTGTCACGAAAAGTTGTTTGTGTCTATCGTTACCTGTCACAAATGTTGTTTGTGTCTATCATCACCTGTCACAAAAGTTGTTTGTGTCTCTCGTTACCTGTCACAAAAGTTGTTTGTGTTTCATCATCTGTCACGAAAAGTTGTTTGTGTCTCTCGTTACCTGTCACAAATGTTGTTTGTGTCTATCATCACCTGTCACAAAAGTTGTTTGTGTCTCTCGTTACCTGTCACAAAAGTTGTTTGTCTTTCCAGTAGTATTTCAAACATTCAACTTAATATAAAAAGATTCCAAAGTTGTAATGTCTGTGTGACAAATAATTCTCTGTAATATAATTATGTTATGTTTTGTTATACACGATGTAATATCGTTCCTATACAAGTATGGACTTGGCTACTGAAAGGCTTTATAAAAGTTACCGGTATTTGCAACACAAATTATATATATGAATACATGTATTAAGTTTTCATGTTAAGTCTGTTTGTACATGGATTTTATTAAACTTGGTATGGCTACTGATGATGAAGCTGTACCAGTATTGTTACTTTTGCATCATTTCTAACTTGATTTTGTGAAAGATTTTTTATTGGATGGGACTGAATTGAACAGAATGTGAGTGAGAAAAAGGTATAAACGTTATTTGGAAGGTGTTAGGATAAATGAAGCTGTTATGTATTGAGAGTGAGCCTAGTGTTAATGCAGTAGTGGATTTTCAGTTTTGGTTCTGTGAAGCTTGAACAGCTTGTACTAGATATACATTCAGCAGGTAGCTGCAACTTGTTTATTAGTAACAGATATGAATTGTTGATATTAAAAAAGTGTTATGAATTTTAATCTGGTTTCTTTGTTTTGTTTTATCATCAGGATACCTGGGTAATTTTAAACATTAGAAAACGGAGAGAAATAGTACTACACAAGTAGCCCAAGGTGCGCTAACACTTATATGAGTTCAAATGGAAAAATGTCTCAACCAATCAGAGGCCACAACATTTTCAATATTCAAGTGTTCGCTTCGTATACACTCCACTTACCCTTGGCGGATATAGCCGTGTTTACAGAGCCTTCAAATTTTCCTGCGGTACCAATCGCTCGCATCCAATAAAATTGATCTTACATATAGCACTGTTGACGAAGGAAAACAGTAATGGCAACGCCCTGTACGGAAGCACGTAGAGTGTTTTGCCCCCAAAAATCAAACGCACAATCTTTGGAGAAACTTCTGGAGTCTTAAATCAGTTGGTCGAAATCCTCGACTACGTGCCACATGTAAATGATGACCTGGGACAATATGTGTGCTGCCTTTGGATTGTTTTCATATTGCTCTGTCATTTAAACTCGGCCTCGACATACACATGCTTCTGTCAACACTTCAATGGAGTGTATCTAACGGTCATTCTGATTGGTTAAAAGTTTTTTGGGAGAAGAGTGATAACTTATATCCGCAAGGTGGCAGTGGAGGGAATTATGAAAACACGGCTATATCCGCCAAGGGTAAGTGGAGTGTATACGAAACGAAAACTTGGCTAGCGAAGATGAGGCCACAATGGCCATCTCAGATTTTCAGATCAGCATGAGAAGTAACAAAACTCGTTGTGGACCTCTTAAAGAATATTTTCACAGAAATGTAGGAGTCGGTGCAGCCATTCTTTAAAAGAATTGGAAAATGTCCCTGTTAATCAGATGCTAGGGTGGAAGAAGTTTCGACCTATCGGATGCTAGGGTGGCCATCTTAGATTAGCGTGAAAAACAACACTTGTTGGGGACCTCATAAACATTTGTACCAAGTGTGAAGTCAAACACTTCTTGATGAAAAATCTCTCGGCCAATCAGAGACGATGGTTGCCATCTTGGATTTCGGATCAGGACAACATATAAGAAAACTTGGTTGAAACATCATGATAAACATTTGTATCAAGTTTGAAGTCAAACAGTTCAGTGGTTCTGAAGTTGATAACGAAAGACTAACTGAAGACAGATGGCTATAGCTCGCATGTGCAATCATGTGAGCTAACAATTGGGGCTGAGGGACAAGTGTCAAATTTGCTGACCTCAAATACTACTTGGCAGATGTAAACCAAATTGTAGTGATGTTCAATCTGGTAAAAATCATTTATTACATGGCTTCCAAAGGGGGTCAAAGTTGTACAAATAAAGGGGCTGAGGCACCAGGAAAAAGGTGTCATATTGCATGCTTTGAATGACCTCTTGAGCCAAATAAAAGAGCTTTATGGATTTGGACCAAATTTGGCATGGAGCATCCTTGGGCAAAGGGGACTAAATTTTATATAAATGGAGAATTTGACACCCATTTTTTTTAGCCCACCATCATCAGATGGTGGTCTATTCAAATCACCTTGCTTCTGTGATCTGTCCGTCGTTCTGTCTGTCCTTAAACCATTTTTGTTAGTGCTATTTATCGGAAAGTACTAGAGGGATCTTTCTCACATTTCACATGAAGGTTTCCCATGGTCCCTTGTTATGCATATCATTTTTTGGGACTGATCACAATACCGAGATGGCCAACAGAAAGCCATCTTGAATTTGAGAATGAAAGTTTGTTAGCGCTATTTATCAGAAAGTACTCGAGGGGTCTTTCTTTCACATGATGGTTCCCCATAATTCCTAGTTCTGCATTTCAAATCTTGGGGATGATTGGTTGTGCATGATAACTTTTCAGGTTGATCAAAAGACTGATTAAGATGGCGGACAGGCAAACTGATCAAACAGATAAGAGAAAAGAAGAGAAAATATCCAACTGTTATAAAACTAATGAAGATGGTACGATGGTGGGCGCCAAGTAAAAAATTTGGTTTAAATCCCACCAATGCTATGAACAAAATTTGGTGAAAATCTTTCCAATCAAAACTAAAAGAAGGATTTTGAGGAAGTACCTCAATTTTCCCTATTGGGCCTTGCTCCTCGGCCCCTACGGGGCCACGTCATCTGTTTCTAAACCAAAAGATTGGAAGGATTTTTACCAAATTTTGTTCATAGCATCCTTTGGCAAAGGGAACTTAGTTTTATATTAACATCGTATGCCCAAATAGAGGGAGGAGCATAGTAATAATTCTTTCCCCTTCAGTACGATTGGTGGGATTTTCACCATTTTTTCCTTGTCAAACCAATTTTGAATGAACATTTCACATATGTATTATTAATTAGTGTTGTGTCATATACCAAATCAGGTCCTGCTCTCAAAGTTATTCAATGGAGGTCCACAAATAAGAGTGTTTGTTGCATTTACTAAACTATGGTCAGTAATGTTTTGTAAATAACTTGTAAACCCCTGTAAAGCTGGTTACCATGACTGTCACTTTGGCTGATGAAGCGTGTAGCTACAGAGTAGTTACTACCTTGGTTCACTCTTTACATACGATTGAACAATAACATAATTTTAGCAAAGATTACATATACAAAATGTTTGTCTTCCTAATATAATACAAACATCTGTTGGAACATAAATACAACACACAATTTTTTTGATAAATGACATTTTTTATTTCAAAATTCATGACTCCATCATAAATTAACATCTAGTTTTACTACCTGCGTACAGGTATAATGACATGAAACAAGTGCCATAAATTTGATATGAGGAAATGATACTTAGGGAGAGATGAGGCTTTTTACATTATGGATAAATTCAAAGAAATCAACACACAAAACAGGGAAGTATAAATGAATATTAAACAACACAATTTTATAACAAAAGGTACAGAAATTTTCTAAATACTGGACACTCAGTAATTGTAGTTTTCAAAAACATTACCATATCAATATCAGGTGTCCATAAACCCAACACCTGTAGCTAGTAGGTAGTCTTAGTGTCAGGACTAGAGGTTCCAATATTTATTACAAAAATATTTCAATTTTCAAATTCATCCTTGACCTAATTTGATCCTGTACACTCCTGATTATATGGTCACTTCATAAAATCATACTCGTTTTCAATGTACAAATATAGGCCCCACATATATGATTTATTAACAGATGGATTTAACTATGAAGTGAAGCTAATTTAGAAAGGATCTAATTATCATAGTAAGTAGAGCAACATTGATGTCAACCATACAGTGACATAATGATATTGTATATACATGTGTTGACAAAATTTAATAAGAAGCACACAGGCATTTGTCAAAAAAAAAAAAACTTGAATTTTCAACACAAATGACCCTTGGAACCTTGAAAGTGGGTCAAGGTAATTCATATCAAGTCTCTTTAATGATTATTTGATGGAAAATATTCACATTTCATTTTTTGTTCTTGTTTTAGAGAATGAAACACGTTCTCTTTATTAAATTTTAAAAAAAATCTGTGTCTCAAACCTTAGATATCATTCAAAAGATTATCAATGATTCTGCTTCAGAAATAATATACAGTATACTGAGAAATTTTCGCCCTTCCCTGGTAAAATCCATATTCGCCCAGTTTTAATTTCATCCTTCACATTTAATTACTATATGGGAAGTGGGAGATTCAACGTCGATGCAAAGTTCTGTGTTACCCAGAAGACTAGTTCCACAAGGAATACACAAGTTTGGCTGTAGTGGTAGAGTAATCAATAGGTTAAGATGACCATGTTGTCATGACTTATGTTCGCTGTAATGATAAATTCGCTCTCATTACAGAGGGCGAAAAACGCGAAAAAATTAAATTGCAGCAAAAATTTCCTGGTATACAGTAGAACAATAATATACCTCATTTATATGGCACCTTATATAATCTAACAATATGCTCCAAGGCGTTTACTCAAAACCTTGTTAAACCTCATATCTGTTATATCCAAAACATATGTGCTTTCGTTTTTAGAGATAACCCCTGGCTCTTTCTTCCTAAAATGACATGAAAAGTTACCCACAATAAAGGTCAGCTTTTCCATCAATATTTATCTGTAAAGACCATTTTCAGACACTGAAATATCCATCATGTTACAGGACTTAGATCCTGACTCTAGGTCTCCTTGTTCAGGAGTTGTTGCTGCAATGTTGTTTTTTTCACATTCAACACCTCTGACCTTGAAATTGGGGAAAAGGTGTTTTTTTTCAGCAAAACTGATCACACAGCACGGTTCACTGTACAGGTCAAAATCATGACCAAGACTTCGGGTTATGAAGAAATTGTTTAAATGACAGTTGACAGGTGGGGGCCTAGAGATGGCAGAGGTACAAACGGTGTGTTGACAGGTGGGGGCCTAGAGATGGCAGAGGTACAAACGGTGTATTGACAGGTGGGGGCCTAGAGATGGCAGAGGTACAAACGGCGTGCAAGCATACACTTTGTGCCAGGTGACTTAGGGATATATGAAAACATTTGTAACATTTTCTGAAGAGATCATAATTAAAGAAAAGTAAAACTAAGGTTCTATCTACCAGGTTTCTACTTTCTATATCTGTTCCACTTTAGTCAATCTTTCATACTAATATCTTATTACATATAGTATTCCATTCTCTATTCTTCAATAGAAGGCCTATATATTTCTGCAAAAGCTAACAAATATACTTAACTGTAATAATAGCATCCCTTCCCTTCCTGTTGCACAAGTTAATCTTCAGTTTTTTAGACAGTACCCATAACTTAGAATTGTTTTATGTAAAATGGACCAATCAGATATAAATATAAAGCTATTTTTTGCAGTTTTTTTTACCAATTTCACAATTATCACTTTATCAGATTTTGACTTTCATTTTATGTAAGCAATTTTTGTACATACATGTACCGACATATGAACTATAAATGGTCGCATTAAGGTTCGAAAATAAGAAGAAAACTTAGGATTGTATTACTTTCTAATCCCTTTACAATAGCTAATGATCACAG